GAGGCAAAATTTACTCGACATCATGTTGGTTTTATTCGCTAAGACGATTAGTAGGCTAAGTCTGCATGTTGAAGAAAAGAACTGATGACAGTGGTTTTTTTTTGTCATTTTTGTAAAAAATTATACAATGCATCATTGAAGAAACTGAACTTTTCTTTCCGTCTTCAGAAAAACAATCACGTTAGGCAAGCAAAAGATGAAGCAAAAGGTAAGTAGGAGGCAAAATTTACTCGACATCATGTTGGTTTTATTCGCCAAGACGATTAGTAGGCTAAGTCTGCATGTTGAAGAAAAGAACTGATGACAGTGGTTTTTTTTGTCAGTAGAGTTTTATCATCCACTTCAACCCTTCAATTCTTTCTTTGTATTCTGCTAATAACACACTTTTCTCACCCTAAGGAATCTGTTTTTTAAATTGCTTCCTTGTAATCGTTTTTCTATTCTACGCGCGTCAAAGCTTCTTTGTTTTCGTGTTGTCTTAAAGTTTCATACAACACTATCAAAATGATAACCTTTAGAGTGAAGAGATAGTCAAGGCCTTAGCATGGTGCAATTTCTAATTAATTTGTCAATATTGTTGCTTCAAAAATTCAATTGGAGATGACAGTCGAACTCATCGGCGAGTAAACTTTACTACGCAGGAAAGCCGTGTTAAAGATGACCAGAAACATGTCGCCGCGATATTCATTCTCTGGGTTCTGGGTTCGAATATGCCAGGGTCATCAGGCAAGACAGTCAATTGATTATGTGTAGATCAGGACAGGTAGGTCTTTCATATTCATGACTGGTCAAGGAGAGAGAGGTAACCCTGGTGATTTCGGTAAGAAACTTCACAAAGTATGAAAGATAAGGTATACTTTCCATAATGGCACAATGTTTTTCTTCTTACTTCCCCTCCCCCCCTCTTTACCTAAGAGCATCACAATCCATTTGATGAAATTTTCAGGTGCCATTTTGGACAACGATTTTCAAGACTGTAATGGAACGAAGTGGAAAAATACCTTTCCTGACCTGGATTTTGCACTTCTTGGCTACGACATCCTGCACGGTGACCCCAATGCCGAATGCGATCCAGGGTTTAAGCACCCAATATTCAGGGCTGACTATTCTGAACTTGCATAATCCTCGGAAATTTCTCCTTCTCCTAGGTCATTTGCTTCCTACTCTTCTTCACTACCGTAACTTGTTCCAAGCTCACACAGTGCTCGCCTTGGTTCTCGGCAAAGTCTCCAAGGGACACGGTAACTGCTGAAACACTTGCTGACGGACTAAACACTTGCTGACGGACTAAACACTTGCTGACGGACTAAACACTTGCTGCCCCCAACTCCTGGAGAGGACACTATTTGGATGTTGATGTTATACAAGATTGCTGCTGCATACTGCGTAATCTCGCGCCATATGAGTTATATAGTCGTCCCAGCGAGAGAACTCATCATCTGCCAAATGCTCCGAAAGATGGAAGCCATTGCTATAGTACGGATTCCTTGTAAAGTACTCTACTATTTCTTTCCTCATGGTTTCAGGAGATGTTAAATTGCCTAGTCTATTTGCCTGGTGCGATAGTGCAGCATGCACGTTAACAATTGCCGTATCCAGGAAGATTGTAAACCAATTTAAAACCCTGATCTTCAGTAGCCTTTCATAGGATAGATCGTGGATAGTCGTCTCTTCTTCGTAGTGGTCAATTTTTTTCTTTTCAACAGCTTGGCGCATTTTTGTTTCTGATTTTCTTGCTCTAGTGTAGGGCTTGTGATATCGTCCACAGAGACCCATTTCCTTTCTTCCTTTCCTGAAAGCGGCGAGGTGTATGACACGTTATAGGTATGCAACTTGATCTTTCTTTTCTCGCTACGACCCTCCGTCACATGCCGTTTATTCGATAGTTTCCCTCTCAAACGTCTATACAAACCGAGGGCAGATTTAAGCGAAGTTGTGTTCGCTGTATCCGCCTGTCACATCTGCTCGTGGCTTTTTCAGTTTGCTTTCATAATTTCAAAGTTTGCCGTGAACGCCAGTTACGGTCATTCTCAGTTAGGCGAACCCTCCCAGCACTAGGAAGGATCTCGTCTTGTAATCTGTTCGCTTTGAAGGCGTTGCACTTTCGTACAAAGTATATTTCGAATGGTTTTTTGAAAGCTATCACTTCCTTGGGGTCATTATTTAGAATACTTTGATAAAGAGGGAGCGGTTTCGCCCAGTTAACACCGTCTTGATCCATTTTTTGAAGGTCATATTTCATCTTGGATCTCAGCGTCCTGTGACAACGTTCTACCTTACCTTGTGGTTGGGGATGGCGCGGGCGACTGTAAATCAATTTTACATTCATGGCATCGCAAAGTGTTTTCATGGCTTTTTTTTAACTCCCCTCGTTGGTCGCACTGGATTATTTCTGGCGATCCATGCTCCATATAGATATATTCCAATTCACTTGCAATTACCTGGCTTGATTTGCTTTCCAGAGGACGAAGCAAAAGAAAACGGCTGAAAACATCAATCACTGGTATAACGTATCTATACAAATGTCCATTCATCTTCACGTATCCTTTTCTGCTCATATCCATCAAATCTATTTGGTGCCTAACATGAACTTCTTTGGCTCTAATAAGTTTCAGCTTCGCCTTATTTAGAAACTTGGCATTTCGGCGATAATGACTTTTGACCGTGTTTAGAATAGTTTGTATTTTAGCTCGACCTACTCCCCAAAAGTTGTCCCTCCGAAAGGAAGCCAACTTCCCCACAACAGATCCTTTCGTCCTTTCAAATTCTTCAACCACTAATTTGTTTACCTCTGATGATTTTAACATTCGAGGCACCTTTTAAATGTAAGTCGTTGAGTATATAATTTGATGCAGACCCATGCAATACCTCATTATTTTATCGGATTTGTTGCATGCATTTCAAGATCAAGAGACGTAATTGTCCCAGTTATGTTCTATTGGGGAGAAAAAATTATTTTGTCCATATTCATATACTCACGAAGTTATTCGAGAATTTGAAAGTAATAACTCTCTAGATGCTGCCAGGAGGTTCGAATTGGGAAACAATATGTGCATGCTAACAAGGTCTATTCAAAGGAAAGACAAATAATATATATCCGAGCCTGCAGATTGTCCGACCCACAAGTCAGCGGACTCCCTTATCCAAGTTTGTAATTTGGTTTGACTTGTTAACTCCATCACTGATCACGCAAGTATTACTTTATCACATTTTTCCAAAATCTATTGTGCTTTTAAAAGAGTCTGAGCCAGTGATATACGGAGAGGTATTGGTCGGCGTACTCATTGTTTTTCCGGCTGTCATTTGATGCCAATTGTTCATCAGTATAACGGTTTGTAGCCAATGCTTCTCGACGTAAGTCTAGCAAATAAAAAGATGCCGATTGAAATCAGTGAGCCCGCAATGTGACATAAATACTGGTCAGAGGATTGTTTGGTGCAACAGCTGTCACTTTAACATCTCAATGTGGAGGTCTGCTACAACAACAATGCACTGGCGCGTGGCGGAGTTAAACGACTGCATTGGAGATTACGTTTAGGACTTTATTTCATTTAGGACAGTTATTACATTAAGTCCTTTCACAGGCACCAACAGGGTTCGTGCAAACATCGCAATGATATTTCCAAACAGGTTTTTTTACGGGTGGTTGATGATGAATGGTCTGGTCTTGGATTTTTTTAAAATATCTCCACGTAATACTAGCCTTGAAACATTGAAAGTGGACACTGAATTTGGATACAGAGTCACTCCTATAGCAAAGTATCTTCTCACTCGTATTCCAATATCAAATGGCGGACTTGTGGTATCAACGCAACAGGCTCGTATTTTGCAAGTTCGAAATCTTTCAAGACACCACAAAAAAATAAAAAGGTATCAGGACCACTAATTTGCGTCTTGGTCCACAGGACGCCACTAAAAGTCAGGCAAAAAACTAAAAAGCCAAAGAAAACCGGAGAGCAAGAGATCTTGCAACCGATCGCCATGATGTCATGTACATGACTTCCTACTCATCGCATTTGTTTGCCATTGCGTCATGGAAAGTGGAAGATCCTTAATTATTCATGTTTTCAGCATCAGCGTTGAATTGTTTTGACGGCGATGTTCGCTTCGTGTTATTTTGGGCAAAGTTGATCTCCCACGATTTACGAAAAGTGCTGAATACTCGCCAAAAATTGGTCTCGCTTATTTTGGCATGAATGTACTGTAAAACTTTGACAAAAATCAAGGACAACATGGTGTCAGAGCATGCGCTCAACGTTACTTTATTGGGATTTTAAAATATGGGTCGTTAAAGGCTTCCTGGGGAAAAAGAAAACTTCAAAAAAATTACTCAAGTTAAAGGGAAAATGACTCACTTGCCAGCGTCTGAAACTTCGTGAAAAGATCAAAATGTTAGGTCGAATCCATTTGTAGCATCCCTAGAGCATGCTAGATGGGGTCTCGAACCACCACTTTACCGAGTGCTCTTTTCCCATACATGGCTCTGTAATTTTGGTTGAATGCCTTCCTCTCAGTCAAAATTACGGTCACCAAACAGAGGACCTTCCAACTTGCAAACGTCCACTACGCTTAAGCAAAGGTTGAACTTTGAGATTTGAAGCTTCAATAAGGCTGAATTCTTGATTTGTCAATCTCTTCGCAAACTGGCTGGAGACGTCAAAGGTAAAATACACAAAGACACCAAAGGGCAGAAAAAGAGAAGCCCTGAAAAGTAAGTCAAATAGGGCAGGCAATTTCTGCTATGGAGGTTAGAAGGGAATTTTCCCTCGTAAAGGATGAGCTTGAGTACTGGAAAAGGAAACACGACAACTTAGACATGGAAATCAAAACGTTGTTTGAAGAAATCCAAAGACTAGTTGCTGAGAAGGACAAAACCAACGAACAACTACATTCAAAGAATCAAGAACCTATTAATTAAATAAGCCGGTCTCCTGGAGAAGAATGAAAATATTGCTTACAAGGGAAAAGACATTTCAGAAGTACTAGAAAAGTCAAGGACCATGAAATCTTTTTCTACAAGGGCACAGACTGCCTTGAGGTTTGCGGAGTCGTTTGGGCTCGAACTGAAAACTGTTGTTGTTGTGGAAAAAAGTCAGGCATCACCCACACACTAAAACCATAGGGGCATCAGGGTCAGGTGGGAACAGCCTCTACTGAGGCATCTGCTACTACAGGATTTGAAGCCCTTTCAGATGATGAAAAAGCAAAGGTTGAAAGGGTCCTTTTCCTTCTAGACAAATTCTGTGTAGGAGACTTGTTCTACCACGAACTTACCATGGTCCTGGATGGCTTGCCCAAGTCATACCTGGTCAAACAAAGGAGGGACCAGTTGAACAGCATTTGCCACATCACCTGCACTCCTGGTTCCACTGAAGGAGCACAAATGGTGTTTACTGATCTCCTCCGAGAATGGATCAAAGACTGCTTGGCAAGCCACCCAGGTGACCAAGGCAAACCAGTTAAAGTCAAGATCTCAAGGGATGGAGCAAGAATGACAAACTCTACTTTCATTTTACTGAGTTTTGCACTTTTGCAAGCTGGAAATGATGTTATGTCTTCAAAAGGGAATCACACAAATGCCGTTGCAAAAGGGAAAGAAGACTATCAAACGATGCAAACATCCTCTGCAAATGTCTTCCAGGACATTAATTCTGTAATAAATAAAGAGAAAATTGTAATTGATGGGATAACAATTGATCTTGAATTTTTCTTGGGGGTGATTACAAGTTTATTTTACTAATGATGGGTTTGAAGGGAGCAACATCACATTATGCAAGTGTATGGCGCAAGGTACATAAAGATGACTGATGAAAGATGGAATTTGAATTAAATTATTACCAGTCTGCTGATTTAAAAAGAACCCTAAAGGAAATGATCAAACTTTCAAAAAAAAGAATGCGAAAGAGAAATACTGCTGTGAACATAAACCTTTAATGAATATTGGAATTGACAATGTAATACTGGATGAACTCCACCTATTTCTTAGGTACTTGTTTTTTTTTATTAAAAATCTAATTAAGGATGTTTTGCAATGGGATCAAAAAGACAATTTCAATGAGAAAAGAGGGGAGCAAAAAAATAAACATTTAAATGATCTACAAAAAACAATAAGATCTCGTAGGATTTCTTTTGAAATCTGGGAAAAGAAAAATGCTGATGGAAAAGGCTCAGGTCAGTTTGACTTTACCAGTCTTCTAGGTTCTGACGAAACTAACTAATGCATAATGCATAATGGCGGCAGGGGGTGTTTCTCTCCTCTCCGTCTTTCTGGCTGTATTTCTTGAAGCATTGTCGCTCCACCTTATTCAGTTAAGAGACGTTAATTTCCAATCTTCTGTTCGATATGTGCTTTCTCCAAGTTTTGGGAGTTTCGCAAGCCAGAGTTGGCGGCTTTTTAAGCCTAGATCAGATATACAGAGAAGAGACCGAGGGCACTTTACTCGATCCGTGCGAAAGTTCAATACCATCAACGGATATCTTACCGGTCTCCTACTCCTTTGTGGTGATATAGCTAGTCAGCCGGGACCAGAAACATTCGCGTTTCGCCAGGATAAGGAGATCCCTAAGATCAAGAACATTCTACTAAACGCGCGTAGTCTTATAAGCGTCCACAAAAACACCGAAAGCGATAGTACGATTTGGAACCTACTCCAGTTTCAAGACCTAGTGTATGCTGAGGATGCTGGCGTGGTATATGTAAACAAAACTCGGCTAGAAAGTGAGGTTCTGGACTCAGAGCTGTCACACGCCGGTTTCACAATCTAACGGAAGGATCGTATCAACAAGCGAGGCGGTGGGGTTTTGATTGCAGTCAAGTCTGTTTTATTTTCATCAAAACACGAGTATGTCCCATCTGTTACGGACTTGGAAATTGTATCCGCGTTAGTGGAAACTGATCCCAGCCAGAGGTTTTTACTCTGTTCGTGTTACAGGCCGCGGTAAAATTTCCGCACGGCCCCATACTACATTATGCATTCAGTTCTTGAATAGAGAAAACAATGACAAAAATAATATATTGCCATTGGGAAAACAGATTTGTTTTACAATAGTATGAGGCTGTGCGGAAGTTTTACCCAGGCCGCCTAATGTCGATTTTCGCTGGATGGATTTGTTTGAAAAATTTCTTGATGAAACCTGCAGCAGGTTTGATAATATGCTAATCTGTGGAGATCTGAATCTTCCTAGGGTCCCATGGGATTGTCCTGATTCTTCAATAGGTGCTAACGAACAGCGGTTTGTTGACATTCTTAATGACCACTATCTAATCCAACACAATAGTTCCCCGAAACAATGTCCTCGATTTAGTGATCTCAAGCGTACCAGATCAAGTGAAAGAAGTGTTGGAACCTAATGAGGCAGAAATGTTTACCGATCATTGTATTGTCTCCTTTGAACTCTCCTCTGCTGTTAAGGCACCACCAAAACTCCGGCGCTTTGTATGATGAATACGCTAAAGGAGATTTCGACGGGCTCCGTTCTTCATTTCAAGCCGCGAACTTGTCCAATGCAATATCCAGTGGAGACCTTGATATAGATAGGGACTGGCATAGTTGGAAAGACACCTTCTTAGAGGGTGTGGCCGATTGTATCCCGAAGAAAAAACTCAAGGGAAAGAATCCAGTACCCTGGATAAACGGGCCTATATTAACCCTGATAAAGAAAAAGGAACCCATGCGTAAGAAACTCATATCATCTCCATCAAGCTACTTAAACGCTAAGTTTAAGGACTTGCGTTCTGAGGTCAAACGCATGGTGCGCAAGGCTCGTGACTCATTACTCTCGGGAATGTAGTTGCAATTAAAGTGCAATCCAAGACGTTTTTGGTCGACACTCAAACTGAAATCAAAACATCGGGGTATTCTCCATCGCAACAGATCCCAGCGGTGAACCAGCAGACGTCGGAAGTAGAATTCAAGCATCATCACCTGCTGAAATCGTTGAACTGTTCAATCAGTACTTTGTGTCGGTACTTACATCTGACCCTGTCACTTGTAATTCAGCTGGCGAGGAGTACGCTGGGCCTAATGTTGATCTGACGTTATCGAACCTGACCCTCACAGTCACTCAGGTCTTGTATGTACTGGCCAACCTTGACGCGAGTAAAGTTACTAGTCCTGATGAAATCCCGCCTAGGATTTTGAAGGAGACAGCATATGAGATTGTTCCATCCTTATGCGAACTATTCAACAAGTTTCTCAGACTGGGGTCCCTCCCCATAGACTGGAAATTGGCCAACGAGTTCCCTGTATTCAAGAAGGATAATAAAGAATATGCTGAGAACTACTGGCCAATCTCGTTACTGTGGCTGATTTCCAAGGTGATGGAACGCTGCGTGTTTAATTCAATCAAAGACCGCGTGTACAGTATGATCGATAGCTCAGAACAAGGTTTCATAACAGGGCGGTCGTGCGTGACGCAGTTGGTAGAGGTACTCGACTATATCGGCTCCCGACTCGACAACGGGGGCCAGGTTGATGTCATCTACCTTGATATGTCGAAGGCTTTTGACAAAGTGAGTCATCGCAAACTACTCAGGAAGCTGCGTGATTACGGTTTCAACGGAAAACTTCTGGCCTAGCTGGAGTCCTACTTTCACGATTGGATGCAGAGGGTAACTGCACTCGGAGTGAACTCGCAGGCTCTTCCAGTGACATCAGGAGTCCCTCAAGGGTCCATATTGGGCCCCATGCTATCAGTCTCCAACTGACGCTGCAATACTACAGGATGACCGAAGTAGCCTCGCCACTTGGTCGTCCTCGGCCGGCCTGATGTTCAACGAATCTAAGTGCTAAGCACAACGAATTACCCGGAAACACAATCCTGTGTCCAACACGTACCACATAAACGAGGTTCCTCTTGGCGTTACCAGCGCAGAAAAGGACCTTAGGGTCATCATCTCCGACAAGCTATTGTGGAACAAACAGGTGTGCGACCAGTGTGCAAAGTCAAACAGGATGCTGGGGTTTGTGAGACGTAATACCAGGTCTATCAAGAATGCATCAGTGAGACGTGTCATCTATCTCGCGCTAGTCAGGTCACATCTCGGCTATGCCACTCAAGTGTGAGCGGATTCAGCGCCGGGCTACAAAATACATCCTCAGCTTGCCTTTCCTCTGCGAGGAATCCTATGAAGACAGACTGATTAAGCTGGCCCTTCTCCCCGTGTCCTACTGGCACGAGTGTCTAGATAGTTTTTTTCTTTAAATCTGTGACTAGGCTAGTTAAGGTTAACCCTACTGTAATCCCCACCGGACACACCCTCTCAAGAGCAACTAGATCCAGTAGCAACACAAATGTAACTCCATTTGTTCTCAAAAAATGCAAAACAACTACATATCAGATCTTTTTTCATCGGCACAGTAAGAATATGGAATGCTCTAGCAGATGACATTGGTCTTTCCATAACCATCTCTTTCAGTTCATTCAAAGCACACCTACTCAGTTACTATAAGCAATCACTCTGTAAATCAAAATACCCTGAAGATCCTCCCTCATTTAAGTCTATCTGCACAAGTTGCAACAAAGCCTGTAATCTGACAAGAAACATTGATTGTTGCTACTAACCGCTCATTAATTTTTATAGCAATTTTTATATCAATTTTACGTTCCAGGCCTGCAGTAATTGGCATAAGCTGTCGCAGAGTCCGTGTCTGTATTGTACCATTTAAAAAAAAAAAAAGAAGTTACTAAAGGATCTGCCATGCAAGCTTCCTGATGCTATCCAGCCAGAAACTGCATCAACTGTCCAAAAACTTTGGGAAACTTTTCATGAAATTTATTCCATTATTACAAACAAAACCCTATTAGAGGATGATATGGATAGCTACTTTGAAAAAGCAAAGAATTGGGTAAACTTGTTTACTTCACTGTGTGACAAGAAGATCAGGCAAATGTAACTCCATACATGCATTCCATGGTATATCATATACCAAAGTTCTTTGAAACCCACAAATCAGTTAAACTTTTCACTGAGCAGGGGGTTGAGAAAAACAATGACATCACTAAGAGCTTTGTGCTACATAAATTTAACAAATGGGATGCTGTAACTGATGTGTTACAACAAGAGTCAAGGCAGTGGGAGCTGTGAGGAAAAGAAAGGTCTAAAAGGCCATATTTCAAGAAAAATACTTTGTATTGGGAGCAAGAAGTAGGGGAGACCAGGAGAAATAAAAGGCACAAATCAAATTAAACAACAATTATAGTTGCAGTAGGCTTTCATCAAATGAACAGCATAGCTAAGATTTATAGAAAAGTCATGTAGTAAGCTATAGTTCTTTTTCTGTTCAAAATAGTTTGTGGCACATGACATATTGAAGGATAATTGACACTGCTCATGTCTGCCAAAGACTGCTGCAACATTTATTTGCTAAGAAAGAGCTATTGCTCTAAAACAGCATGCATAATATGAGTTGTAAAAAATATAGATATTAACTTTCACAGACAGACTACATGTATATAATAAGAAAATATCAGAGACTGATTTCAATAAATAAATTCAATATAAAATCAATCCAATTCTGTTCTTTCATGTGATTTTTAAAACTCAGGACAGGCTACATGCTGCTTTAGAGAAAGAAATACTCAGTTTTTCAGGTCTGTAGAGTGACTTTGGTATAACTGACCCCCCTGTCAAGGTATGAGTTTTCGGACTCCAACCCAAGAACAATCTTACCCTGACAGGAAAGTCAATTTTAACACCATCACCGACACAATCAATTATCATGCGCCACTCCTTCGGAAAGTGGCACCTTTTAAAATCATCACTCATCAAAAGGATGGCCCCACTATCATTGCTTTTGTGTCCTCTGGGTTTAAAAAGGAAATTAAAGTTTGCATGCTTAAAAACAATAGCAGTGGGCAGAGAACTTTTCGATTTTAAGTGGTCTAAAATGCCACAATGGAAAGCTTCACTGGCAGCTCGTATTTCTTCTGTGGTCTCTTAGGGAGGTAAAATGACCTAGAAATGAACAAAAAATATTTTGTTTACTAATAAATCTACACATAAATGGCTATAGGACCAATTTTTACATGCCGAGAAATAAAAGTAGCTTTTTTCGATCAGCAAAGCGAAAGGACTTTCACCAAATTCGTTTCAAACTATCTTCGCTCTTCAAGCAAAAGTTAGATGATTATCAAATAAGAATATAACATATGATCACAATAAGAACTAACCTCAAAGCGAGTGAGTTCAAATTTTCTTCGGGCTCCCGTGACGTTTCTAGGCTCGAATAGCCCTTCCATTTAATAAAATAATTTTTCTAAGTAATAATGAAAGAAAGAAAATTAAAATTACATTAATTGAAATAAAACCTCACGATTGCACGTTGTAAAGTACAAAACAGTAGGATGAAGCGATATCAAGACATATGCTTACCTCTCCTTATTTGACTCTCCACGACACCACACGTTCTATTTCATAAAATCTACTAGATTTTCATTTCCTTCGGCTTTCTGGTTAACAAATAGAGAAGCCTTGACTGTGCTCTGTTCTGTTGTAAAGCACTTAGGAAGCGGCTAGAGAACGAAAGAAGTGTACTTCTTGAGTGCTCTAGCCGCTTCCTAAGTGCTTTACAACAGAACAGAGCACAGTCAAGGCTTCTCTATTTGTTTCAATTATAGTAAAGAATCCGTTAAATTCCCCAAGCAAACTCCCAAGCCTTACTTTCAATTTTCAAAACAACCTTTATTCCCAGAGCGGACAACAGTGTCGTCAGCATGCTCTATACTCTCACAAAGCGCGCTACAATAAGCCAATCAGAATCTCTGTTAGAATCTGATCTGACAAGACTAAAGCTGTCAAAAATGTCAAACCATCAAAGTTCACATTTTGCAGCAGCAAAAAACTTGAATAATTTAACACTTCCGCCTGAAGTCTTCTAGTCTCTAATACAGAATCTGAAATTGAAATGTTCAGTGAAACACGGCCAAATTGTGGCTCATAAAAACACGCAAGTTCTTTCACATGACAAGTGGAAAACAAACAGTTCAAGGCGAGTGTTTTGTGAATGAACGACAGCCGAATTCACCGGAACATAAAGATCGCTCGGGATGACAGCGCCGTGACACTCGGCTGCAGTGACTGATGTGGCCTTCCGCATCGGAACGAATATCAGAGCAAGCTCTTATTTTTTCAATCGAAGGGCGGCTGATGTAGTTCCTGAGGCTTGCTTCACTGTGATGACCGAAGATCGCCATGATGAGCTAACCGCGATGGACCTCAGCGTGATCGCAGTCGCTCTGACACCGGCATCATTAGTGTGAATTTTAACAGTTATGCCAGTTTGGTTATATTTTTCATCATTCCTGTTTTGTACTGTTTTGTTTTTTATCACGAAACTTTACTTATTATACGAGTGTTAGCTGTGTTTGATTTTTATTACCGTACATATCATATACCATACCTAAGCGTGAAAACCTCTAAAACTCGGACTAACCATTTCGTTTTCTCCTTGAGGATTTTCGTCTCTGCTCACGTTATAATAACGTAAATTAAGGCGCCTGGTCTTTTTTAAAAACCTTTGTTTGGTCCTTCTGTTGCTACTTGCCGGCCCGCTTGTTCCGAAATTTCAATTTCAATTAACGAAAAGAAAGGCAGAGAGAATTCCCGGAGAAGACCAAACATAGTACAATTTGGCAGATGGCGTGACAGCTTTAGCTCAGCTCTGTGCTCTATTTAACAAATAGATTCCAAGTTGCCGTGCGTCTGTTCAGTAGTAGACCACAGATGACGACAAAATGCGGTAAGAACAAAAAAGTGGCACGCGAGGCGCAGCCGAGTGTGTCACTGATGTTCTTACCACATTTCGACGTCCTCTGTGATCTATTACTGAACAGACGCACGGCAACTTGGGATCTATTTGTTTTATATAATAAAGAATTAAAAAAAAGTTTTAATGATGACGTCATCTATACGCCTGTCCTCTATAATAAGTGAGTGAGAACCAATCAGAATGCGTGCATAACTGAGCTTATTATATAAACTCTCATAGATCACGCTCTTTCAACCAATGACAGCGCGCGTTATATCCGAACTTTATTATAAATAAAAATCTGCCGTGCTCAAATTATTCAGCGCCTTCTAAAAAGAACCATTCGACATTTTTCGGGGAGGGAAGTCTATCTAAATTTTAAGTCAACCGGAACGATCATATCGCATATAGATTTCCTTGAACGAGTTAGCTGGGGGATCGAACGAGGTTCCCACTGTAGAAGTATTTTACTCAGCTTGGAAGCAAATATCGTCGTAAGGTGCTAATACAGTTCGTGTAGCCAGCAAAGCCGTGGACAAATCGACAATGACCTTACTCGTCATCTTAATGACAGGATTTTTCTTGCACCAAGTAAAAGGCCATCCGTGTAGTACGACTGGTATTTACGGAATAGCTGACTGCCAGTGCAACTTTATGGAGGCCTGTGATGTACAAGAGAACCCGAAACCCAACTTAACACGATACTTGCCAACAGGCGTGGATCAGCTCGGGCTTGTCGAGGGAGGACAACAAAACCTGGCGTATTTGTGTGAAGGTGCTGGCGCAGTGGGCATTCTGTATGACTGCAATAACCGAATTCCTCTCTATGCTGCCACCGTGATTAACGGGACCCAGCTATCGGGAAAGAGCCTCGGGGGTCGACCAAATATTAAATTTTCACTGAGCAGAGAACTCCATCGAAGTTTTCAGCAACGAAATGGAGATTACAAATATGCTTCAAAGCGAGAACTTTGCTATTTATCTTTACAAAATGGGAGCAAGTACGTCGTCGAAGAAGACTGGTTAAAAGCAAGTAAAAACCTTTCCGGGACTCTGCTCTGTCCTGGAGGGTCAGTTGTCAAAACATCAGTTCACCGCGGACACTTGATTGCCTCACAGTATGGCCGCAACAATCAAGCAAAGAAAAGAGCAACTTTCAAATACACCAATGCTGTCCCCCAGTTTGGAGTGTTTAATTCGTACCCTTGGAGAGTCTGTGAGAGCCGACTCATTACATGGGGAAATCAAAACTGTGCTCAGGTTAGAGGAGCAACGGATGTTCGGTTATTTATCGTGGTTGGTGCTATCCCATCGACAGTACGTGGATCCTCGAAACAGAGATATTTTGGCAAAAGAGGGTTCAGTGACTACAAAGATACTAGCAATTACCGGGTGAACGTGCCTAGTGGCATGTGGACCGCTGCCTGCTGTAGTTATAGCATTAACGGAACATTGCAATATCGCAGCACGGCCTTCTGGAGAGAAAACAATCCAGGAAACGCGCCATGTAAAAGGACAGACGTAGGTGACTTAACGAGATGGTTGTCCGGATGCATTCACGGTGGCACCAATTTATTTCCGCAAACACCTCAGTGCAACAATATTGGAAATTATATCCGTCTGCCGTGATAAAGACACTAGACACAGCGAACATAGATTAACAAAGGTCACCAAAAGCTTAGATGGAGCTTATTAAATTTCAGCATGTAGCTAAATGTTTCATTTTTTAGACCTGGGTCAAGTCCAGTAAGTCTGTAGAAACACCGGGCTTGTGATCAGGCTTGTGATCACGCTTGAGCCCACGTTTACATTGGAGCACTCCTTTACATATTTGGTTTTAAACTCGATAGTGTGATGAGAAATAAATTTTTAGGCAGTTCGATGTTTAACTTTTATATCTGGACTTGCTAAATTGCAGTTAGCATCACTCATCCCTGATCTAAATTTGACTTCCATGGAAATAGATATGTGACAAAGTAAATAAAGTTGGTGCTTTTGAGATAAACTTCTTTCCTACTGAAATAATACTGCTGTAATGACACAGGTCAGATCGTGCAACAGATACGTAGAGGCGTGGACGACAATACCGAGTTTTCCAGGTTGTTTGAACACTTGGTGAACCTATTTGATTATATATTCTGATACATACATATCCGATACATATCTGTTTATCCGCGCACTAGAGCAACGCGAACTGTGAACCAGTAAAGCTTATCTAATATCATTACACACCCACAAAGACATCTGGTTTTATTGCGTACCCTCTACTTGTTTATTTCGCAGGCAGAGCATCAGACCAATTCGATTGTTTGATCTAGTATTCTCCTCTGTGATGAGGCAAACATTTCGAATTTACTTTCTGTTTCCCGTCGCGTTCAACCTTAAGTAGTATAGGAGTTGGCGGTACGAGATCACGAAAAGATCGCGTACAAAAACGCCAACCCTCTATCTAACTACTTTCCATATTATGGAAATCATTTGATAAAATTATTTTACGAAATCATTTGATGGAATTATTTAATGGAATCATTTGATGGAATCATTTAGTAATATAGGAGACTAGCGCTATGATCTCACAACATTTTTCTATTGCGTGACATTCTCAGAAAAACAGGAAATCAATGATGTAACAGGGACTTTCCCGAGGAAATGAGTCATCAGATTGCTATTGATGTTATGTCATTCAATTCACTCAATCATTATGGGATCCGTGGTCTGGCACTAGAATGGGTCAAAAGTTATCTTTCTGAGAGGACACAATTTGTCGAATTTAATAACGTTAGATCTGCCCCACAGGGGATTCCCTGTGGGGTGCCTCAAGGTTCTATTCTTGGTCCCTTATTTTTTATCCTGTATGTTAATGATTTGAACAATGCTTCCCTGCTTGATGCAATCTTGTTTGCTGATGATACAAACTTATTTATCTCCCATAATGACCCTGTTTACCTAATTAACACATTAAATAGAGAATTAAACAAATTGTCAACCTGGTTTGCAGCAAACCGGCTCTCCTTGAATTTAGCCAAGACTAATTTTATGGTATTCAAGCCTTGGCAAAAGAAGCAATCCTTTGAATTTCAAGTTTTCATAAATGAGCAGCCTATTCTTCGTGTTTCTGAGACCATGTTTTTGGGTGTTTTATTAGATGACAATTTGACCTGGAAATCGCATATATCCTTAACAGCAAATAAATTATCCAAATCTATAGGTATTATTCATAAATCTAGGTTTTTCTCTCTACTCACTCCCTTCGTACTTTATACAATTCTATGATCCTTCCATATTTGTATTATTGCAATTTAGCTTGGGCTGGTACCTATAAGTCAAACCTTCAAAGAATTGTAACCTTACAGAAACGTGCGTTAAGAATAGTAAGCAATTCTACATACATTGCCCATACTGGCCCTATTTTAAAGGAACTTAAACTCTTAAAATTTCATGATATCCATTCGTTTCAATTAGGTACTTTTATGTTTTCATTCGAGAACTCTACACTCCCTTCCAAATTCAATAACTTTTTTTTTACTGAATAGTCAAATCCACAATTATAATACTAGGAATGCTCAGTCCTTCCGTTTGCCACTGTGCAGAACGAACACCAGGAAGTTTTCAATTTACTTTCAAGGTCCAAACTTTTATAATTCGTTAAATTCTGACATAACTAGTTCTCCCTCCTCCGCTTCTTTTTAAAAGAAAGCTTAAGGAATTTCTTCTCTCTAAGTATTAGCTTCTGTAAGGCAGTAATTCTTAACTAACTTAGTTAATATGTGTGTGTGTGTGTGTGTGTACGTGTGCGGGTCAAAGTTAATTACCATAAGTCCATATTGTAATTCTAATATAAGATTAGTTATTTTAAGTGAGAAAGCCTGACTTGTTATAAGCCTCGTGGTTTCTTTCAGGTTTTCTCGCCATTTATTTTCTGTCATCAATTTTCTTCTTTTTTTTTTTTTTTTTTCCATGTGTAAATGTCGTATATGGCAAATAAATATTGTATTGTATTGTATTGTATGTCATGTGAAAGTCTCGTGAGATCACGTGATCTTTACAAATATATATTCAACACTTATTTTTGAAGAAAGATTATCATTAAAGTTTGTCAATAAAGTTTGTCAATAAAGTTTGTCAATAAAGTTTGTCAGTGAAGTTTGTTGGTGAAGTTTGTCACTGAAGTTTGTCAGTAGATTTGCCTCCAGATTGAAGACGCTCGGCATTATGCAATCAGCACATCCTTCCCTGCATGCCTTGCTCCCTTTCGTGTCTTTTCAACACGAGAAAGGACGCTGTCTTACCCCAACTGACGTAACTTTGACAGAGGAAAAAAAGCGCGCGTACTGTGAAATGTTATCATTGAGTACACTCCATGCATAACTGACTACGCTCAAGAGATCACAATCTCTTGCAATGCTGGATTACACAGCCTGTAAAACGAAGGGAAATCATTCAAATAAAACAGCCTTCGAAATTGACGTAAAACACGTGAAACATCATACTTGGCCTAAGAATTTCGTAGTGAAGGATGCCCATCGGACCGCCCTTGGAAATTGATCGCCCTTGAAGTCATTAAAGAAATCATACTAAGTCGTGTTTGTAGCTCCTCCTAACCTTGTTCAAAAGACAAAATCTTGAATTGATATTTGTTTGATCCTAGTGGCTATTCACATTTTAAATGTCTTTATATTTCATGGCCCGTCAGGGAAGGGCGAAGTTAAATGTCCATTCTGAAAAGTGTTCAACGTATCATTTGATGGATTGATAGCCCTATGATTTTTCATTTGCCAGCCCTATCATGGCTTCATAAATGTTCTATTCGTAAGACTGAACAGCTCAAGATCGTTTCCCAACGCAAGAATATTCCACGAACTGAATGCTGTAAGTTTAAGTTTAAGCAAAATATATCAATGAAATATTATTTTACCGCCATCCCTCAAAAAAATCAATCTGTGAAACGAAACGTGTGATAAGTCGAACGTAGACACATCGTCGACATCTTCATCGAAGAGAAAGTTAGAGTAATAGACTTTAGTTTACTACCTCCTCACGCTATATTATAGGCATCATTTCCTTCCTATTGCAACGTTGTAGTAGTTCGAGCCATACTTTAGACATAAGCCTTGTGATTATTTTCGGCAGTCTGTTGATAGGAATGTTAGCATTGTTCTGCTTTGACCGAACGTGTGTCTAACTCCCCAATAGGGTATCAATTACGCAATACTCCACAATTTGCCCTGAAGTATCTATATAATTTGGCAAGGATATATTAGAAAATTTCACCATTCCGGCTGATGTAAAGAATATAAAACGAGGTTGTCGGGAAAAGAAGTCAATCCTAAATTCCTAGTTTGATAACATGTGTTTCGAACGAGTTAGCTGGTGTCGTAAAAAAGTACCACGCTAAAGAAGTTGTTGTGCCAGGTGATAAACACCTGTGACACACGAGGAAATCCTAAGTCTTACTCGCCGAGAGCCGACGGCGACACCTCAAGCATTATGGGAAGGCAGAGTAGTGGGCATTCTTTATGTTACAGTTGATGGTCAGTTGTAATCGGTCATAAGGTCAGTCATGAAAACGACTGGTGTCGGTCACAGTGTATAGCTGCTTCTCTGTCGAACTAATTGTTGAAACTGATTGCAAAGTTATGTCGAGATATCATTGGCTGTAAGACCCATCTAGCGCTTGTAAGGTGTGGCCGGTCAGTTATAGCGATTCCTCAGGAATAAGAGTTGAGGAACGAAAACTTTGAAACTTTACATGAATGTTCTCCACCAAACACTGCTTCGATTAATATTATAAAAAGGTCAGGCAAATCTTGCGGTAACTGGAAGCAAGCACATGCAAGAATGTATTATATAACTTTCGGAAAAGATAGTGCAATTTTTAAACAACATCGACTCAAAAGGTCATTATCTGTATCTTTGAGTAACGCCTTGGTGCATGCTTTCAGTTGTACCTATTTTTCTTTCCGGATTAATTTGTTTTTAAATTTTTGCACCTTAAAGGGCATCACTTTCACATCAAAATTCTAAAATGAATAGGTCACCGTGCTCTTTAAGAGGAAAAAAACCATCTTTCCTCCATAGCACATTCAATGCCAGGATTGAGAGAAAAGAAATCATTCACGTTATCTGAATGCGTGCGTTCTTTTTGCTAGGAGTTATGGGTAGTGTTATGCGTAGTACTGGTTGCGTGTTGCAATACTGAGGAATCACATTTTAATAAATCGACCATTTAGATTCGTTGGTTGTCACTGGTTGTGTAGATGTTGCGACTAAGCCAACCATCGGGTTTGTTATTTGTTGGTACCCATCGAGAGGACTCTGTTCTCAGTAAACCAGCTTTTCATGGTCAATAGTAAAAAGTAGTGAGCGCTGATAACGAAACATTGAGCAGAGCTCTAGTCAAGGTCATTTATTTATCGTGGTAGGCCTTTGATTGAATAAGCGTACGGCGGATGTTGAAAGTATAGTGAAGTGATGGTTAAAGCTCTCACATCCTGATGTTAGACCTGCTATGTGAAATGACCTACTCTCGTCTAAGTTCCCCAACACCACCATAGCTGTGCGTGACAAAAACAAAAGAAACATGGAATTTTATTGCTATAGTGTGCTCACTTGAGGCGGCCTTAGAGCCCAAGAGGTGTGTTTTGAGCGCAATTAATGCAATGTGTACTGAACTGTATTGACCTAATGTCGAGCCTCGTAACAAAGTAGACATCACCCTTCAGCAGGACCATGAGTTTCAATAAAATTCCGTGAATTTCTCGGTGTCACTATATTTCGGTAGCTATGCCACTGCCGTCATGAAAACAACTATACACAAGAAAAGGTTTTCGGGAGCTCGGAGAGCGCTTAGAATTTCAGCTGCGTATCGTACTTCTTACTTTCAAGCCCAGTTTGAAGTTCAGTAAGACTGCAAACCATAGACGCTTGTGATCATACGTTTTCTTATGTTCAAAGCGAAGCGCTCTAAATTTTCTCAAAATCAAATTGGTGAAACTAATTTCTTTTCAGTTCGCTTTTTAACTTCTGTTTAGGGGAAGCTATATTGCATTATTGAATAAACAGTGATCGAAACACCATCCCGCTTTAAACAAAAAACTTGCTCGGTAAAATTAGAGTGTTCAATAACATGTTACAGTTGATCGTCAGTTGTAATCAGTCATAAAGTCAGTCATGAAAACGACTGGTGTCGGTCACAATGAATAGCTGCTTCTCCGTCGAAAAAGTACAAGCCTGATTGGTGTAACTAATTGCAAAGTTATGCCGAGATGTCATTAGCTGCAGGACCCATCTAGCGCTTGTAAAGTGTGGCCAGTCAGTTATGGCGATTCCTTAGGAATAAGAGTTGAAGAACGAAAACTTTGAAACTTTACATGAATGTTCTCCACCAAACACTGCTTCGATTATTACGATAAAAAGGTTAGGCAAATCTTGCGGTAACTGGAAGCAAGGGTTTTTAAAGAAGAACTTAAGAAGTCTCGAGCACATGCAAGAATGTATCATATAACTTTTGGACAAGGTAACGCAATTTTTAAACAACATCGACTCAAAAGGTTATAATCGGTATCTTTGAGTAACGCCTTTGTACACGCCTTAAGTTGTACCTTTTTTTCTTTCCGGATCAATTTACTCTTAAATTTGGTCACCGCGCTCTTTAAGAGGAAAAGACCTTCTTTCCTCTTTAGCCAATCCAATGCCAGGATTGAGAGAAAAGAAACCCTTCACGTTATATGAATGCGCGCGTGCTTTTCGCTAAGGAGTTATTGGTAATGTTATGCGTAGTACAGGTTGCGTATTGCAGTACTGAGGAATCACATTTTTGATAAGTGAACCATTTAGATTCGTTCGTTGTCAAGGGTTGTGTAAATGTTGTGACTAAGCCAACTGTCGGGTTTGTTATTTGTTGGCCCCTATCGAGACGACTCTGTTCCCAGTAAACCAGCTTTTTATGGTCAATAACAGAGAGTAGTGAGCGCTGATAACGAAACATTTAGCAAACCTCTAGTCATCTTCATTTATTCATCGTGGTAGCCCTTTGATTAAAATTTCGTCCTTGAGCTATCACAATGGTCAGCAGTAAGTGTGTGTGGGATGAAGAAAGCATCATGAAGTATGAAGTTCAGTAAGACTGAAAAACATAGAAGCTTGTGATCATATGTTTTCTCGTATTCACAGTGGAGCAATCTAACTTTTCAAGGTCAATTTGGTAAAACTATTTTCTTGTCAGTTCGCTTTTAACTTCTGTTTAGGGTGAGCTATAGTATTGTATTACTGAATAAACAATGATCAAAATGTCATCGAGTTGACGCGATTTTTATTTACTGCCTGTAATAGGAATAAGTTCCTCATGAAAAAAAAAATTATTTTTCTAACTACAATGGTCGACACTCCACCGAATTGTACGTGATTTCCAACAAATAAATTTGGTTTGACACTATATTATATATATGACATCCTGCTCATCGCATTTGCTTGCCATTTACGTCATGGAAATTGGAACATCCCTAAAATTTCATGTTTTCAGCATTAGCGTTGAATTGTTTTGACGGCGATGTTCGTTTTGTGTTATTTTGGCCTCCCACGATTTACATAGATAATGAATACTTAAAAAATTTGCCTTGCTTAATTTGTCAGAAGATTTCATCACACCTGTTGACTTTGAAATCATTTAATTCCTAGAAAATCACTTTCTGTCGGGGAGGGAAGTCAGTCTAAATTCCAAGTTAACCGGAAGGATCTATATTATTTAGATTTCCTTGAACGTGTCTCGCGCAAGGTTAGCAGGGGTCTCGAATGAGGTTCCCACGATAGAAATCTTTGTCTCAGCTTGGAAGCAAATACCGTCGTAAAGCGCTAATACAGTTTGTGTGACCCGCAGCAAAGTCATGAACAAATCGACCGCGAGGTTAATTTTCCTCTTAATGACTGGATGTTTCTTGCATAAAGTGAAAGGCCAACAGTGTAGTGTGATTGGCACTAACGGAATAGCTGCCTGTCAGTGCAACTTTATGGAGGCCTGTGATGCACAGGGAAACCCGAATCCCAACTTAGCACAATACTTGCCAACAGGTGTGGATCAGCTCGGGCTTGTCGAGCAAGGACAACGAAACCTGGCGTATTTGTGTGAAGGTGGTGATGCAGTAGGCATTCTGTATGACTGCAATAACCGAATTCCTCTCTATGCAGCCACCGTGATCAATGGGGCCCAATTGACTGGAAAGAGCCTCGGGGGTCGACCAAAAATTAAATTTTCACAAAGCAACTTACTCAATCCTCATTTTCAACAACAAAATAACGATTACGTAGATGCTTTAAAGCGAGAACTTTGCTACACAACACAAATAAGGAGTGAGTACTTAGTTGAAGAGGACTGGTTAAGAGCAAGTGGACGCAGAAAACGTTTCAGGACTCGACTCTGTCCTGGAGGGTCAGTAGTCAAAACATCAGTTCACCGCGGACACTTGATTGCCTCACAGTATGGCCGCAACAATCAAGCAAAGAAAAGAGCAACTTTCACATACACCAACGCTGTCCCCCAGTTTGGAGTGTTTAATTCGCACCCTTGGAGAGTCTGCGAGAGCCGACTCATTACATGGGGAAATCAAAACTGTGCTCAGGTAAAAGGTGCAACAAATGTGCGGTTATTTATCGTGGTTGGTGCGATCCCATCGACAGTACGTAGATCCCCGAAACGGAGATATTTTGGCAAAGGGGGGTTCAGCAACTACAAAGACACTATCGGCGATTACCGGGTGAACGTACCTAGAGACATGTGGACTGCTGCTTGCTGTACTTATAGCGACAAAGGAACATTGAGATATCGTAGCACGGCCTTCTGGAGAGAAAACAATCCGGGAAACACACTATGTCATAGAGCAGACGTAGGTTTCTTAACGAGATGGTTGTCCGGATGGATTGCCGGTGGCACCGTGAGTTTCAATTTATTTCCGCAAACATCTCAGTGCAACAATATTGGAAATTATATCCCTCTGCCGTGATGAAGATACTTGACACAGCGAACATAAACTAACAAAGATCACCAAGAGCTTAGATGAAGCTCATTAAATTTCAGCACATAGCCAAATGCTTCATTTTTTAGACCGGGGTCAAGTCTAGTAAGTTTGTAGAAACACCGGGGCTTGTGATCATGTTTGACCTCACGTTCAAATTCGAGCACTCCTTTATAGATTTGCTCTTTAAACTCGATAAGGAGTTGAAAAATAAATTTTTAGGCAGTTCGATGTTTAACATTTATATCTGGATTTGCTAAATGCAGTTAGCATCATTCACCCTTGATCTAAATTTATCTTCCATGGAAACTTCTTTCCCACTGACTGACACAGGTCAGATCGTGCAACGGATACGTAGAGGCGTAGACGACGATGCCGAGTTTTCCAAGTTGTTTGAACACTTGATGCATCTATTTAATTATATATTCTGATACGATACATATCCGTGTATACGCGCACTAAAGCAACGCGAAGTTAAAACTCAAGAGTTTATGTCCTGCATTTTGTAGAAATAAACATGGACGTCAGTCCGTCTTCGTTATGTAAACAAAAAAATACGCGTTTTTGCAGAATCCTTCACGGGAAGTGCTTTATCACGTCAATCGGAAAGGCGGGTGACGATTTCAGCATTAGTGCTTTAACTATGTTGTTAGTCAGTCGCTTTCGCTGAGGGCGGTCCTCTCGACCTCCCATCCAAAAAAAGTTCTCTTTTATTGTTTTGCCCACGAGAAGGGTTTAGGATACACGTTTCAAAAATAGTTTAGTTATTCTCCGATTCTCTTTTTTTGCGTCGGCACGAGCTAAAATCGATTTTTGGCTGGGCCACCCGTGTGGACGGCGATCGTAAGTGTAAATTTCACAAAGCTTCTCGAGCGCGCTGCGACTGCAATGATACGGGTCACTAAATTCTCTCTTGCTACAAGTTATAAGATGTAGATTGTCAGTTCACAGACACAATATGGAAACTTTAACTGAAAACTTTTTCATACCAGTGTGATCAGAGGAGACCCCTCCCTTCGACCTTAATACGTAAAAAAGAGTTCTCAAAATGCAGGCGTAAATGGAGCTAAAAACGCATAATCGATCGCCTTAAACCCGCGGGCATCTTTAGCTTTCATCCACCAACGTTTTGAAAACGACGCAAATCAATGTGTTTGCTCAATTGCGCTCGTGTCATACCTCATTTGCATAACTCTGAAAATTGATAGAGATATCCTTTGGACCATTCAAACTTCGTTTGTTTATCTCCCACGTTGATAATTTCAGGTTTTCATAACAATTGAATGGAAAATAGATATCGAGTTGTGCTAAAACGTTGCATAAACGTGAACAGTCGTATCCGGCTTTCATGACGACGGAACTGCTGTTAGCGAGAGCGGCACTCAAATCAGTTTCCTCTATTTCTGAGAATTCCTTAGCAATCACAGAAGGTTTTTCTCAGATCCGCAAAAAGGTTTAAGAGGTGAAAGGTGAATTGAATGTTTGCAGAAATCAGTAGACAAATAGATTAGAGTCGCGGGTTATTGCAAAGAGCGGACGCTTTGTGTCTTGAATCAACATTTCGAGAACTACCCGTTCATTGTTTCTGACTCATTCAATTCAACCATTTGAATACACCATGAAAAATTTTTTGCATATTTCGCTTGTCGTTTTTCGGTAAATTCTCTGCACGAACAAGCTCTAAACTTCCCTCAGTCTTTGTTCTCGATGGAACTAACATATGAAAATCAACTTCTCGTCCTCAATATCTCATGCACAATTAGGTTTTCATAAGATTTCCGCTAAGATTAACTTGTCGGACAAACGTGTCGAACGTAATTTATCTCTTTACTATTCTTCCAAGTAAGAGGTATTATTCTGTTTTCCCAGTAGCAGTGCTCAGGAGGTCCATTAGTTTGGCAAGAGTTTTACCGCCGCGTAAATTCATGGATCATGTTTCGTTGATTACCTAGACTAAAAATATCGACTTTTACTTTTTCTAGTATGTATTCGTAACATGAGAAAAGGAACTATAGCATTATCCCAGCTGATTCAATTGAAATGAGGTTCCTGATTCCGCATTCGTAACAATGATATACGTTTTTTTCTTATCCTATGAGCTAAAGAGTACGGAAAGTGCTTTAACGTCTAGGTCAGAAAATTCTTTCTCGTACACTGTTCCGACATCTTCCTCTCTTTCCAAGAATTCCTAGTAATTACAAAGATCTTTCCATGAAGGGAGATGAAAGGTGACCACTCCCCCAGGCAGATGGTAGAATTTCAGCAGTTCTCTGGTCTTTTGCCATAAAGCTTAACCTTTGTGTTAACTCCCATGAAAAACATACGAGGGTCTTTATCAAGGTTTTCATGTGCTGGCGGTATCATTTATGTACTTTCTTTTCCAATGCAGCTAAAACACAGAATATCCCTCCTAACAGGCCATCGGTCAACATCGGTCACGTACAGAGCTAGCAGATATCATGACACTTTGTTCAACTCTCCGATAAATAAATAAAACAGCACGCAACTTGCTTAGAATTAGTCTCTACGCGGTAGGGAAAACTTCAAAGACAAGGTATGACTTGTTAAATGCTATATCGCTTGAAATCGCTTTAAACCCTACAGAACTTCATAAACCTTAGTAGACTTAAGTAGCCTGAGTTAAGAAACTGGGTGCAGTAAGAACTAAAAGAGTTTACGCATTACTTTTCACTGATAAGAAGACAAGCGGATTATATATTGGACGAAATTTGATAAAAAATTATCCACTGCATCATCGAAGAAACTGAACTTTTCTTTCCGTCTTCAGAAAAGCAATCACGTTGGGCAAGCAAAAGATGAAGCAAAAGGTAAGTAGGAGGCAAAATTTACTCGACATCATGATGGTTTTATTCGCCAAGACGATTAGTGGGCTAAGTGAGAATTCAGTTACCTATGTGCGCATGTTGTAGAAAAGAACTGACGACAGTGGTTTTTTTTGTCAGTATAGTTTTATCATCCACTTCACCCCTTCAATTCTTTTTTTGTATTTTGCTCAGTAATAACACACTTTTCCTCACCCTAAGGAATCTGTTTTTGAAATTGCTTCCTTGCAGTCGTTTTTCTATTCTACGCGCGTCAAAGCTTCTTTGTTTTCGTGTTGTCTTTAAGTACTTTAACAACTGGAATACCCTTCATACAACACCTATCAAAATGATAACCTTTAGAGCGAAGAGATAGCCAGGGCCTTAGCATGGTGCAATTTCTAATTAATTTGTCAATATAGCAGCTGCAAAAATTCAATTGGAGATGACAGTAGAGCTTATATGCGTGTAAACTTTACGACGCAGGAAAGCCGTCTTAAAGATGTCCAGAAACATGTCGCCGCGATATTCATTCTCTGGGTTCTGGGTTCGAACATACCAGGGTCGTCAGGTAAGACAATCAATTGATTATGTGTAGATCAGGACAGCCAAGTCTTTCATATTTATGATTAAGTCAAGGAGAGAGAGGTAACCCTGGGGTATTTGATTTCGATAAGAAACTTTTTAAAGTATGGAAGATAAGGCATACTTTCCATAATGGCACAATGTTTCTCTTCTTACTTCCCGCCTCTTTCCCTCAGAGCATCACAATCCACTTGAAATTTTCAGGTGCCACTTTTTACAACGATTTTCAAGACTGTAATGGAACGAAGTGGAAAAATACCTTTCCTGACCTGGATTTTGCACTTCTTGGCTACGACATCCTGCACGGTGATCCCAATGCCGAATGCGATCCAGGGTTTAAGCACCCAATATTCAGGGCTGACTATTCTGAACTTAGACAAAGTGCGGATTGTCGTTACAGCATCCCAGTGGGTCTGACAGCGTACCCATGTCAATCTTGCTTGGTGTCATTTGAATCTAAACTTGTCCGAAACAAGCAAGAAATGTCAAAACTCCTTGGAGGTGCAGCAAAGGTGGAAGGTAAACGGGAACTTAAATTTGAATTGCGAGATTACTCCCTGAATTCCTTGCATAAGACCCAATTGTTTTTAATAATGATTAATTACCAACCTATCTCAGCGAGCGCACTGAAGCTTGATAGACTGCGGTGTTTGTAACATAAAATGGGAACTAAAAACGTTTTTAGAGAAAGCACTAGGTAACAATAAGGGTGGAAATAAACGTAAATGTCGCGATATTCCAGTTTCGTTTTGAGGGTCTCTGTAACTCGGACTTGTTATACTTTAGGAAAGCCGCACCTTAGATATTTGATGATGTCTCAAATAACCCAGATGGAAGTCTGCCAATTATTTAGCGTCTTCCCATTGACGGACTGACGTTAAATCCAAGATTAAGAAGAGTTAGCCATGCTCGATTAATAGGCAACAGTATTTAGAGCATCATGCCGTCTTTGTTTTCAATCACTTAGGAGGAGGCTGGGGATTTCAATTCTCTGCTAGTGCAAGCTATAGGAGAGATGTAGCTGAAATGTCGTCTGGAGAGTATATGCGTGTTATTTCCAGTGCACATTGTCAGCACTATCGCAGTAAGATTGACCTCACGAGACCTCCGCCGTTTCATCCCGGTTTCATTGAGTGGGCGACAAAACTAGCTGATCCGCGGACTTCAGATGGAGATGTGTTACAGTTCGTCAAATACTACGGAACTCATTTCTTCTCAGACGTCACGTTTGGTGCAAAGTTCATCCAAAGCCACAAGGTAAATCAGGGGGCTCTAACGACCCTGAAGAAATCATCCTTCAGCGTGGAAGCCCAGGCGAGCTACTCAGGTTTATTCAGCATCGGAGGAGGATTTTCCATGAACAGCGATCAAAGAAACGCTGCGTCCAACTTTTTGAAAAATGTACAAACCACAACCATCACCGTTGGGTCTTCCCCACCCAGCAATGGAGACGCAATGACTTGGGCAGCGTCAGTTCAATCGAACCCTGTTCCAACCAAGTACACTCTTACGGGAATAGAGAATCTCTTTACTGATCATTTTACCAGACATCTTTCTCCCGAGGTTAACTACGGTAGTTTGAAGATGAAATTGGTGAGTGCTGCCTATAAATACTGCCAAGTTTTAAAAATGCAAGGGAAAGTCTCTTCGTGTGAGAACAACTATAACGTTGAAGGAACTGATATTGGATTTACACGTAAAGGTGCGGAAACGTCTTTGCTGTTTTAAATCCACGTTACCACTCCCTTTTAATCTTCACTTCTCTTTTTATCGTTAAATTCAGGTTGCCTTTTTTCCTACGCACCACAAACTATTAATTCAGTAATTATGCGTCGAACGAATTAAGAGTACAGTCTCTTACAACACTTCAAATACTTTTTCCTATTGAAATTATTAAAACTTGCAGACAATTTCTGTGACTCGCAAGTCAATTCATTCATTTGCAACAGGCGGTGGTGTACTGCTATGATTCATGTGTCTTATCGCATCCGTGAGATCTGAGCCTTTTTACGTCGTTCTCACGGTGCGTTTTCACTCTTTGGTTCTCATTGTCCACTATTTTTCTTGGCTATTAAAACTTTCAGACAATTTCTGTGGCTCTCAAGTCAATTCTTTCCTTTACAGCAGGTTGTGTATTGCTATGATTCACGTGTCTTATCGCATCCATGAGAACTAAGCCTTTTTACGTCGTTCTCACGGTGCGTTTTTACTCTTTGTTTCTCATTGTCCACTTTTATTCTTGTCTTTTCAGGTTACAAATACATCCGTGACGTAGACAAAGTCACTTGTGAAGAGATTTGTCTGGATGATGCAGACTGCGTGGCGGTTGAATTCCGTAATTTTACTTCAACCATTTGCAGTTTTTTCAAAGGTGATGTCGATGGTAAAGTGGTAAACCGAAAAGGAAGCCAAATTATAGTTTTCTTATCACAACTGGCAACCAACAAAAAGGTCCTCTCGCTAGAAAAGGCAAGCTTTCGAGGGTATGCATATAAAGCCACCAGACATGATAGTCGACGTTGTCGGCGGCAATGTCTGGATGAACTCGAGTGCGACGCTTATACGTGGAGTTCCTCAAGGAGCCTGAAGTGTTCTCTGTTTTTAGCTAAAGATATCAAAAATATTCGATATGATTTTTCATTCCAAGCGGTATTTGTACAAGACAAATAATTTAACCAATTTATATCTACAAGTAGGTTTCTTCGCATATGTTAAATTCCTGCATGAAGCATTAGGGAATTAGGTAGGCTGTCAACAGCTAAGATTTGAGACTGTAAGTTTTCATTAGTTAGAACTTAATGGCCAGCCGGACTAATACTGCATACAAACCTCTCCTATATAGGATATAGGAGACGTCTGCATGTAGGCTATAACCAAACTTCTCCGTTGATGATGCGAAAAAAGCACCAACCCAGTGTGATGATTCAGTTGCGCAAGTCAGAAATAAAACACGTTTGTCCCGATAGATTTGTAGAGGGTAGTGGATCAATTCCTGCATTTGTAAACAATCCTTAGCGCAACAATAAGTCCTTCTGCAGTAATACCACAACTCGCCGAGGAAAGCATTTCAGTATCAATTAGTCTAGGCATCTTCCTGCATTTCTAAACACGATGACACTGAAGAGTACCGAAATGAATTTTTTTATTCCTTCAGTTTTACTTCAGAGTCGTAAAGAGGCAGTACTAATACATTTGTCTATTGACCTCTAAGACTCTAAGTCGGGCAATGAGCTATGTGCTTATGATAACTCGCTTGACATTGGTCCGACAATCAATCACAAAAGGGTTAATAGCTTAGCAAATTTCCTGGATTCTCCCTTGTTGACTGGCTATAATAAATATGAATGTTTCATATCATAACAATAAATTCCTCAATAAACTACTTCCTACTTGGTGCATTGGTCTTCATTGGTTGTTGCGTCACGCAAGGCAGTATCTTCCACAAATCTACCCTCACTTTGCCTCAAAATATATTGAAGATTTTGTCAGGTGTCACAAGCAGATTAGTATCCGATTGGCAACGTAATCAAAATGACAACAGTAGTTTGGACTGATGGGCGAAGGGGATTTAATTTGGGAGCTTAACTTGATCGTACTTTAAACAGGAGGGTCTCTGCCCACCCTCAAGCTCTCCTTATTTTTGGATTTAGTGGATCCAATTCTGTTGCGTTGATAACAATAATAATAATAATAATAATAATAATAATAATATTAATAATTATAATAATAATAATATTAATGATTATAATAATGATAATTATAATAATAAAATTATTTATGTAGCGCTTTATACAAAAGTTCTAAAGCACCTAACGATAATAATAATTAAAATAATAACAATAATAATAATAAAATTATTTATGTGGCGCTTTATACAAAAGTTCTAAAGCACTTCACGATAATAAGAATTAAATTAATAATAATAATAATAATAATGATAGTAATAATGAAACTTAAAATAACCTAAGATATAAAATATCGTTTATAAAGATAAGTTTTCAGAGATGACTTAAAGATACTAACAACTTGGGGGCACCTACAGAGAATGCTCGGTCTTCATAAGTTTTCAGATTTGATGGAGGAACTTGAACTTGAAAACTAGATGGCGACCTTTATCGCCATTATTGCAGAAGGTAACTAATGTAACAAGGAGGCAAGATTTTTGCTGTCAGAGGAGGGCGTATCTCTGGGGTCATAGAAAGTGGCAATTAGTCGAAATCAACCGTCACAGTTTAATTAGGAATGTGTTATGTGAAAATGCACTGATCTTAAAGGAAGAATTTATATCATAATATTTCTCGCTATAACTATAACGTACCGTGGTCGGTCAATGTGCGATGTATGCAATGATATGAATGTCCTCTACAATCGTATCCCGCAAGTTAAACTGAAAAAAGGAAAATATGATAAAATTTCCTCCGCTCTATAACTGGATACTGCATGTTTCTTGATTAACCTTTCTTTTACGACCAAAGAAATCTAAAATTCAGAAATCGCTCCTTCAAGTGGGTGTGTCGCCGTCAACAGCAATAAATGATTCACTGACTCTTAGTCGATGGAATGCAGCATTTAGAGGTGTGCCTTGTTTACTTAAATCTGATTAATTTTTTTTTTTTTTGGTACGGATATTCGATATTTTCATTAAAAATGTTAATTTGGCAGGTCAACTTTAAATTCCGAAAGCGGAAAATCATGGTGGAATCCACCGCGAGTTTGCTTCTCCTTTTGGTGATCGAGTATCTTCTGCATGAAATAGCCGGCCAGCAGTGTAGTACGATTGGCATCAATGGAATAGCTGGCTGCCAGTGCAATCTAATGGAGGCCTGTGACGAAGATGGAAAACCAAAGTCCACCTGGGCTCAATACTTGCCAACCGGTGTAGATCAGTTCGGGCTTGTCGATGGAGGACACCAAAACTTGGCGTATCTCTGTGAAGTTGGTGCAGTTGCAATCCTCTATGACTGCAACAACCGAATTCCTCTCTTCGCGGCCACGGTAATTACAGGCACCCAATTATTAGGACGTGACTTCGGACGTCGACCACCCGCTAATTTTAGAAGAAGCAGTCTAAAATGGCTCTCTCTAAAATTTCAGCAAGTAGGTAAAGATTATCTTCGAGCAATAAACCGAGAGCTTTGCTATGTAATGAGGAGAGGAGACAGGTACCTCGTTGACAAAGACTGGGTTATTTCAAGTGGACACAAAAGCCGTTTCCGTACTCAAGACTGTCCTGGAGGATCGTTGGTCAAAACAATAATACACCGCGGGCACTTGATTGCCTCACAGTACGGCCGTAAAAATCCAAAAAAGAAAGCAGCAACTTTTACTTACACCAATGCTGTCCCTCAGTTTGGATTGTTTAACTCCCATCCTTGGCAAGTCTGTGAGGGACGCTTGCTAATGTGGGGAACTCAGAATTGTGCGAAAGTAAAAGGAGCAACGCAAGTTCAATTATTCATCGTGGTTGGCGCCATGCCATCGACAGTATTTAGTCCACTTAAACATCGATATTTTGGCAAAAAGGATTCAGCGACTACATGGACAATGTTTACCGGGTGAATGTGCCAAAACACATGTGGACTGCTGCTTGCTGTAGGTACAAAGCTAAGCGAGTCTGGAAGTATCACAGCACGGCCTTCAAGAGGGAAAATAATCCGGGAATGGAACCATGTGTTACGTCAGATATTGGCAAGTTATCGCGATGGTTGTTCCAATCAGTAAGAGGTGGGACTCGTGTAAATTTATTTCCGGAGACTCCCCAGTGCAATAAGAAGGATAACTTTATTCCTTTATGGTGATGCAAAAACTGGACACTGCTATTTTAGATAAGAAGGACGTTAGGAAAGCGACGCTTTCGTGATCATTACTCATGTAATAGGACTTGAAACACCTGAAGCCTTGTAATCACAGTGTACTAGTGTTATTTCTGTTCACGGAGAAAAGTTCCCTTTAAAACTAACTTCGTAAACTCGATATTTTGAAAAACCATTTTCGTTGTTAATTTTCGACCTCTTGTTATGTATGTATATTAGCTAGTAACCGCACAGTCGCATAATCGTATATCTGCAGAGAACATAAGACAGCGTGACATACTGTGCGACAACTGCAACAACCTCCTCTCATTAGTTAGGTTCTTTTTGCGAGTATCGTTATTCGTCAGGTGACCTGATCATTTCTAGTGCATGTAGGTTTGGTAAGACTTCTTAAATTTACTGAATTCAGTAATCTCTGTGATTTTATAAAACAGGACTTGCGAGTCTAATCCTTATCTCTGACATCTCTGGCCGGTTCAGTTTAGTGGCAACTGCGTCCAATAGGAGGCGAGGCCTCATATGTCGTCGAAACGAGTGAGTGATGCTAACAATAGAATTGCGATCTTGACCCAATTTTGACCCGATGTTTCCCGGTGATACTTATTGTTTGTTTCGAAGTATCTTAGTACTTCGATATTCGCACTCGATACACAATTGAGTTCTCTCCTTCTGTAATTTCTGGCTTATAGCCACTGACACGTTGTAGTATCAGTTCTTGTCGTGACACTACAAACACCTCAAAATAATTTCTCAGTCGCGTCTTCGGCACGTTGAAGACAAGACTCCATGCGGAAATATATGAATAAGTGTGATATGCACATCGTGGAAACTTTGAAGAAAAATGTTGTTTAATTCGAAGAGAGAGTATTTTATCATTTGAATTAGCGACTAGTGCCCAAAAGAGCCGCTATATTTGAGAAGCGAGCAAGGTCCGAAGTTTAACAGGGTGACCCTATTCGACGGAATGATGGAACGGTGGAATGGTGGAGTACCTCGTTTTATGAAACATAAGTCTCACAAAAATGAAATTGCAATGAAAAAGGAAAATAATTTGTAATCAACAGGCAAAATCAAAAGAAGCATAATTTAATCATTATTGGAGCCTTGAGGATAGACCGACAAAGAAACAGTGAGGTTTCTTGAGCCCCCTATTAATTATCATCGAGGTCACAGTTTTTCACCATACGGACCTACCCTTAGCCGGTAAATAACATATTTTATTGTTTTTTTAGAGGGCACATCACCCGGTCAGTATTTGTTAAACTGAACGATGGAACTTTCATTCATTTAATATCTGAATTTTCTCGAGCAATTTGTTCATAGTAAAAAAAAAAAGCGAGCGAAGTTTTAATTTAAGTTCTACAACAAATATACGCTCCTGGTGAGTCTTTCCAATTCCGTTCAATTTGGACATTTGTACCTTAAATTGCACAACAGAAATTGAAGGAATTGAGAAAAGGCTGCATTAAATTCCCTTGTGTCTCGTTAGAGTGTGCCGTTCGAATTTAGTTTTTGTGAAGGAAAGATCAGAGTTAAACACGCCATTACAGCAAACAAACGAGCAAACTCTCACAACTTCAAAATAAAAAATTGAATTTACCCACAATTACTTTCCTCGCCGTTTACTTAATGAACAGAGGTAAATCTTCGTACATGAATGAATGGTCGATGAGAGTAAATAATACTTTCCGTTAGATCATTAACTGATTTGTAAGAAAACATTGTCGTGACAGTCCTTGCCAAACTAGTTCTGATGGTTTTCAAATGTTCCTACGATTTTTTTTCTTGCGCGCTCTCTAATTGACAGGTGTCAGATTGTGACAGATACTTGTAAAAATAATGTTTCAAAGTTTGTTTGGAAGCCTTTTAAATCACCTTTATCGTTACGGAAATGAAAATGTTTCGCTACGGCATCTCTCTTAAATTTGCATCACCTCTATTTTAACTACCATTTACTCACTCAAACATTGTTCAGTTTATGGAAGATCTTGCCGTATTTACGGCCATAAGTCATTCGGGTCCTTTCGGAAAGAATTTCGTCAAGTTTAAAAACAATAAATATGTTATTTACCGGCTAAGGGTCGGTGCGTATGGTGAAAAACTGTGACCTCGGTCTTGAAAATGCTGCCCTCGGCCTACGGCCTCGGGCAGTATTTTCAAGACCTCGGTCACAGTTTTTCACCATACGGACCTCCCAGCCGGCAAATGACATATATATTTTTTTAAAACTTAACGAAATACACTCTGAAAGAACCCGAATGATTTAGGGCTATAAATACGGCAAGATCTTCCATAAACTGAACAAATTTTGAGCAAGTAAATGGTAGTTAAAGTAGAGGTGATACAAATTAAAGAGAGATGCTTCACTGAAACACTTTCACTTGCGTAATGATAAAGGTGATTTAAAAGGCTTCCAAACAAAGTTTGAAACATTATTTTTACAAGTATCTGTCACACTCTGACACCAGTCAATTAGAGAGCGCGTAAGAAAAAAAAGCGCAAGAAGATTTGAAAAACAACGGAACTAGTTTGGCAAGGTCTGTCACGACAATGTTTTCTTAAAAAACAGTCAATGATCTAACAGAAAGTATTATTCACTCTCATCGACGATTCATTCACCTCTGTTCATTAAGTAAACGGCCAGGAAAGTAATTGTGAGTAAATTCAAATTTTTTATTTTGAAGTTGTGAGAGTTTGCTCTTTTGTTTGCTGCAATGGCGTGTGTAAATCTGGTCTTTCCTCCACAAAAACTAAATTCGAACGGCACACTCCAACGAGACACAAGGGGATTTAATGCGGCTTTTTCTCAATAAATTCCTTCAGTTTCTGTTGTGCAATTTATGGTCCAAACGTCCAAATTGAACGGACTTGGAAAGACTCACTGAGAGCATATATTTATTGTCGAACTGAAATTAAAACTTCGCTCGCTCTTTCACTACGAACAAATTGTTCGAGAAAATTCAGATATTAAATGAATGAAAGTTCCATTGTTCAGTTTACCTGTAACCAAATACCTCGCGTTTTAACTTTCTAGGTACTTTTTGTGAATGATTAAAATCAATTGCAGACGGTTTTTAGGCCGCTTGTCAACCAACGTAATGACACTATTGCTTATATAAATTCATTCTGAAACCAACATTTTTTTGTCAACCAAAGTGATTTGATAGAGAGAAAAGAGATTCATAAGTCGGCTTAAGGTAGTGACCGATGTGTTTGCTTAAAAATACTGCCCAGCCGGCAAAATGAGGTATATTTATGAAAAATGGCAACGAAAGTTGGAATGTACTCGGCGACTCACGAAAGCGTTACCGTGGCCCGTGGGCAGAGATAGGAAAATACTGACCGGGTAAAGAACCAATCAGATTGCAGGATTCGTTACCGTGCCCTCTAAAAAAAATAATATACGATTATTTGCTTTTTGCTTTCACTGAATGCTCTGTCACGCTGCCACCTCTACCCCCAGTATAATCGAGCGTAGCGTGACAAACTCACGAGAGAGCTTCGTGCTTCGTTCACTAGTCACTACAACTTCGCCACGTTTGTATCTGTGAATTACCACAATGAGCTTTTTAAGGCGACTGATTCCACGTTCGAAAGTTGATGTTAAAGACAAATTTGTTTTAATTACGGGTTGCGATTCCGGTTTCGGTCAAGAGACAGCCGTTCGACTGGATAAGATGGGGGCTTGTGTGTTGGCGACTTGTTTAACGAAAGAAGGTGAACAAAGTTTGAAATCTGTGGCGAGCGATAGATTGAAAACTTTCCAGATGGATGTGACTAGTTCGCAACAAATTAAGGAGGTCTACGAAGAAGTTGAAAGATATATTCCTTATAACACAGGTAAGCTTGCTCTTCAAACCAATGTACCAGTTTAATGCGGTTGAAGGCCCGGGAAGTGTTCGTGAAAACCAAGTACTAATAAGATAAAATCACTAAATTTCCTTAAAAATTATTTATTTCGATCACAGTTGTGAAATGAAGGACTTCTCGTGTTTTCATGGATGTGCCACGGCATAAAGAGTTGCAAATTGATGCAAATATATACATCAGATGGATGAATTCGACCGTGAAAAACAAATGTTTGAATGCTTTAAGCGACGTAAAATATGATTATCGCGCGTTTGTATTCCTAGAATCCCTGCATCACGTCCCGTTAATTTACTCTATTAATAAATCTTAGCAGAATTAAAAAGGTGAAAAGATACATTTACTTAAAATGATCAGTATCTTGAATGTACCAACTACCACTATCAAATGATATTTATGAAGAGCACGAATCCAACATTACACGTAACGCTGGGCGCTTGATTGATCGAAGTTTAATTAGAAAATTATCACCGATTGCTCACGCTTGATGTAAATTTCCTAAATCCATAGATATAAGCGAGAATTGACGAATAAAATGAGCCACATCGTAGTATAAAGTGATTCTAATAATCCATTCGTGTGCTCAGCGAAATAGCGTGACGCGACCGGATATTTGATACGATTCTTGTGACGTAGAAAAACAGGCGACGCGTGACAAAAAATTGAAAGCTGGGGTGTGGAGAGGGGGGTGCACTGCAGGACAACTAAATCCGAGTTGTAAATTAAGTTACACGTAAATTTCCTTACCAAGCTGAACATTTACTCAGTGTTGTTTCAGACAATTTCACCATGATAAAAATTTCAATCTCATTTCCACCTTTTTTGCACAAGAGTGTGTGAAAATGGTAATGTATCCCCACTAATTGGTAATGTATCCCCACTAATTTTTCTTCTTAGAGGGCTGAGATAATAATGTTTGTTTGTTGGACCTGCGCAAAGTAGTGCTGAATTAAAAGAGTCACCAAACGGTTTCTGTATTATCTTTCTTGTTTCTCTATCGCTAGGATTGTGGGGCCTCGTAAATAATGCTGGAATCGCCTATCTGGGTCCCATCGAATGGACACCGCTGGAACATTTTAAACGCACCGCCGATGTTAATCTTTGGGGGACGATTGACGTCACTAAAACTTTTCTACCGCTGGTAAAAAGAGCCCAGGGACGAGTTGTAAATTTCTCAAGCGTTCTCGGTAAGTCGGGTGGGAGATCTAGGGGAAACACCCCACTTCCCTATTCCCACATCCCTACCGTTCTTGCTGCTCCAAAACCAAGGTATCGAAATACTTTAATATGTGAGAAAACATTTTCGGGAACGGATCCTCTCCAGGTCTACGTTTGACAAGTGGCACGAGTAAACTATCAGCAGCTCTCTGAATGTAATGCTGTATCTCGTTTCTGGTTTGCTTCCAGGTGTGTAAATCTGCGTGGCAATCGTTCTATTTTAACTTTCCAACGTTCCTTTCGCTAGTGCATCATTTCCAACAATTGACTTAAAACTAAAGTTAATAATCGGACTCTTTGTCCATCCACTCAACAGGTCGAGTATCCCTTACACTAATGGGATCTTACGCAGTAACAAAGTACGGTGTGCAAGCATTTTCAGACGCTCTCAGACGAGAGATGTATCCTTGGGGAATAAAAGTTAGCATTGTAGAACCCGGTGGATTCCGTACTGAAATTACTAACGCACGCTTAGTACAGAGACAGCTCCAAGAAGGCTGGAATGGATTGAATGATGAACTAAAACAAGAGTATATGGAAAAAGGTAACAATAGCATCTATTGCAGAACTGCAGTGGTACAAAATCTCCAGCTTTCTTCTCCTTCTGCATGCATATGAAAAAATAAATAGGAGGTGCACGTCAGTAGAAATAGAGATTAACTACTGACTGGGTTAAGACCTTCCATACTACCGAATCAAGAAAGAGTATTTCTACATCTATGAATAGAGGTGCTGAGTAAAAGGTAGTTTAAAGGGGCTCTTTGAGACAATTTTATGTGAGTTTATTCATTTCAGTCGCGGTAGTATGCACAGAACAGAACAGCATCATTATGAAAATTAGATTAAAAAAAAACACATTTCAAATAGAGATTTCGTACGCTTTTACATTACATCTGAACTTCACCCAGCTCGCCTACGGACCCAGCCATAGGGAAGGGTCTAAAATTTTAGCGACCGGGTCTGTCAAGGGAGCTACACTCCATAGACTGGGGAAAGTTAAGCATCACTTGACCACACCGATAAGAGATGTCCAGCTCTGAGAAGCAGGTCTTAAAACTATTAGACTGATTCTTCAATCTTTCAGCTGAAAGCACTTTTACGGTTAAAAAAAGATGAAACGTTGAATTATGAAATATAGATTTGCCTACCACTGTTCTTCTTTTAGGTATTAAATTGTTTCTTCCAATGCGACCTTCACCTCATACCTATAAAATTGTCGACGGCGTTGTCGAAGCTTTGACGTCAGAGTCACCACGTGACCGATACTTGATTGGTTTGGACACCCCGGTTTACGCGTGGTTGGCAAGGTTACCAGCTGTTTACGGAGATGTCATAATCCAGCTTTTATCTATTACGCTTCCACTGCCACCGAAAATTACAAAAATAAAGCTGTAAAATAAGTCAGCAGTGAACTGAGCGGCAATCAACGCTCTTTCTTGATATTTTGAACTGAATTTGAAGCATCGAAAGGCTCGGAACTGGAAAATAAAATCAAATACTCAAAGAGTCACTGAAAAGCTCGTTATCCTCAGTTGCGAGATTGCCAAATTGCAAGTTCTTGTCAATCACCTACGTTCACGACAATCCACGATGTGAAAACGGTTCACGATTTTAGTTCTATGGTTAGTCACAGAAGCTTATAACCTGTAGGTCATAAGCTTCTGCCTGTAACCGTTAGCGTTTGTATCTGCAATTGCAAGGCTAAGTATGCTTACACGTTTTTACTCTAAACATGTTTGCCATACTTCTTTTTCAAAGTCAGGAATTCACGAACAATTTTTTCTATTTTAAGCCATCATAAATTGATACTCCGGTGTTCAAATGGTGCTTTCAAGATATTTCAGACTTCTCGTTGTCATTTTCATTTAGTGGTTTTGATCAGCACTTTAGGAGTACTACTGTATTTTAACCCTTTAACTCCTAAGATTTCATTAGTAATTCTCCTCACTGCCTGCCATACAATTTATGTGATGTTAGTTTGGAGAATTTGGAATTGGATCAACCACTAATTCCCTAATTGATATTTTTCTTTATTCTCATTACTTGTCTGCTTGAGATCAAACTGATAATATAAGGAGAAATTCTGTCTAGGTCACTAGTGGGATTTAAAGTGTTAACAAAATATAGCTCTTTGTGTTGATCAATTTATTGCCTGGGTCAGCTGGGTAACAAAGTTTTTTACCTTTTTAACCGGGAGTAAGGCTCTTATCAAGTATGGAAATTGAATTTATATTTACATCCACAAGGCTTGAAGACTGTGAAATATTATAATTGTTTGTTTGTGTGAGTGTGATGTCTGTATAGTTTGTGTATAATGACCATATGATACCTGTACCTCTGCTATAAAAGTTTAATTAATAATAACTTAATCCAGCTCCCTGTCATTTCTAGCAGAATAGTTACTCTAGTTGGTCGGTATCCTCTGATTATCATTATTAATCATCAATTGTTACATATTGTTAAAAGTTGATGTAGGGTACAATAAAGTTATTGTTGTTGTTAGTGCAAGGAGCACTTGCCACTGTGAAAGATAAATTGCAGTGACTCAAGGACAGACACCCAGCTAACAAATCAAAACTATTTTGATCCCAGATAAGGTATAAATTGGAGGCAAAGGGAAGAATCTATTCCTGACTACACGAGGTTTACTTGCTGGTGACTTCAAAATGATCGCACGAGTGTTTGAGGCAGTAAAAACAACCAGGTTTCTGTAAATAGCTTGTAAAGTTGAGTAAGTATCTGAGCATAGACTAGTAAAGGGTTAGAGTTTCAGAGAGCAAGGATGGCTCAGTGGTGATAGCACTTGCCCCCCACCACTGCAGCCTGGTTTCAATTCCTGGACCTGGCATCACATGTGGGTTGAGTTTATCATTGCTTCTTGTCCAAAGGTTTTTTCTCAGGGTCCTTTGCTTTTCCTCCCTCCACAAATATAAACACTCCAAATTCCAATTTGACCTGGAAACAGTAGACAAGAAGACCCACCTACTGGAGTGGCCTTTGCTAAATCCCATTTTTAAAATTATTACATTAAGAGTACCTACACAATAAATATTATTATGAAACATTACACTCACTATGAAAAATCTGATTGGTCAAGAACATGGAATAAATATACAATAGCCTGTGAAATTGACATGAAAACCTAATCTCTGAAGTGGATATTACAATGATTGTTATCCTAGCCCCTCATCCATGTAGTGCTCTTGCACCTTCAGCTTAAGCAGATACCTCACATCCACATTTTGATATTCTTGATATCATGCTCAACCTCATCCAATAATTGCTTATTGAAATCTGGTTATTTGATTACCACCTAATTTTTTATTGTGACCAGAATATTCTAGGGGCAAATACCCCTAAGGATACAGGGTAACTATACACTTGTATGGTTTACTGTCACTTTTCCTTAATATTTTGATAATTTGCCCATGCATGCAATGAATGCACTTTGCAATCTTAAAATTTTGAGACTTGGTAATATTTTAAAGACTGAAAACATTGCTTTTAGACACATAAAGTGAAGAATTATGAAAGTTACTGTGTCAGGGATTCTTGCTCAAGGAGAAGGAAAAGAAAAAAAGGTAATACTATGCAGCAAACCTGAATTTCTAAAAAAGTACAAAGGTACTAGATTTGTTACATCTGCGTTTAAATTCTTTGAAGCAAAATGTGGGAATCTCATTAAGTACACCTGACCCACTAGTTCAAAGGGTGGATAATATATTATCTACTGGGATATTATCTACTGGGTAAATCACTGTCCAGTTGATAGTGCAGTATGTTTTGTGAACACTTATCCACTTGATGGCAATTTATAATTATTTTATATACGTTATGTACCCTTGAACAACTGGACACTGCATGAACTTTAAAGTTAACTTCAAGTTCATAGAGTCTCCCATGTATAAAGCTCTCAAACCACAATGTCAAACAGCTTTCATTGAGCACTCAAAACTATAGCTATTTAAGCCTTGCTGGTTCAGGGTGACCAGCATATACTAGGGAAGCATTTTAAGTTTGTTCTACAATCTGCCTCAATACAATTAAGTGGAACATTTTGCAGGGTAGAAACTGAACTCATAAGGGTGAATTATTATACCCATGAAATTGTTGGAACACACAGAGAAACTTTGGTTCTGCAGAATTATGCTCATAGTGCATAACTCCTGACAAAACCCTTCATTTATTTAGTCAATAGGAATGTTACCATTTAAATCAAGACTTGAAGGAAAAACCTCCAAGTTGCTATTAAAATTATGAAAGTGTTTTGTGTTATTAAGATTTGTTTAGAAAAATTGGAAATTAAGAACCAAATGTAAAAAACTGTAACAAGCATTATCAATAAAGCCTGCAATGCTGACTATAATATCAACATGGCAACAACCGCTTCAAAGGCATCTACACAACTTTGCATGATCAACGTATTTAATAATTTTTGCTTTGTGATGTAACTTTATTGGGTTGCTTTTAAAAAAATTGAAAATATTTAAAAATTTATTTTAAATATTATGATAATTATCATAAAAATAAACACCTTTACACTTTTGTTTTTGTATGCTTTAAGACTTAAATTTAATCCGATAGGGTTTGCCAATAAAAAGTATAGTGAATGATTATTGATTACATCGGCTATCAAAGTTCAGCTCATCCTCAATCTTGTCAAGCATCAGTCGCAAAGTGCGTGTTTATCTGTAGAGGATATTTTTTTGTTTCAATCATTACCGGCGTTTAACTCTCAGGGCAATAAATTATGCGTAAGTACTCACACAATTTGTATTTAAAGGTATTTAGTACTTACCAGACGACTACAACAGTGGTTAGAAAACACTTAATTTACCACAAAGTCTTGAATAGCCGAGAAGTTTTCCAGACTAGCTACACGTCTACGCATGAGCAAATATTGAGGTCAACAGATACCCGTATGTGTTTGGAAAGTCTCAAGTTTTCCTGTTCCCTACTTTTGTTTACTTTTACAAATTTCTATGAAAGTTTAAATTTGCTTTAGCTTATTTTGAAGTTGTAAACAGTGTTTTGTTTTGAAAGGAAGGAAGAAAGAGAGAAAGAGAGAGAGGGAGGGAGAGAGGGAGAAAGAAAGAAAGAAAAAAGGCCTGAATGAAATAGGTCACTTGGTAATCCAGCTAAATAATAATTTTCGAATTTTTTATTTCAAATCGCTTTAATTCTGAAAGAGCTAAACATCGATTTTATTTGAATCATTTTTGTTTTACAAGGAACTCCAAAAGAGAGGTAATAACAGACCAAAGTAGGAAAAAAGGATGATGAAGATAATATGTAAGCGCACCTCTGACGTTAATCTTTAGGAAACTATTGACGTTACTAGCTGGTGAGGAAAGCCCAGGGACGAGTTGTAAACTTCTCAGGTGTGAATTGTAAGTTACCGAGTAAAGAGGGGAGAAAGACGAGTAATAAAATAGAAGGCAGTCTATGACTGCACGTGCCTAGAGTATTGCAGTAAAAAATAAATGATATATAATTAAAATGAAAGAAAGATGGAAGAGATGAGACCCGGTGCAGTTTCAACTTCAATTTTTAGTTTGGATTTGTTTCCAAGGCAGATGTGGGAGGCTTGGGGTGATTTGAATGAAGATTATGAAAAGAATACACAGAAGGTGATTGATTTTAAATTTAGTACAGTTTCGTTACGTGGACATGTTTTGTGACTCCTGTTGGACTTTCTTATATGAGAAAGGCCTAGTCTGCTGGACTCAAGGAAATCAGATGGTGCTATTCCATCATGTAAGAACTGAGCGAATATGAAGGAAAACAGTATCCACACGCAAAATTTAAATCTCACTGCAGTTTAATCACTCGACCACATCTTACAGGCATGCTCAAAAAAGTAAGACCAATTATTCACCTCAACAAGCAATGAGAAAATCATGAGCGCACTCTTTCAGAGTAAAAAGGAAAAAGCTGTGTACTAATCTAAGGTTTCTTCACTATTAGTAAAAGTTCATCGTTTTTCAGAATTTGGTTTTAACTTGAGTAAAGTTAAACACTTCGGAGAACAAAGGACACACACTAGTTGTCTACGCGGCCAAAATCTTGCGCGCTTCTCGCACACACGTTATGGCGATCGACACTTGATCTTTAACAAGTTGCCAGTTGTTGGTCTTGTCGATGTCGAACAAGGCATCGGTGATTCCTGGGAAGCTAGAACTACCATAGATGTTGTGCATCTGAGGCGCAAACAGCACGTGGCGAACTCGTGTCCTTCCCGGAAGTCCGAATGGCCAAATGAAAGCGCGCTCCATGTTCATCATCTGATCATTAAGAATACGCAGTTGGGTGAAGTCCTTGATATCACTAGCGTTAGCCTTTCTTTGCTCGAAGACGTCTGCAGTTTTTGAAAACTCTGCTACCTCACGAGCCAGGTAATTAAGAGTTATATTTCCCTTCAAGAGTTCAGATTTGTGGACTGTTTCCAAGGTATCAAGGTTACGTTCCAGAGCTATTTTGTAGTCCGTGAGATTGTAAGGAAATAAGGGGAGTGTCAGCAGCCGCGAGCAGAATTCTTGCACCTATTTGAGACATCACCAAGTGAGTGGTGAAATGTGGATCGTTGAAGGTTTTTTGCCAGTAGAATGTGTCATGAACTGTGTGATAAACAGGATATAGAGTCCTGTTCATGCTCTTAAATCTGTAACTCATGTCAATACTTGGTACTCCAATGAAATGACTGAAAGGCGCATAATCAGATCCAGAGCCTAGACCTCCAAATTGAGGTTTTCCAGGAGATGAGGAAGGATATTTCTTTGACCAGCGATCATAAACACTTACGCTCTTTTCCCGCCCATTGGGATCCTTCACGGATGCGGTTTCTCGATAAACAAGTGACTTTAAGGAAGGATTCCCATTTGCTCCAAAGCTGTAGTTTCCTTTCACCGCAGAGTCAACATTCAGATACATGACTGCTTTGTCTCTTAACATGTTTCTGTTTTCTTCCACCCATTCATATGAACCGACTAGACCATATTCCTCAGCGCCCCAACTGCAAAGCTTGATCGTTCTCCTAGGCCGCCAGTCAGTTTCGTTCAGTAGTTTTCCCAAGCCGCGCGACACTTCCATCATAACCGCTGACCCACTTGAAGGATCCACTCCGCCAAACACCCAAGCGTCTCGGTGATTTCCCATGAGCACCCAACGATCGGGCTCTTCTTTTCCAAGGATCGTACCAATGACGTTATACGCAGGTAACGTAACGAACTGGTTGTTCACCTCCAGTCTCACTTTAAAGTTTCCATCTGGGGAGCCTGGGCCAAACTTATAGACGATGCCTAGGCCACCTGCCCAGCTTGAGGGTACTGATTTGCCTTGGTGAAGTACCCAGAATTTAAATTCAGCGAAAAAAGAGTTTCGAAGATTGATTTGGGTAGATCATTTAGCTAAATTATATATCAGGAGTTACCTCTTAGGAGTACCCCCTTAAACATAAAAAGATGTAGAGTTATATTGTGGCCTTCCTCGCCAAGAGTTTTCTTTATAAGAAAGTTTATTGGCGGAGAGTTTGAGCCCAATTGAAAGGTGTGAGGAGGTATGATTCAAATATATCTTGCCCTACGCCTCTGACAAATAAAATGGACATATCTCTTCAATCTGCTACTTCCTACTTTTCTGTAGGTGATGTTAAAAAAAAATCAATTCAAGGGGAGTGCCTAATGATTCCATTATGGTCCGAAAGTTTCAAACCTCAACAAACGTAGAGCTTAAGTCACTGCCTCACTGAGGGGACAACACTAAATACGTGACATCATACCTCCAAGACGCTTCAAAAATTCGACAGCATTATCATACGTTAACACTTGTGCAGGAATTTTCGGTATGGCGTCGGTGTCGTTGATGGCTAGTCTGTAAACGCCGTCTATTGATGGCAGGAGAGGGGTCAAAGGATCACCATCTGCTAAGCCAATAGTTCCTCTCTGGGTACCAGTTCCTGGAAGCCACCATGTCTTTGGGAACGTTTCCTCCATCCCTTGTGGAGAGTAGTCCGCTGGATCAGAATATAGCAGTGCACCAACAGCTCCACAGTTTTGGGCGTTAAGGACCTACAGGGACAAAAACGTTTGAGAATCATTGAACAACCATGCAAACGACACTAGGCGTTTCTCAAATTTTACCTTATTTCCTCGAAATATTTTTCCATATCGCATGATCACAATCTTTCCAGTGCATTTCAAGTTTCTCTTCTCTAATTCCAGGAAATCGTCCACAGTACCGTAGTTTGCGTACATTAGGTCACCCACCACGATTCCCGGTGGAGAGTAGCCCAGGAAGGGTGGCAGGACAAGAGGGTCGTTTTCACTTGGCTCTGCGATCTAAAAGCCGTAAGCAAGAAAATATTTCCCCTTCAATTTTTTGAAATAAGAAGAAATTTGGAGAAACAAATGATTACAAAGTTCGACGCTAGAACGTTAGAACTTCTAAAAGCTGTTTTTATGATATTTTTAATGACGTTTCAATATTACTTCACGTCATTATCAAGTCAAGAGTAAAAAGGACAAGTGAAAATATATTAAGTAATACAAGAACAATGAAAATTTTATTTTTGTCCCTTTAAATATAGTTCCCAAAGGTGAACTATAGACTTTTTGGGGAACTGTACCATAGGAATAAACACATTCTCTCCGTTGTCGTTCCTAACTTAACATGTCTTTCACTTGTTAGTTTAAATAGAACTTTTAAGAAATTGAAAGGAAAAATACAAACAAACAGTTGTTATATGTTCTAAGAATTAATTATGTTTTTAAATAACGAGTTAAGACGACACAGAAGGGACAAAGCTAAGGCTTTTAAATTTGTAGGACGGCTTGACATGCAAATTTAGAACTTGAGTGCTAGTTTTGTCCATCTAAACAAGGGAGGATAAAAAATGACTGGTGCTGGATATGAGTGCCTTTTTTGCTTCGGGGTTTTGTCTGTGCACAATCCATTCCGAGTTTATCCTAGTTTTTACAAATCACCCTAATAACAGCAGGGGGTCACTCGCCTTTTCAGGGCCTGTTACATTCCAGACAACGCTTCCTATAAACACGTCGAGGATTTGAACGACGTTGGGTTTATTTCTTGGTGGCCTGGATAGAAAGACGTCATATCGCACCATTTCCACGTGATCAAACTTATAGCTGACCCACTTGTCATGGATATATTCGCCAAGCTTTCTATTTTGTTCTCCACCACCAACGTGGGGGCGCTTTGTAAAAATGCTACGCGAATAGATATGAGTGAAAAGTTAGCTGAATCAAATGAAACAAACGTGAGGCGAGCGCGAAGGCCTCACGCTCGCCTAGAGCTTGGTAAAATGGAGCGAATAGTCACGAGGTTCGGGTAACGACCCGACCCAGACCTCCTTCTTCGTTTATTTCACTCATCCGCTACAATTCTCGGTTTGTAGCTGATGTCATACATATAATTTAAGCGCCGCCATGTTGGTGCTCATCTTAAGTGTGAAATTTCATGCAAATATAATGCCATCTCTGTAGTGCCCCCTTTCAAATACTTTGTTCTATGAATACTTCGAGTGAAAAAAATCCAGAATTCCAAGGGAATATTCTCCTTAGGATACCCGTGCTTTCGAACTATGCGGAGGACCTAGAAAGCCGTGTTCGAGAACGAAAATTTCTGTGGTCGGTGTCGATCCAGCAGCCATTCCAAGGGAACAGTTCTACTTAGAATGTTTGCTCCCTATAGAAGTCTCGGACCTTCTTTCCTATTTAGTTCTGGAGACAAGTTATTATACAAATAAGCAATTTAAAGCTTTCAAAAATGTTGAAGCGTACAAGCGAGTGATGTCTGGCTTCGTAACATCGGTTCAACAAGATTGTTGTTGTGGCGAAGGTGAGACATTCGCAGCGTATGAACGATCCTCTGGAAGACATTTGGATCATCGCAGAAAGTGATGGTACCATTCTTTCTACTCATTGCTAAGGCTGCAAGGCAGGCCTTGCTGAATCCTGCTCGCACGTAGCGTGTGTACTTTTCTATATCGAAGCAGTGACAAGAATCCAAGGGAAACTCGCATGTGCTCAAACAAAATGCACGTGGATTCTGCCAACTTATGTTAGAGAAGTGCCGTACTCGAAGGTGCGGGAAATCGACTTTTCGTCCGCAAAAAAGCTTAAAAAGACGATGGACCAAAGAATCGACTCCCTTCCCCCCAAATTTCGGGAAACAGCAGGAAAACTCAGCGGAAAAGGACGATCAAAGTAAGCCCATCGCGTTTCTATCAGAAGAAGAAATGCAGGCTGTGTATACGAAGCTAAATGCTTGCAAAATTAAAGCTGCTGTACTCAGCTTCATCGATCCCTATGTTCACCAGTTTATCGATGAGAGCCGCTCACTGCCGATTATTCCCAACCTATTTGAAACGGGAAATGTTGATCTTGATTATCCAGAACTACTGAGAAAATGTGTTGAAGTGACATTGGATATTTCTGATGAGGACGTAAACAAAGTGGAACTCAACAAAAGAGATCAAGCTAGTGGGTCAGGATTTCTTAGACATCGAGCTGGCAGAATTGGTGCGTCTGAAAGTCATGCAGAATTTCACACAAACATTGCACAGCCCTCTCACTCTCTGATTAAAACAATTTGTTAACCAAGCCTCTACATAGTTAACAATAAAGCTACCAGGCATGGCCAGAGGCATGAAAGTCATGCTGTAAATGCATACGAAACTGCTGTAAAAACTGGTCATGTGAACTTAACTGTTAAGAAGTGTGGCTTTTTTATCAACAAAGAACATGAATTTCTCCATTCCACTCCTGATTTTCTAGTGTCATGTGACTGTTGTGGCACTGGATGTGGTGAAGTGAAGTGCCCAATTATAATCAAAGATGGCAACTTTGAGAACTTTGCTCAGCAGAAGAATTCCTGCCTAGAAAAAATGAATGGACATTTACAGCTCAGAAAAAGTCACAGCTATTACTATCAGGTGCAGCGACAGCTTTTCTCTGTGCCTGAAATCAAGTATTACGACTTTGTGGTTTGTGTCATTGATGAGAAAAAGAGCATGAATTTAATAGTGCTGTGCAAATATCCAGATGTGCAGCACTGGAACTCTGTACTGCCCAAACTGGAAACATTTTGGAGAATACGCATTCTTTCAGAAATTCTAGGGCGATGGTAAACCTGAAGATGCACAGTGCCCCCTAAATTACCAGATAAGGATGCACCATTTCATGCAGTAACAAAAAGTGCCCTTATGAAAGGTTTCACCCTTCCTGTCTTTAGCTCATAACCATGAGAAAGCAGAAGACTTGGTATTGCCCTCACTACTCTCGACTTCCCCAATTCAAGAGAAGAGGTGGTACCAGGACATCAGCACAACCCTCTATGGCATCTATTCAGGCAGCTATGAAATTGGATAACATTTGCATCTGCAAGGCTAAGCCTAGTACAACAGAGACAGTTGTAGAATGCCATGGAGACAACTGTAAAAGAAGATGGAAAAAAAAGAACTCACTTTTTCCATTCACATTTACCTTTACTTTGTTGATAAAAAGAAAACACAGTTTTTTTTAAACAGAATGCCCAACAATTATTGGACAACTGAATTCTGAATGAAGATGACAACAAATCTTGCAGTCAAATCTATTTTGACAATGCCACCACCCTTAAACAAGTATTGTTCTTCATCAGATTCCTTTGAGCAAGTGGTGAAGGGGAAAGTGATATTTCTATCTCTAAAGTCTCAAAATGGAAGTTTTCACCATTTTTGAATGGGACCTCCAATCAAATGGTATCAATAGTTGAGGACTTCAATCATACACAACATACCGTAACTATTTGGAATGGGAAGTTAATCAAATGGTACAATAGAGGACAGCTGCACAAACTCTTGTCATGTGATCCACCAGTGGAGTGTGGTGATCAGAGTTTCATGATGAGATATCAGATAGTCAGTTGGCAGGGTACCTTCCAGAATTGTAAATTTCCATCTGAGCAATCCAATTACATGTTCCACATGGATCCTTACATTTGCAATCCCTCTAGTCTGATCCACATCCACTGGGTCCAGTTGAGATTTGCCCTTTGTGAAAGCTTGGATTACCAGTCTCGCTTGCTTGAGGCCAACTCTTACACTGATGGTAAATCCTCGGTCAGCCATCACCATATCTCCTGGAAGAAGCTTGACCAAGAAACCACAGTTCTCTGTTACAAATTTGTTGGAGACAAGACCTCCCCAGGCTTCTGAAACAAAAGAAATCATTCCTTGTGGGGTTAATCCAACAATAATCTTATGGTGTTGTGGTGTTTATAGCTGGAAAATGTTTGGTAATGAACTCCTCAAAACAGTCAATGACAACAGTTGTGTTCTTGCCAAAGGCATACCGGAAACACTGGGGCATTGTCTTCCAAAGTTGATACCTGTCTGGCCAGAAAACAAAGGGAAATAGTCTCTTGTCCATTACCACAATCCAATGGAAAAATATTCTTGAAATGGTTGAAATTGATACAACAAAAACTGTAGGCAAGACCCTGTAATGGTAGATTAAGCCTTAAGTTTCATGAGTACAATAATAAACTCTTGGAACCTATCAAGTGACTGAGTTTGCCTTTTAACGTGTGAAGCTACATGGTCAAACACAACCATTGGCACTTCCAAGGAAGGTAGACCAGTATAAAGGCAAACCTTCTTGTCAGAGTTAAAAAAAAAATCTTTATCTGGTGCCCAATGCTTGCTTTTTTGAAACATATATTCTAACTTGGTGGTTTGGCATTCCAAATCCTTTCACTCTGTGTCTGCTTGGCACTCGGCGTCTCTCATAAATTTCGTTCTGATTTCATCAGACTCACTGCCTTCATCACATGCCATAAGATCATCCAAAAAGGCATCTTCCTTTCCTTCGTTTCCGGTTTTCTCTTCTTCTGTGGAGGTGCTTGGCTGATTAAAGTCAATCTGGGCCACAGGAAGACTGCTTTCACTGAGTTTCCAACACTTTTCTGCCACTTCACATTCCTGTTGCTCAATGGCATATTTCTCTCTTTTCTTCAATCTTCCTTGCTTCTCTGCTCTTGCTTCATAGTCTATCTCATGGCCATAACTTTTCTTTCTGAGCTCTAAAGTTGGCACCCAATCTACATCATGCTTGTCCCAGTAAGGAGATGGCTTTCCAGAGACAAAATGCTTGTCGCATACTTATTTGCTTTTGAGAGTGTCTTTTGCTTTTTTGTCACCCTGACTTATCACTTGTATCCACTTTTCTCTCCTCTTGGTCATCAATTCTTCTTTAAAGGCAGACTTACTTTTTATAACTGATGGTATTCTATAAAATCTAATCCCTTTGTCTCGATCATTTCTACTGCCACAGCTGAAAACTATGCAATGAACCATTTCTACTTTCTCACTTTCACCTTACTATAAGCACATTTGTAACTATTTGTTTGGGCACCAACATGGCAGATAGCAACTGTTGTCAATACAAAAGTCTTGTGGGTGAAAACCAAGAATTTGAAAATATGTTTTTCTAAATAACTCGCATGCTTTGAAAGATTACAGAATTTTTTTTCATGGAAACCCTAGGTTGACTGTTATAATTCAGTTGAGTCAAATGGAAGTTTTTTTGGCCTCTGAAGGTGGGAAGTAACCTTAATGGAGACACTTTTTGACCTCCAAATTGTACTTTCAATGCACACAAAAAAAACAATTAAGGAGTACTCGCTGGGCGCTAAGGTTGATGATTTATTATTTTAAACAGAGTTATCACCCGGATTGAGCTAGAAAATGCAAAGAAAAAATTTCGTTTCATATGCTCCTTAAGTGCGACTAAGGCGAGTGGGCACTAAGTTCTAGACAAATTATTTCACTACTCACCATTTCTCTGAAACAAGATATTTGCCTAGCTTTCTGTTGATAAACCTATTTGCCTCTTGGAGCCCATGGGTTCGATAACAGATCCTCCCATCTCTATCTGCCCTCACTTAACTTTCCTGTAAAAGTGCCATCCTGCACTCGAAAACCCAGCCTGAGCAGATGGTTCTTACGCTTTCACTTTTACGAGGAAGTAAAACTTATTAAGCGTGGCGAGCGCCACGCTGAGTTACGATCGACTGAACAGTACCTTCAACGGCAAATACTCCCTCTACTATCTATTTTGGAAATGAAAACGTATTCCGTACCAAGCTCATTTGGAGTAGTTGTTCAAGTAGACTGGAGCTGTTGGCGCTTGTTAAATACTCACGCGAAGTTGCAATATTCACCGCGTCGCGCGGAAGTGTGATGCAGCAAAAAGTTATAAAACTAAGGTGCAACTTACCGGGAAAATTCCTCAACATTTTCAGCTGTGAGTGAATCGACCATCATTTCATGCAGTTGCTTGTATTTAGATTCATCCCCCTTTCCCGTAGGTGAGGTCGTAGGTAAGACGTTAACAGGGCCTGTGGGAACCATTGCAGGAGACTCACTTGGACCGGCTTTCGTTGCAAAGTAACCGATGACAAACCCGAGGAAGAAAATCACAACTGCTCCCAATATACCAAGACCGACGTACAACCGAAATCGGTTCGGTGGTCTGTCCTCTTCAACATGTCTTTCGGCTTCTAACTGATTCAACCTTACCAATTCAGCCATGATTTATCGCAGTGACGTCAGGATTACAGAAAATTCAGACGGTTCCAATAAATGAATGAGGTGCCAGAAATCAAATCTCTCTGCTCTGCGCAAAGGGTTATGGGTTTGCCAAAGGGTAAACAACGCAAATTGATACAAACGAATTCATGGCGAAATGTTAATTAGGCGTCCCAAAAAATGATTTTTGAGAGAATTCAGCACTTTGTTGCAGCCGTTTTATCAGGAAAGGATTAAAGCAATGTTGATACGTGGAAAGTGTAAGTTTTTTTCTAAAATAACCATGAAATATGTGTTAAAATCTACCGATAAAGTTCTCTCCTTTCGTAAGGCTTATTGGGAAATCGACATCTGGTAATGGTCTTGAAATATCACAAAGTTACATATAAATCAGAAGAAATTGCCCCATAAATTACTTTCAGTAAAATTGACGTGTGTACAGCCAATTTTAATACTAGCTAACGTCTTTTATACGCAAATTATGGCTTCCAGAATTTTAAATCCTCAAAGGAGAGAAGTCGTTGTCAGAGGAGACGGAAATTGTTTTTACCGAGCTATTACTCTCTGGAATTATGAAATAAGTGATGAGAAACATGAAGAAATCCGCACGTTGAGTTCTAGTTTGATAGAGAGAAAAACGAAGGTGTTTGAGCCGCTACTTTTCTGTTCGAACTCCGTGGAGGATCATGTCAAGAACAGCAAGATAACGGGAGCTTTAGCTGAAACTGGACATCTTCAGCTGCGCATCGCTCCTCAAGCGACCCATTTGCACCTTTTCATTGTCCATCTTATTCTACCATAACCAGTTCCCAAACATCTACAGACAAAACTGCATGTAACACTTCCAAGCAACCACCTTCAAAAATAGCCATCACTACATCTATCAATCCCAACTTTGACCAAATGGATGTGAAACAAATTAAAGCACTTATTTCTGCCCAGCATGTTCAAGTCTCCATTTACCACAAACCTGAACTTATTCAGCTAGTTAGAGCAGTTGCTTTTGTGGACCTTCCTACTGACCCTGACTTTGAAAGTGAGTTCATTGATGAATGTTTGTTAAGATGCCTCATGCTTCCAGTGGGACAAAAATTTTGGACCCCTTCCAAATGGCATCATTGTCCAGTGTCTTCTCCCAGCTCCCTCCATTTTGACTAATGGACATTTTTAATCATCTAATAATGAGCAAAACTGATTAGGATAAAAGCATTTTATCCTCCTGGTGCTCATTTGAAGAGTGTAATCTATGTACGAATGGCCATGTTCAGAGCCTTGGAGTAAATGCTACAAAGGACCTTGATGGCAGTATTTTTTTGTGTGTTTGTAGCTGGAGTTATACCAACTCAGAAAGAAAAAAACTCAAGAAGGCGATAAACTATACAGGCTCTGGTTTGTTTTGGACTCAACTGGGTCTGTGTATTTTGCATTCTGTAGGTGCCAAGGTGAAGCTGATCAAGGATGCAGACATTTAGGTACAACTTTTTTGAACTTGATGTTTTTCTTTCAAATCAAAGAAAGTCTGTCACCTCTATGTCTGCATATTGGGACCCCTTGCCAACATCTACACACAAACCTGTCCCTACATTTCCAAAAGCTCTTTGATGAAAAAGAAAAGAAAAATAACATTATATGATGATTCTTGGATTGATTCCTTTAATCCTAGACCCATGAAAGGTAGAAAGGAAAAATTTGTTTTTGCAAAGAAACTCAGAAAAGTTGATCCTTGTTCTGGTATTCTTGATTTTTTTACCATTTTCCGTAAACTATGATGAAAATGAAGATTTTTCACATCTTGATAATATATCTCACCTGACCATATTATCTCAAGCTGAGAATTATCTGAAGATAAATATTAATAAGCTATTAGAGGACAACCTGTCAAACTTTGCTGAAGAATTTCTAAAAGCCTAGACCTTTTCAGACAATAATAGAATGATTATAATCAAAACATCCATAGGACAACACAGCAACAAAACCTGCATGAGATGAGACACCTTTTAGTTATGGGGAAAAAATCAAATCTCTTTATACCGCCAAAAAAAACTTTAGACGAAGATCCTCATACTGATGTATTACTCACTGTTAAAAATACCACTGAACAGAAAGAATTTAAAGAAAACCAAGTGTATCCTGAAACCATAGAACAATAGAAGAAGAAAATCCAAAATTTTACTACTCAAAATTCAGTGAAAAACAGCATTGTTTATTTGATCTTCAGGAGCCAGGTCTCCTAATTATTAGCGGTTATTTTTGGATAGGAGCAAGTCTAAATGGTAATAGAAAATCTCAGTGTTGTGACCCTACAGAAATAGGGATAAATTATCCATTTTTAAGGAAGGACCTTGACTCTAAAATTGCTTTCCTGCTACCAACTGTTGATGGAAAAAAAGATGAAAATGGGAATTTTTTCTCAACAAAAATCATCTACATTATTTCCAAGTTCAGACTGGCATGGCAGTTTTGGGTTTAAAAACTTGTGACTTTGTTACCTATACAAGTAAAGGAATATTTATTGTTACTATTAATATTAGCGATAAGTTTTGGGCAACTGTTGTAGCAACAGTTTGCAAGTTTTATTGTCAGCAAGTAGTTCCTTCCTAATGACAATTTTCACACAAAAACTGTTTTTTTTAAAATTTAAACTGGTTTAATGTTTGAACTTGAACTTGATTTCCAGAGAAAAAATAAGTAAGAAGAGCTCCATTACATTGCTATTCTCCTGAAAGATAAAGTTGCTCAAATCATTTTCCTAATATTCTGAAGTGGCAGTTGTGGCTCTAAATCATCTTTATTGTCATTTTCAGATCCTTCAGATACTGAAATGAATTTTGAACTGGCAAAAATCAAAGCTGCAAGAGATGTCCCAACTGAACAACAAACTTATTAATCAGTATGAGGAATTTACCCTCTTTCTTTTGATTAAAGCGTGAATCAAAAATCTTTATAATCTTTAAATAAATATATTGTCAGATGCACTTATCATTATCATCATTATCATCCAGCATTCTTAATTATAAAAATATCTCTATTCTTCAGAAAAAATAATGATAATGAAATTTGTGATGTTCACCGTCGGAACCGTTGAAGAAGAAAAGAAGAAATGAAAAAAAGAAGTTTCTATTCAACTACATTCGTTCAGCGCTTAACTGAACGCAGTCGAAATGCTGTGATAATAGCTGAGAGTATTCGCTCAAGAATATTCTCTCCACCAATCAGACCGCGTTTATCTTCTTGTCCCTTTCGCTTCCTGTGATTTTAACCTTAGTTCTGATTGGCTGTTGTGATTTCTTTAATTTAATTGCGTTTGCGCTGCTCAATTTACTGACTGCATCATTTGCTTTACAACCATATGGGAGGGCAAGGGGTACTACATTAAACTGGTTTTGCGTATATCCATCCTACAACTAGGTACCCCAAAATTCAACACTGATTTCGGGTACAATTATAACAGCTTGCTCCGTCATGATAAGTGTTTCGGGACGGGCGTTTCTTCGCTCGCGGGTAAGTACGAGGCCTTGAGTCAGACGAGGTCTTCATGGCTCGCATTGCATCATTAGTGCCAGGCCCCAGGTAAACCTCTTCTAGTTCCTCGGCTCGTCTAAAATCTTCCCGCGGGCGGTGAAACACGCGCCCTGCAACACTCTTAATGATGAGGGCCCACGCGCCGGCCACTGTCAAGAGCAGATAGTCGTGGGCTTGTTCCTTCACGAGTATTCTTATAGATAGGCCCGCATATTCTAGAATCATGTTTCTTTACCCCTTGGTCTTGGTCCAGGATCGAAACCGCAGGAAGGAACACGTAAGCCACATTCACGCTTATCATCTCAAAATTAGAAGGATTTCTTTTACGAATGTTTACCTGTCGTACTTCGCAAGTTGTCGTAGATCATAGAAAAACCGCGACGACAAAACAACTGAGAGGTGAAGGAAGAAAGGTTTCTTCTCGATTTCGAAAGTCTTCACACATCACCCACGCGTCAGTTACTCCCCAAGCTTTTTGGTAAACCGTCACGTTTATCGGAACTGCATCAGAATAAGGGCACATGTAAGCCATGTTCACGCATTCTTCTTAAAAACCTCTACTCAAAATTAAAAGAGCCTGTTTTATAAAAGGCTACCTAACGTAGTCGTTAAAATGGTGAACACAGATTATTTCGCTTCCTCCAGATTATAGTTCGGCATCAATTCATTCAATAACACTTTTCAACAGAAGCGTGTTTGAAACGTTCCAGTCCAGCTCTATAGTACTGCTGTCAGCACAGGCAACAATAACAATTCGCGGAAATGATGCTACAGTACTTCCCACATTTTGATCGCCTCAGCGGTCAATAGCTCAGTGGGCGTGAGTTAGAGAATGGTTTAGGTCAAGCCGGCTTTTTTTTCCTTTGGAGACTCTTACGACCCTCTTACGGCCCTGTTATTTGGTTTGTTACGCGTAGGCGGCTATCCATGCTTATAAATCATTCCCTCCGTAGCCGTTTTTTCTTTGGCCATCTTACAGTTGAGGCAAATCACAAACATCATCATTATTGACTGAAAAAATTATGAAATCACACCTTTTCATTTCTTACTTTATTAACTTTTTACCAGTACAGGCGATCGTCATTAAATTATTCCTTTGTCTGTGATTTTTTCCCACGGCAAATCCATTGTGTGTTTCCGACGGGCGTCATTTAATTTGATGCGGTTGTTTTTCTTCCATTGACTGACAAATAATGAAATTGTGGGGGAAAATGGCGTTAAGTGGCACAATAGATTGCCAAAGATAACAAGTCTATTGTTATTTGCTAATGAACACGTTAGCTAACACTGTTCTTAATAGAATTCTTAATTGCCTTTGAGCAGGCTTAATTTGCAAATTTGAGTGAAATTGTTCAGTTATAGTAAATAAACATAAGGGGAGGGAAAGAGTATTCACAACACTTAAGACTTTCTGTAAAATTCGCTGTAACTGTCAGTGCTTTCGATGTTTAGAAAATCTGTTTCACTACATCGTCACATGTCAAAGCCAGCCGGCGTCTTGATAAAAAAACCCAGAGCGTCAAGTGGTGAATTGAAGACTTGTCCGAACGATATTAAATTTCACAGATAAGGTCGCGCTCCTGACCTTCAATACCACCATGAAAGCGTGTAATAAATGGAACAAGGCGATGATAGCACCTTTAATGTACTTTAGCTTCTACAATAAAACGATTTTGCCGACGAAACACTTGTAACTCGTGCTTGTTTCTTCGGTCTCCTTCTCTGACTGTCTGCGGACGTGCTTGTGAGTTTCCGACGTTTCTTAGCAGATCCATAATTATTTCACTGTTATGTTACCATAAACAAATCAGGTCTAAGCCGGACGGTAAGTTAGTTGGAGTGTTACGAGCTCAACCACGTACCACTGGCCGGGACTGTACATGGATTCATAGTCCTCAAGACATGCGGATCACGCGGCAGGCGTTTGATCGCCCGAGAAGTTGCCTTTGTCAGGGAATGAGCAGTCCATTGGTGTCGAGTTAAGGCATCAGAGCGACTGTATTTTTGACCGCAACCCAACACAACACACGTAAATACTTTTTTCTCGGAATTTTGAAGATGTGTCTTTTGATGTTTGCTTAAATGATCTTTTCGTCCAAACGCCTTATTGCATATATCGCACTTGTGAGGGCGAACACCGGTGTGGATGCGTTTGTGGCGCGTCAATTCCTCGTTGCGAGCGAATCGTCTATCGCAGCCATCAAAAGTACATTGAAAAGGCTTTTCCCCAGTGTGAATCCTCAAGTGACCTTGAAGCTGACCGTTGTTGCTGCATCGTATGTCGCATAACGGACAAGGGTATTTCTTCTTTCTTCCTTTTCCATTCAAGTTTGGGACACAAGCGTTCGATTTTTCGACCGATTCCTCTAGTACTTGTAAGACGGACGCACCGGATTTAAAATTCTTGGGCAGTTGATCAGAATTTTGTGGCACGACACAAAGAGAAGGAATAACAGCCTGAGAATCAAAACTCATCGGAGACGCTTGGACATTAACAGGGGGTGGAGGCGTTGTAGTGAAAGCAGCAGCAAAGCCAAGTGGTCCCACCGGCTGCTTCCAAAGCGATGACGAATTTCCCAGCTCAGGCGGACGAAAGATTTGTTGAAGAGTCGGCAGCGGAGGTGCGTGAAAAAGAATCGTTGGTTTGAAAACGCGAAACAAACCCAGATTATTTTGTGTGGCTTGCATGATTCAAACAGCTCCAACAAAACACAAGAAATGTGCTTTGCTTGACAAGATGGGATTGACACGGAGTTAGGTGGGGTGACAAACGACCAATCACAGTGCTCGTTGTCGACCGCACTGTAAATGGAGAAGATAAACTAAACCTTTCATGGCTGGGCGTGATAGGGGGCATGAGAGATTTGAAGGGCCACCTCGTAGTATCAGTCTGAAAGGATGCTTTTATCGCAATGTTAGATCACAAAGTTTGCTTAGTTCACAAAAATGCTTCCTAGCACGGATTACACAGATTGAGATAATCCAGCTTGGTAGAGGGTTTAAGTCGTGTTTCGCCGATAAATTCTTAGTTCTGCTTTGTATAAATATTTATCGGCACCTATCATATATATCTCAAATGAAAACAATCGAACAGTAAAACCTCACACAGCAGTGAATGATAAACACAACCCAGGAGGCGGGATCATTGAGTTTAAAAGAGAAACAACATGTCTTAATAAGAAAATAACAGTTGGGCTCATTTGTGCCAGAAACGCTAAATGGATTTATGGCGATGAAAAAGGACGATTTATTTATGTTTGGTCAAAAGTACCTCCAGGCATGAAATGATATCCTCTCGAGTTTACGGGTGAATAAAAAAGGCGGAGATTGGTGAGATTCTCAGCGCTTGCAAGCAGTAGTAGTTTTTGTGCTTGATATATGGTCTGTTTCTCATCAATCTAATACTATTAGCATATTTGTGCAATTTACACTTAAGGCTGTATTGGGACTCACGCCCGCGCCGCACTGAATGAACCGATTACAACGCAGTTCGGAATCTTCAACACCGGAAATTATTTGGGAAGCTCTGAGGTCAGGGCAGGCATTGAAAAATAAAAGGTCACTAACTTCCTGTTCGATTACACGCAACACACCCCCGGCGAATGAAAATAGTGGAGATGCCATAATGAACAAATGGCAAATACATCTGTCTCTAGGACCTCCCATGCTAACGGTGAAATAACAGCGGTTGAAACGTTGAGCAAGAATTACTGGACCACAGGGAAATATGAAAGATCGCTCAGTGCACATGATCAAGTCAAGATTTATTTATTTGGTAGGCATACTCAGACGGTTACGATTATTAAGTGAGAAACGTTCGACTCGCCTTCGATTATATTTTGTTACTTGTCAAACCGGTTCTACGCATTAGATGTGATAAGGAGTAGCAAATATTTCGGTGAGCAAACGGTTATAAAGAGATTAATAACAGCTAAATCAGTATTTTATCAATATGCGGAGCAATCAGCTAAAGAATTGTTCAGATTTGTTCGAGCAGTGCACGCTAATTGATTTTTTTTTCGCCAAAAGTTCACTTTTGTTGAGTGAGCAGCACTTCGTCTGAGCCAAGTATTTTCGAACTGGCGGCCCCACGGGCCGTGTCGAAGGACGTGGGTGTACCGACATATCCCACGGGTTTCCGAGTTAGGGACGTAAGCAGGAATTCACGATCTTTCTTATTCCTAAAAGAAATGCTTTTCGAAACACCTCTGCCTATTAGTCACCGAGTAATTTCAACTGATGATCTCAGTGTGAAGCGTGAACGGACACTTGTACAACTCTCTGCAAAGGGTCATGAAGTATCCGGGTTTGGTTCTAGGCCTCGTTTAGCTAGTTACTTAGTTAGTTCTCCCCGAAAAAGTAATGATATCGCCAAACTCCGACTTTGCTTTGCATCAGTCCCAAAAGGTAAAGTGGGAAAGGCAACGCCGAGGGAGACGTCGGTTAAAAAAAATTTCTAGTTTTGGATAGAATTTCGCGAATGGCTGGATGTGTTCACCGTTTCTTGCGGCGCCACACCTCAACTTCAGCATAACTTACGTGAGCGTGAGCTGGGTTGAATTCCAAATGGAAGAGGGTCTCAATAGGGTTACCCGTTAGCCGTAAACTGACGGCCAAAAACTAACCGTTAGGCGTAAAAATTGACAATTTTTAACCGTTAATCTTAAAAGATATTACGGTAGAAAAATAATTCTGGTGACAACAATGGAAAGATGTTAACTGTCAGCCGTAAAAGCCCTCGCCTCATTGAGATTCTCATGGAAACTGAAAAAATTTTCCGACAAGGTTTACTTTATCAGATTTCACGTTGTTGTTTTGCAGAGGACAGCTACGAAATATGCAAAGTTTTAAAATGCACGTGTTGATACTGTTGTGCCCATTAGATCTTTTGTTTTGTCTAATCCTTGTTGCTGTCGGCGTCGTGGTTTGTTTAAGGTCCTTAGCGCGTTAAACTGAAAACGGGCGTAATGTTCGGTTTTTGAAGAACCTTTAGATCAATAGATCTCACTCGGACAGTGTGAGAGTGGCGCCTCGTGTCGACCGTTAGTAGTTCTAATAACAAAGATCACATAACATCAAATTTGGTGATCCTTTTTTTAGCAGCTCCAGCAGTGTAAAGATTAGACAAAATTAATCCTATGATCATCATGACCAGGCTGCATTTCTCACATGATACCAGACTGATCTCACCTAGGGTTCCTTTAATTAACTCTTTAACCAATAAGAGTGATTCATAACTATTATCCCCCATCAGTATCACCCCTAAAGCAAGCATTGAGGTCATGAAAATAAAGGAAATAATCACCAACTAAAGAAGCTCTTGATTGTTAAACAAATTCTCTTTGTCGGTACCATAGGGAATGTATAGAGAACAGTATGGAGAAAATGAATACTGATGTTAGGATGCAAAAGGGTTAAAGCTGGAAGAATTTTCGTTCAACAAAATTAGGATCATTTTAGTCACTGATAGAGTGAAGACTCGAAGATTCCATAGGAACGGGGATGAAAACTGAAGGAAACAAAGGAGATATATATATCTTTTCTATACTGGTTTGATTTGAGCTCAAAGTGGAAAAAAAACCCAAGTGCACTTTGGGTTCTGTTCTATCGTTATCACTTTAATTTTCGTGAAGCCTAACAGAATCGTTTTATAATAAAAATTGTGGATTTAAATGGTAAGTAACCCTCTTCGGAATGCGCCATGGAGATTTCCTTCGACCGGTGTTAAAAGTTATATCTTTTTGACCCGTCGTTAGCCTTCAGGTCACAAGTCAGGATATACAAATCAACAGGTCGTCATCTTCCTGGGGATGATCCGGCATGGTGAAGTCAAGAGGAAGCTATGTATCTTTAATTTAATTCCATTAAGGGCGTGGCATATGGAGAGCTTAAAGCCAATAGATTATTTTGCGTAGCCTTGAAAAAATTGTCTTAGTTCCTGTCAGATGGAACGGAAACGGATCAAAAGCGCCTTATTAGACTCATTGTAATTGGATATAGGCATCCGGGCCCCATGCCTTCGCTAATTTTATGCAGGTTTCTGATATTCTTTTCCTTTGCCCCCCCCTGTGCGGCATAGGTCATCCCCAGTCCTCCTCCTTTCCTACCAACGCTGAGCTTCTGGTTCTATTCCATCGTAACCTTATTTACTACAGTTCTTTTCCGCTGACATCTTCAGTTGTATTTTGATCTTCCTCATTTTGATGTAGTTTTGGCCTTGCAGTCGCCTCATTTTTGACTCAGCTACATTGCGATTATTTCAATAATCCCCTGGGTTGGGACTCTCCTCTCTGAATGAAGGCTGGTCGAGGAGAGATCCAGGAGATTTTAATGAGAGTATAGTGGGTTGGCCTAATGCCCAAACTCAAACCTAAACGATCAAAACTTTGCATTGAAGTTTGTCCTTTCCATAGCCAAAGTGACACCATCTCGTTTTTCACCGATGCTTCTAAGCTGAAGTTTGAGAGAAGCTACACTAACAAGGTCTAATTGCTCGTGTGCCGTATACGAAAGGTCGGCACAGCATGCTAAAGACAATGGGTAGTCTGGGCATTTGAAGAGCACACTTAATGAATCTTCCAAAACCCATTGCCATCATTCAACCTTTCTCTTTTCATCTCTGTTCCTTAATCACACCGTCGATTCTTTAGGAGGTCAAATGAATTCAAAAGCAGTCAAGACCCTGACTAGTTTCTTCCCCGAAGAGCTGCCAAAGAGAAATTTAAGGAACGACTTTTTCCTTATCACTCTTACTAATGGCCATTCCACCTTGTGGTAATATATCCTCTTAATCGAATTTAAAAAAGATTAGAATTTTTCGTTTATGCAAGAACACCGCACTTTTTCGGTAAAGCCGATTGGTCTGTCTGTTTGATCCACCGCCGAGCAGCAACAGGAAACGCAAAGGAAATTGAAGTTCAGTCACACTGGAATATACTGTAACTAGTCTTACTATTTTTGTGTTTTAATCTCCGGGTTGTGAGGTCTGGGTTCAAGCTTTATGTCTTCATCCTTATCGTCACCATTCCCCTCAACCGAGATGTTTAATTCTTGTTGTAAGAACTTTTAATCAAATCATCTAAGTTGCAGTTTTCGGCTGAAAGTCTTATCGAACAAAACTTACTGAAAAAAAAGGTGATGGTTTACAATCTAAGCGTAAAAAATGATAGACGCCTCGCCTTTTGTCCCTTTAACCTTTTAATTAGAAGTAGATGGATCAGTCCGATTGGCCCCCGCCGACTTCTTCCAGTAAAGATGCAACTCGAATCAACCACACACTGAATGCGTTATAATCGCGTACCTCTCATGAATCATACAGAGAAAAAAAATGGCCCTTATTATTTCTTAAAGAAAAAAAAAATGAACGGTGAAAGATTTTGCAATCTCCTTGAACAATTTTGCGTAGGAAGCATGCAAGTCGTGGTCGGTTGTCAACACTACCGGAAGTCACGGAAACTGACTACACTGTTCATCCCTGATATTGTCCTAATTTAGACGATTTAAGTTTTAATACTGGTAAAGGCTAAAACATTGTCCAAAGGGAAAGTTCAGTATAAATAATTATTTTGAATAATACTCTGTCCTGTTCAGAATCGTCTTCTGTGACCATAGCAATATCAACGGTCGAGTCACAGAATCACAGAATAGTGATGACTGGGTCACAACCTCGTTAAATAACTTATATCGCAAGCAAGATTAAACTAAAATTGGCTTTTAAGCAGTTAATTTAAACCCGTCCACGAAATTCTGAACATGAGAAATTTGCAGTTTCCAGTTTAAAAGAGACTTTTCCTATTCTTGGTTTTTGTGACGAACGGAATCGAAAGATTTTCGGTTCGTGTACCAAGCACATTCTGTTCCTTCCATCTCCACTCCATGCAGTTTTTCAGCTCACAAACTGACATCGCGCATCGTGGAACTTATTTACCACTCTTAAGCTCTCCTTTAAAGAGCACTTTCCTGGCAGCAACAGAGCTGCTTGCATATACCCGTATGTGGTGGGGTACTTGACAAGCTTAAGTGGTGGATCAAGGAGGGGGGGGTCCCGAGGGGGCCAAACCCCTTACCCTATTCCCACCAAACCCTTGGGTAATTTTACTCATTGCCTGCCCCAAAAATTCTTGCAATGACAGGAACGCAAGTCACTTGAGTATACGGTACCTAATATTTACTTGTCTTGCAATATTCCTTAGCTTACTGAGGCGATAGTGTGTAAGAATTTCTCTGTGTATTTCTCTCTCTTAAAAATTTAAGTTTAACTCCCCCTCTCTTAAAAAATTCTTAGATCGGACCCCTAAGAAAGAGACAGTGCATGCACTTGCAACACATGATCGTAAAAAGTTAAGACAACAAACATTTCCTAACTGTTTACTTAACGAAAATAGCCATCGTGAAAGCAACTAGATGGGCTATTTATTTCCTGTGTTATCTCCTCCCGCTGATTTAATTGTTTACCGAGAAGAGGAACTCGGTAATCTCATTTACCCATTATCTACAGACATTTTTAGGCCAAAATTGTTTTCCACAGAGTGGAATCATTCTTATTGGATTCAGTGGGAAATTATTGAATAATGTCGCTTTCGTTACCCTAACTGTATATTTTTCAAATGAATTTTCGCCTCGGCAATAGCAGAAATGGGAAACTTATATTAACAAACTGAGATACTTAATACAACTAATGTGTTTACGATACACCCTTGGAGTGACTTAAGAACTTCTGAGGCCGCTCCAAATGACTTTAATAATTATCTCATTACTATCGTCACTTACCCCCCTTCGAAAATGATCCCACAAAGAGCAACATTCTTTCCGCTCAATTGCAAAAGCTTTGCAACGTTGAAAATCCAATTTCTCAGGGACACTCCACTGGAAAATCCTATCCGATTATAAAGATAAAAGTATGCGACTCCCATTTTATTTTTCCCCGTTTTAGGCCGCACGAAATGATTGTTTTTTCGCAGTTAAGCACAAAGTTGGGGCTTTAGATGACTTACGCCAGTTTCGATCAATTTCTCATCTAAAGAAACATACAATCTCTCAGCTTACGGAATAAACAAAGCTTGCTATGACCAAAAGGCTGCTTGAGAAGACATGTAGCTTAAAACGGAGTAGTTGTGGTCGGTCATTTGATAAGGGCTTAGACAAGCAGGTGAACTGAAATCGTAACCGCAAACTCGAAAGGTCTTTTGCGCGAAAAAAGACCACGCGGGCACTCGCAAAAACCACACCCTATCTCTCGTGGAAGTCTTATCTCTTCTTAACCCTGACAAATAGATCTAGAGTGCCAGCAATCTAAGGCAGTCTTTCGTCATCTTGTCTCTTGGCTACTATAGAATCGAAAAAGACAAGCAATTTTCAATTGTGTCGAAAATAATCTGAGTTTGTATTTGTTTTACCTCACCACCTTATGTAGTGAACAACAAACTGAATTTGCTCCAAGGAATTCAAAGGATTTCTACTGGATACCACCAGTTCGTGCTTGATCTGCCAGTGTAATCCATTACAATTCGTTTCATAAACATGTTTGAGTTTCTGATGCGTTTTGCTTCTAATATTCAAGGCAGTTATAACTCACTGAGACCGACTAAAATGTTTTTATTCACCCTGCCAAGACTTGACTTTGTGCACTTGTTTACAATATATGCTTGTGACAAGAGGAAACTGACCTCATCATGCCTTTTCTTTGAGTAATGTACTCCCACAAAAGCTAACTCAAGATATTCAAAAACATACCCACAGACCCTGACCGTATAAACCTGACTTTAAGTTATTAACATCTATGAGTGGAATATAAAGATGTCTAACTTAAAAATGAGTCATTGACAATCACAGCCATGTTAAATGCCAGGTTACAGTACACAGTGACCTGAACCTGAGCCTCATTTGCAACATCCATGATTTGGTTTCCACATATTCTGCCTGGAAAAGGTTTCCTGCCACAGGATTACCAAGATTGTACTTGGCAGCCATCTCACGAGCATTTCTTCTAGCACGCTCAAAGCCAGGCCTAGAAATAAGGCAAGATGGAGTATAAAAAGCTTCAAAGAGCTACATTACAGTGAAAGGATAAAAATGGAATTGAAATTCTGAAGAAAGGAGTACCCCATTTAATTTCTTTGAAGTTCAAATGAAACATGTATTGGTACAATTTAAAAGTCGACATTTCAAAGCCATAATTCCGATCAAAATGGGATTTTGACACAATCATGTGCCTGACAATTCTTTTAGCAAATACTTAACTTTCAGCTCAGCATCAAATCATTGCTGATTAATATTTCGAGAGTATATAGAAGTAAACTTTGGCTTTGCATGCATTACTTATTGCAGGCTAGAATAAAAAACAGTGACTGAAATTTAAAAACTACAAAAAACAAACAAACAAACAAATGAACAATATGTTAACAAATGCATTCTTACTGGCTGCACACTGCTTGATCAATGTAGTTGATTTTTCCAGGTTGTTTGTACACTAGAAATGTGTAGCGGTGCAGCTTTGTTCCTTGTGGTGGTGCAGATCCCATATACTCCATTTTTACATCTCCTTTGCTAATGTCACAACCTGGGATGTTCACAACAATCCAGTGATGCCACTCACGGAGCTTTGGTTCAGCACGACAAGGTGCATCAGGATCTGTGACATTGTAAGAACATTAAATATTTTAACTCCCAAGATCTGATTGTTAATTCTCCCCTCTGGCTACTACACATTTCCTTGTAAATTTGTTACGAGAATTTTTGTGCAATCAAGGTAATATCTTGTACCTGATGAGTTTGAGTATTCTTACTGCTGGATAAATAATGTATGGATATTATTGGGAGAAGTTACATGTTTATCACTTCTAGGAGTTCATGGTGAATAAACTATCAATGATAATCCTTTTATGACTTCATATAATTTTTGTCAAGTTATGGGGAGACAAAGCTGGTACAGTAATGTTCCTTTTTATGCATACACAGTTCAAGGGTTGTCCTTCATCCTTCAGTAGAAAAGTCATGTGACCTGTTCAAGCTATTTTTTTTGTGCAGGACTTCACAAAGAGCCATTTTACAAGCCTTAGTTTACTTACAGACCACTACAGACACTTCCTTTCCATAACTAGGTATTAGTTAAAGTTACAATGAATTAGTTCACTGAGTGGTTCAGAGTTATGGTGCCACTACAGGGTTGCTATGGATTCTGCAGCCTTGGTGATGAGCCAAAAGGTGGTTGCCAAGATATCAAACATGTTAGGGGGAGGGGTAAGATAAATTGTATTCAGAAGGTTAAAAATTACCAGAGTCAGACTACATTGAGTAAACCTACCAGTCATAAGAAGGGTGTACAATGCACCTTCTTCAACAGGCCATGAAACTGATGTTGGAGGGTCTTTCACCTGAATAGAAATAATAAAGAGGAACTTAAAAACATTAAGTTTCTTATCTCAAGGTCCTAAATTTTGCCAGCAATATTCTCTTTACAGACTTCTTTAATTAAGGTAATGCAAAGTGGTATTTCAATTCACATTTATCACAATCCATTAATTTGATTTTTGCATAACCCAATATCGAACCATTTAAGGCCACGGTAGAATCTGTGTTTATTTTTGTTAACTTTATTTGTTCGAGAACGCCTCGACATGCGTGCGTTTAAGCAACAGCCTAGCAATTTTCAAATGGTTTGATTGACTCCTTTCCTTTTGGATGTCTTGTTAGGCAACGAATGCAAAATTCTATTTTTTTCCGTTGGCAATTTGTCTTATTAAAACAAACACAATAGAAGCTTTTCTTTCTTGGAACAATAAAACCAGCGAAGCAATGCATATTTGTCGCAAAACGGTTTTAGTTGAAAAAAGGACAAAGTGATCCATATGATGATTTCTAAAAAATAAAGCTCAAACTAATCTAGAAATTAAATAAAGAAATAAATTTCGCATGTTAAGCAAGCAAAATTTAGCCCAATTTCCACAATATAATTTTTTTTATCCAAAATGACCAAAATTAGCACAGTTCTGCATAATTAACCCCCCGCTTTCTTAAAACACTTCAATTTTTACCTGAGCTGGCGTCAATGTGTTTCCCATATTCACTTCCAGGTCTCCATATTTCACCTTTAAAACCAACCAAATAAAGTTATGAGAACTCAAATGAACTGCAGTGGAGGGGAGAGTTCCGGCTGTTGGCGCTTAGCACGCAAGTCTAATTGTCTCTATTAAATTCAGAAACACCAGTCATTCCTGTGAAGAGATATAAAAATATCATCTTTGGATCTTACGTCCTAGCCACTGACTTAACCCTCTCTTAACATTATTAAGGTCACGTCTTGATCGTGAATGTTGTTTCTTCTTTCCCTTGAGGAGTATAGATTCAACTTGGGCAGTAACACTATGAACTTGAGAAGTAACATTATGTAAGGTGTCTGCACTGTAAGTACATTTCTTGATGAGTTTACCTTTATAACCTGAGCAGGAATCACATCGACAACATCAGGAGAGATTGCATGGGCTTCCATGATTGAAATATTTTGGGTCTCTTTTCTCAGGGCAAGAGATTAGGAGCGAAAAAAGAATTTAAACTTTCGATCGCTCGCAAGGTTGTAGCTAAGTGTCACGCGTAGTGCACAAAGAATGGGAAAAACTCTCGCTAAGAGGGGTAGGGAGGGTGTTTAAATTTATTTTTAAAATTTCGACTCCCATGAGCTAGTAATGAAAATAAGGGAGACATCCACAAAGCTGGGCCAAATTCTAACAAAGAATGCTCGTTTTGTTAAAATATAATTCTAGAAAAGAAAAAATCCAATTTAGTTACGGTAGTCGTGAACATTTCGTCGCTGTCCGGGTTTCACATCAGATCGAGGCATAAAAAAAATGGCGGCTGCAGTGCCGATGCTAGACGATGTAATCAAGGAGTACCTTGTATTTCGCGGATTCTCAAACACTTTGAAAAGCTTTGAGTCTGATTTGAAAGCGGATAAGGACAAAAGCTTCCGGGTAAGCTACCTTAAGGAAATATTACCAGCCGCCATTCAACATAATTTAAGTGAAATTTAATTTCACTTTCGCGAAAGTTTAAATCTTCCTAGGTTCCTTCTTCGCGAAAGTTTAAATCTTGGTGGCTGCACGTGCCGAGGTTTTATTGCCCAATTATCAGACCTCAGGAAATTTAGTTGGTGTGTAGACGTTAACTATGCAGAATATAAAATTTACCCATCTTGCTTATGTGCAATCCTGTTCGGGCAATAGAAATTTGTAATTGACATGTTACAAGAATTACTTCTCAACTTCTTCACGTCACATGCCACTGGCACATAACAGATCCTCAGGGTGAGGAACGTGCATTGGGTAAACTGTCGTCTCAGGGCGTTTTTCGATTGAGTGTTGCACAACCAAAACCAAAGTAATCACTACGGCAAATAAAAAGGAGGAAAATACTTTAAGAGCCAATGAGAACTCAAAATCAAAAAAAAAAACAAACTGCCTAAAGAGCAGGGAATTGTAAGTGACCAAGTCATGATTAGGTTTAGTTTTGTTTCTTATTAGTTAAGAAAGCGCTGAATGTTTTTTGGACCAATCACAGAGGGAGGCAAAGCAAAACAAAAGCAATCCTGAGTTATTTTGGGCACTTGATTGAAAATTGCTCTACTAGGAATCATAATGATGATTAGGTCAGAGTTCCATTTCAAATCAGTAGATATCAAGTTAAAAATGTAATGTAATCTAGTGCCAGACCTGAAATCACGACACATGATGGCATAATTTTATGCATCATGCATCAAGTAGCTCTATATAAGAAACTGATTTATGCCTGCATTTTGATTGGTTCTTACTTATGATATATTGGAGGGCAGATGCATAATCAGATGACAATGCCATTAACCCTTTAACTCCCAGATCAAATTTGTAATTCTCTTTACTGTCAACCACACAATTCTTATAATGTTAGTTCAGGAAATTTAGTATTGGATCAACCAATTATCACCAAATTGTATTTCTCTCAATTCTCATTGCTCATCTGGTTGATATTGTTTTGACATTGCAAGGAAAAATTCTGTCGAGGTCACTCATGGGAATTAAAGGATTAACAATATTATAGAATCTATTTGCTTTACATAATTAGAGGCAGGTTGCTGTAGGTCTCATTTACATTTTAATTAGTAGCTCTTAAATACTGAAAAAAGAAGGAAATGTAAGGAATGTGTTAGTTTTAGTCAAATGATGCCATTGTGTGGGTGGTCTTGTTGGGGAATGTTATTTGAAAAAAAAATGTAAATTGCTTGGTTTAAATTAATGGTCATGAGATACACATACATACAGTAAGCCTAGTCTTGAAAAAAATTTTCTCAGGATGTTATCGTTGCAAAGCTTAATAGAGTTCCTTTTTTCAGGTGGAAAAAATTGTGGATCAGTTGTATCAGTACATCCTAAGCTATGACATTACCAGCCTTAGAGATTACTGGGACTATTTAAATGACAGATTCTTCAAGAGGTTAGACTATCAGCATAATTCAAATGTCAAAAAGCTGGAGATGTGTCTTTTGCGGCTGTACATTGTGCATGCCATACAGAACTCAAAAAATGACAAGGTTGTGGAGTTTTTTGAGAAGTATACAGCAGAGCTACAGACTCAAACAGAGTGGAGAGAATGGTTTGGTAAGTCACAATTTTGTCAGATTTTGTTCACAGACAGTAATGTATAATGCATTTTTGACCAGTGAAAACACTAATTCTCTGAGTCCTTATCATGTTTTGGATTTACCAATATTTTCAATTAAGTGTCCTTAATAAACTAGTATGATAATTGTGCTGGTTTTGCTTTACTTTATCTCTGATTGGTCTTGAACCTACACCTCTCTCTCAACTTAAATTTAGTTCTCTCTAGCCACTTGTGTCCGTTTTGAATTTCTTTGTTGCGATAACATTGGTTTTTGCATTTTGATACTCAGTCGAAAATTTCTCAATACAGAATGTGATAATACATGTAAGTGACTATCTTATATTATTTTAGTCATTAGACTGATCCTATAGAGATTAAGAAGTAATCATCATAATAATTATTCTCAAATTCAAATTCAACATAACCTTGGTTTTTGCAACTGATATTGATCCCTTTGGTAATATTCCTATATTATGGTCAGTTTATCCCAGGAATCAAGATGAAACTTGAAAGAGTTCACCTTTTTCATTTCAACAACTAAGCTGAAAATTCACTTATGATTGGACCAAGCAGGAATCCAGCTTGCTCACTAGAATAAAAACTTCTGATAATCATGAACAATAGACAAAATCTATTCTGCTACAGTATCTGGGGCAGCTGAGTTATTATAGGCAATTGGTGCAAGGAGTTTTGATATGGTCCTTTCCTTGTGTCCTAAGAAAAACTTACTCCTTTTCCCTCGAAACAGCTGTTTTGTTGAGAGGTGTTTAGCTTTGAAATGGAGGTTTGATATATCTTGTTATGATCCATCTAATATTTTTGCTTACATGAAATTGGTCTATATGCATCAGGTGACAGAATATTCCCTAGCTAAAACTGGATATATCATCCAGGTGATATTCCCTCGTTTCCAAATTTTATGTCCACTAGGATAAGTCTGTGTTTAAAATTTGATTCAAGATGAGAAAGCATTTTATGGTTGTTACCTTGAAGAATGGATATATTTGTTTGTTCATTAAGTCACAGCAGAGAACACAGTAAGCTGTTTGTAAACATTTTTTGATGTATATTGCAAAATGTTTGTAACGTACAATGTACACATCATCTGTTCCAAAAAGCTCACAGTTTCCCTTGAGCTTCATTCTCAGAAAACTGTTCACATCTTGGAACAAATAATACACTTGTACCAGTGAATATTTTCCCCCCTAATATAGTGTACTGTTCAGGGTGTGAAATTAATTTTTTTTTCTAACAGCCACTTGGCTCCTAAATTTTTCAAAGTGGTAACCAATTCAAAAAAAGTTGACCGCCATTTTTAGAGAGGAAAAAAACCTTTTTTTTAACGCTATCAGAGTTCTAGATAAACCCTCCAAAATTAAGTTCTACAAAGTTCTACAAAGTGGACACTAGGATGGATGATATACAATCTTCAAGCTCACCTAAATCCAAGATGGCGACTAGTTTTCGATCGAGACGCATGTGCTGTGTTTTGGAAACAAACTGAACGAGGAAGTTTGCCGCGGATTTATCCCTGCAAATCTTTTTAGTTCACTCCATCTCTAGTTATGGTTATGATTAAGCATTCTAGTCGCCAATTTGGCGACTACTTTTCAGGATTTAGTCGCCAAAGTGAAAAATTTAGTCACACTGGCGCCTGTATTAGGCGCAATTTCACGCCCTGCTGTCTGTCTTTTTTTAAGCCATTCCTTTCATCAAGAATCCTGATCAGAATATGACATTTGAGATGTACTTTCAGAGGGCATGGCAAGAGACTTTTTTCCTTTCACTTCATAACTTTCTGATTACTTTGTTTCACTACCTGCATATCCTTTTGAGTAGAAAAAGTGACTTTTCATGTTAATTTCTAGAAAAACAAGTAAGTATCTGATAATATTATGATCTCTCTCATGCTTATAGTTCAAGGCAGCTTTATCACTAAATCTGGACATTCTTGTTTGAATGCTGATTTTGTCTAGTATTCTACTTTGCAACTGAAACTGGAATAGGCATACTGCATTAGTGATTTGATGGTAAATCTTCGTCAAAGAAAACTACATTTTGCAAACATGTTCATGAGCCACTCCACATATGGCTGCAGTTTAACTGTTTTTTCTGGACATTAATTTCCAGAAGTGATTAACATGTAACTTCTCCCTATAATATCTAAACATTATCCAGCAAACAGGTGATGAGAATATTCAAACATCAGGTAGAAATTTTTGTCTTGATCTAACACCAAATTCTTGTAACTAGCTTATGAGGAAATATGTAGCAGCTAGAGGGGAGATTTAACAATCAGATCTTGGGAGTTAAAGGATTAGTTGTTCACATATTAACAACTTCCTTCCTAACATCAGTATGCACATTCTCTATATTGTTCTCTATACATGTACCCTTCCTAAGGTGTTGACAAAGGGAATTTGGTCAATAATCAAGAGCTTCTTAAGTTGGTGATCATTTCCTCTACTCTTGGTATCTAATGTGTGATTCAAGGGTGATATTATAAAGAGAAATTAGACACTAGTCACACTAAGGGGTAAAAGGGTTATTTGAGTAAGGTTTTTTACTTTTGCTTGGCCTTACACCAATGCCTACAAGTAAGTGGCCCTACAACATATATTAAGCAAAAATTTCTTAACTCAATGCTAAATGCTAACCATTTCTCAAGTTGACTGCATGATTCTTTCCAATGAGACTTGAAAAATAATGTAACTTCTGTATACCCCTGGTGCTGGTTGTCTTTCCTACAAAGTCTGTGAGATTTGTCCTTAATGCTTTAAACCTATGCCAACCCTTCTAAAGTATGACGAGGAACGAGGAAAGTTGCACAGGTTGGAACAGGAAGTCCTGAAACTTAAAGAGCAGGTTGTATCACTAGCAGACGAAGGAGCAAACTTACAGCGTCAGAAATCTAGACTAGAGCAAGAGCTATCGGATAGCCGGAAGAGAGCTACCACTGTTGAAGAGGATGATATGGAAGAGTTTCATGTTATCCCAAGGTATTATCTAGACCAATGATATATTACATCTCTCATTTTATTTATAATTATGCTATGATTTGTCAATTTTGGAGGCCATATTTCACCTTATAGCCCGATAAATTCAAAAGTTTGTCCACATTTAAAATTTCCCCCTCTATTTCATCCAGAGATATTATCAACATCTTTCTTACCTTGTGTTCTTAGTCCATACTTTAAGTTATGGAACCTTGTTTTTCTGCTTGGATTTACAGCCTGTGTGCTGGGCACTTGCGCCATAAAGCAGAGTGGAAAAAACTTGGTCTGTAACATACAGTATGGACCTTTAACTCAGTCAGTAAGAGGTATTTATTTTCTTCTTCCATGGTGTGTGGCTGCCATGTGTAAGTCTTTTTACCTGTACAGATCCTCTGGATGTGTATTAATAGCCAGAAAATTACAAGATGTTGTATACTTGCAAGCAAACCTCTAAATCTTCAATTTGTGAAATGATTTGCAGTTCTCAGTAGGTTAAAGGAACAAAAGCTGAGTTAAAGGTTAATTTCAGGTGTTACTAATATTCACAGGCAACAAGGTCAGTCTAGTAAGTTTCTACCAACTTCTTCAATCTCAAAAAAAATTACCAAAATGTTCAAAGATAAGCAAGAAAAGAACAAAAAGGGAAAAGATTCAAAAGTGCAACAGCTTCAAGAGGATCAAGTGAAACTTAAAAGACAACAACTAATCAGGCAGCAACAACAATTACAGGTTAGAGAAATTTGGTAACCTATGGGTAATTATTCAATTACTGAGCTTGTATAGTTTGAATAGGGCACTTATCATAAAAGGAGTTTCAAATGAGGTTCTATGTGAAAGAGGATCCTAAGAGATGTATATGTAGAGTGTTTTATAGCCGGTCCACAGCTAATCTTTTTCTTTGTATTAAAAGCAAGTTCACATTATCGTTCTGCGGAAATTTATTTCAAATAAAGAAAGGTATTTTACTGCATTGTCTAATTCAAGTAGGTGGTAACTTGAAAAATGGGTAGTTGGCAAAAATGCTGCTCAGGAACACTTAAATTCACTTAATTTGCTCATGGCTTTTATTCTCCTTGTGCTAAATACATTAGATAGTTTGCAAGTAGGTAAAGCACTACAGTTTTAATTGGGTTGTCTTTGATTGTCTTTATTACATTTCATAGGAAAAATTGATTTGATTCAAGTACCAAGCATGGTTCAAAAATTACTTTTAGACTAAAAATACACTCCCAGTCACCCCTTGTCAACACCTTCTTCTTTTAAAAATGCCCAGTTCTCATAAGAGAGCACTTTTTAAATGATTGTTTCACTGCTCAAATTTCTTTAAGTAACCACAACCTCTTGAGTCATTTTTTGTCTCAATTAGAAGAATCTGGAGGGGTGTTAATTTTTCCTCTAATCTTCTTTTGTGAAAATCATAGAATCTGATGATCTCAGTGCCTTTCTAAATTGTAAACAGTCACACAACTGAACATTCAATCATTCTCCTGTCTGGATTTATATAAAAATTGGAAGTTGGATTTTATTCCATGATGTCAAGTGCATATACATGTAAATGAAAAAAGGAATTTGGGAGTAGTAAACTGGTGTAAATTGAATGATATACAGTACTGTAGAAAGAGTTTTTTCTTCAGAGGGAATTGTTGTACTCTTGCTTTATTGCAACTTATTGGTGGATCTGATTCCATGCAACTTTTGACCTCCTGATTTGATTTTTACATGTACAGCAGTATTTCCAATGGCTATTACCGCAACTGATCACTTTTTTTTTTTGCAGTTACACTATTGGTGTTTTTTTTTTGTTGAAGAGTCAGTTGATTGAATGTGCTATATTTGCCCTCTTTTTCTCTAAAGCAATTACAAGAACAGCAAAAACATTTATCCCACATGGAGGAAGAGCAGCTGAAGTCAAGTGCAGTTACTGCTTCATCTGAGAAACCTCAAGGTCAGGAGGTTGAAGTTCAGACTGACTCAACACATGATGAGGAGGATGCTAGGATCTTAAAATTAGGTTTGTCAAAAACTCTCAGCTTTGAAACATCCTCTGCTGCAAGCCAAGATGACAGAGAAAAGCTTGGAAATGCTATCCGCAGGAGTAAAACATTGCCTGTAAGGCTGAAAGCAACTCAGGTGGAGGTAACAGAAGACAAAACAGGTAACCATTCATGCAGAGGTGGAAGAGGGGGGTGGAGGGATTTCTTTCCATTTCAGGTGAAAGTTCTTACATTTAGGTGTATTTAATCTTCACATATCTATCATGGCAATGACAACCAGTGAGTGTCATAACTGTTTAAGTTACACACTAGGGAGAAAACACTTTGTCTGACATTGAATGTTGCAAAAACTGTTGTATGTGCCAAACCTTACTCTTGATTTGTTTTGTGGACACTTCCCATCTGAAAGTCAAATTTTGCTTTGTCTTTTATTGATTTATCATGTTTTTTCTGTCTCACATTATCCTTCAAAATAGCCAATAATTATCATAAAACACTACAACAAGTACTCTATGTACCTCCCCATAATGACAACCCCTCCTGTTATCCTGAAGGTGGGTGTTTAAGAGCTGTTTTGAAAACTGTTTTATACCTTGATCTTACTCAATAGTTCAAGTTGTCAAGAGTACGATAACCTATGACTATTCACACCAGGTATTACATAAACAATACTTATCTTGGAAACCCTTTTGAACTGGTGATAGTCTTGCTACAATTTGGCCTTAGAACAGCTTAAAAAATGCGTGACAGAATAAGTGGTAACAGTTGGTTAAGATCATTATTGTATTTTTTTGTAACCAAGGGACAATAGATATAACCAGTCATGTTTTTATTTTTATTATCAATTTTAGAAGATGCACTTTCTAAAACAGTTCATTTTGAAGGTGAGCATGATATTCACATGGATCAATGTAATTACACTGTAGCTTGATTTTTCTGGTAATACTGCAGGTATTTGTATGAGCTTTGAACATCAGGTAATTTTAGTGAACTCCTGTCTTTGAATATCTAACATCAAAAATATCTCTCAGGTGTATGTGATTACATGCTGTGGAAGAGGTAGAAGTCACTCCTCTTTTATTTGTTCTCATTTTGAGAGGTGGAAGCCCAGTTAAAGCCATAAATTACATGGCCTGTACCCTCACTGTAATATACAGGATCTCCTTTCAGCTGAATAATTTCTTAATATATATCTTTTCCAGGCCCTGGTGACCACAAGTCCAAGCATTTTCTATGTCTTAGCCAGGTACATGTATTTTATGCATTTTTTTTCTTTATTTATACAAACATATTTTCCATTGTTCTTCCCAAAAGCACCTAGGCTTAACATGGGGATTATAATGCATATATTTCTCAGCCATGTTAGACCATATAGCATTTCAACAAGATCAATGGCTTATAATATCACTGCTGCAGTCAAATTGTTTTACCTTTCCCAACAATAACTGACACCATTAAATTTCATACCCTTTCCAAGCAGGTTCACAGGTTTACCTTTAATGTACTCTGGCTTGAAATAAAAGGGGGGGGGGCTCTGACTGGTGTCCTGAAATTTGTGTCTTTCGTCATTGTCAGAAGACTAATGTTATTCTAAATGCTGCATATGGAAACAATGATTATCAAGATCAGTGTTTGAATAATAAAAGTAAATGATCTGCTGATTCAAACTTAGTGATGTATTATTCCTAGGATGTATACAAAGAGCATCACTCAGCAATTGTGCACTGCAAGTTTTCTTCTAGCGGTAGGATGATTGGAAGTGCTGATGCTGATGGGATTGTCAAGTAAGGGACTGTTACTGTTTTTTTTTTTCACACTGAGGGTGTGCTGTGATGGTTTCCTTCCCTATTTGTATTAATTTTATAAAATCGTTTTCATGTTGAAGTGAGGGTGTTACACCACACAACCTTGATTGTGTTGTGAAGGGCATGTTAAGATTACCCAGGGTCTCTAACCTTTTAACCCCTAAGAGTGACCAGCATCTTATTTCTCCTTACAATGTCACCCCTGAATCAAACATAAATGTCACCAGAAAAAAGGAAATGATCACCAACTAAAGAAGTTCTTGATTGTTAAACAACTTCTCCTTGTCAGCACCTTAGGAAATGTATAGAGAACAGTATGGAGAATATGCATACTGATGTTAGGGTGTATAGGGTTATCCCTATAACTCCCAGGTCAAATTTGTAATTCTCCTTACTGTAAACCATATGATTCTTTTAATGTTAGTTCAGAGGATTTAGTATTGGATCAACTAATTATCCCCAAATTGATATTTTCCTTTATTCCTATCACTTATCTGGTTGATAATTATCGTAAAGAGAAATTCTGTCTTGGTCACTCATGGGAGTCAAAGGGTTAAGCTTGATCAAATGATTTTCTTCATGGTTGATTGCGAAAATGTGCAGTTACATGTAAGATCAGTCTAAAATTTTATTTCAAACATTTATCTCTTCAATGAATATTCATTCTGTATTTTTGTTTCTTCATCCTCGTTAAGTTTTTCTTGTAGAATTGCACAAAACACAAACTGGAAATGTTAAATGCCAGTAAGAGTAAGGGCAGTAAGTGAAATGTTTCCTTCTCATCTGATCTCTAAACCTTTTGTGACTAGGGTTTGGACAAACCATCCTGACATCCACACCAGTACCACTGTCATGTGTAAATCTCCCTTGCTGTCACTGGAGTGGGCTCCGAAGCCTGACAGACTGGTAAGTCAAAGTCAAGCTGCAGCTTTTATTGTAACACTGCTTTTCTAAAACTTGAAGTTGAAAAAATATGCTCAAGCCTTTGTTTAACTTGCCTTTTCAGTATACATTTCCACATGCTTGTGCAAATGCCATAAATTCTGTTACTTGATATAGTGGTTCTGCAGGTTGTTCTGTGAACTAAAGCGAAAAGTTCGTCAACCCAGTTAACCCTCTAACTCCCAGACCAAATTTGTAATTCTCCTTACTGTCAACCATACAATTCTTATGATGTTAGTTCAGAGAATTTAATATTGGATCAACTAATTATCCCCATATTGATATTTTTCTTATCACATATCTGGTTGATATTGTATTGATATTGTAAAGAGAAATTCTGTCTTGGTCACCCATGGGAGTTAGAGGGTTAAAGTTTATGTACAACTTGTGTCTTTATATCACTTAATAATTATTACACATTTGTTGTTTATATTTTCAAGTTTGTCTGATGTATATTCAAATTGTGACTCTCTCTCTTAAATGACTTGAGACTCCTTTTTTCGCCTTAAGTCGGCAATCTGTCTCTGATCAATACAGAATGGAGCATCTCTGTTTTATGCTCCATCTCTGTCGCTAGTCAAAATAAAGATTTATCACCTTCATGTTCATGTTATCACCTTGAGATAGTGCAGACCATATATCATTGTGTATTGTTTTTGTTGTAGCTTCTGTAAGGCAGTAGAAATAGTAAAATGTGATTTTTAACACAAAAATCATTCTGTTTTATGCTCCATCTCTGTCGCTCGTCAAATAACGATTGATTACTTTCATGTTCATGTCTTTTGTGGATAGAACCTTCAGATATTGCAGATTATATTAGTGTATATTGTTTTTGTTGTAGCTTCTGTTGGGTACTGGACATGGTAAAGTGCGATTTTTTGACACAGAAAATAAAAAGACCATTTGTGATGTCACGACTGACTCTCAGCATCAGTACCCCAGGTGAGCTAAAGGAATTCACTCTTTTTCAGCGTCTTAATTCACCTTAAGTGCTTTTTCTTAATCTATTCGAATGGAAGCAAACACGCGAGACACGCGGCTAATTTTACCTACACAGAGAATACAAAAGGAATGGTAAATGGTTATTGCAAACTCTGATCTCGGTCAGTTAAAGACCCTGACATACACCATGAACAGTGATGCTCGAACTTGATACCAGTTCGTGACATGCTTTAAACGCACTTGACACACGACAGTACCTTCACATACAAACTCGCTACTCAGTAGGGTGGTTTGTATATGCTCGATCTTAAATAGGTATCGACTTTTTTGCGCAAACCAGGTATGTTGTTTACACTTTCTCATGGAATTAACGGGATTTCTTCAGAACAGACCAAGATACATGACCCAACACACCAGTCTTGTTGCAAACACCATGCTAAACTTGACGTCGACTTAAAGACTGAAACAACATTCTATCAGTTCAGTTGCTAGAAAATAAACAAAGGAAGAGACAAATACGAAAACAAAATTGATTTTCATTTCCAGAATAGTCTCATTGTCGTGCAGTCCTACCGGAGCAGCTTTTGTGTGTTCAGCGGCAGCAAGCAAGAAATCTTTGACGTCATCGTTGAGGTTATCGCAATCATTTTCAAAATACAGTGAAATGTCCTCGTTGACGTCGAACAGTGCAGGTAGCGGAGCGGGTGTGTTACAGTGTTGGGATATGAAAGCCATGAAGGTCGAGGTATGTTATCTTGTGATTGGGTGACTACCAGTAGTAAGATGAAAACATTCTTTTTATCTTATCACCATCTTTTTAGGTTTTTTTTTTCATTCGGGAGAGGGAAGGGAGCCCTCTGTACCTCTTCCATTTGGATCTTTTTGATTTGAAAGGTTTCTTCACTCCTTATTGGTTTTTGTAAATAATTTCTTGTGTAATTTTTCTTATTTCTCCCAGCGTCTCCTTCCCCTCGATCCTGTGCCCACTTGTATAAACTGCACGGCGTTTAATCATAATGGAACTCTTTGTATATCAGGAGGAGCGGATGGCATGATACGGCTGTTTGGTGAGTCATCACACGCGATGCAGCGTGTTACGCACGTGTAATTGTTTGGGTTTTGCAGCCCATTCTTGATTATGATAGTAATGATAATAATATTAATAATAATAATGATGATGATGATGGTGACGATGATAATAGAATTTAACTTTTAGACTGAATAGACCGATCCGCGGATCCATTGGGAAAACGCAGGTGTAAACTGGTGATCGGCATTTTTCGTTTTCCCGTTGGGTTAAAGGAGCCAAGAATGATATAATTAGTCGTTTTCTATGCATTATTACTTTTGTTTTGAGAGCAACTTCTTAATATTAGGGACCGGTCTTTATTTATCACCTGTGGAGTCTGAGGATTTTGGTTGTGGAACAATTCCCCTTCCCCCCCCCCCAGAAAAAAAAACTCTGCAGCATTCCAATGATCCCCTTCAATGGCCGTCAATTTCCTTTACTTCCCCCTTTATACTCTGTTAGTGCAAAAAAGTTTTAAATCTGAAAATTTTAAGGTGCAGAGACTGTTGCTCTACATGGAATGTCACGATCTTTCCGCCCTGAAAACTTTTGGTCTCAAGTTTTGAAAAATGTTACTCCTCTTGGCATTTTGCCCCCCCTTCCCTTCTACGTGCAATGTTGAACTATGAGCAATTTTTAGAGTTTTTTTAGAGCAGAGTTTGCATTTCCTTATTATCCAATATTGAAAAGAGTAATATGGGTTCATTCTTGTGAGTTTTCTAAACTGGTCTCGACTAACTGTTACTTCAAACTCGGTAAAAGCGTGGTTTTTTCTTATTTTGTTGCTCATACAGATATGAGGTCGTATGATTGTTTAATTGGTTGGCAAGCTCATGAAGGTGAAGTGTGTTCAATGCAGTTTAGCGCAGACGAAACCACTGCTTACAGTATGGGAACAGACGGCAAGGTTAGCCATAACGCTCGATACAGTCGACTCCTTCTTAATGATCATCAAGACCTTACCTCGTACTAAAAAAAATCAATCTTTAAGCGGATTTCCCGTTACGATTTGCTCAATATAATAAGCGCCGAAACGTATTCTTGTTTCCACTGATACAGTGAAACCTGGATGCCATACTATTCCTTCACCGGTAACCACCTATCATTTTTTCAGTTTTCCCCGACAGTTCGCTGGCCCCCATTCATTCTCCTGGTGGAGAGCCGATCTGTCAGAGAAAGGTTTCTTGCCCTAGAACATAACACCATCAGGGACTTTTAGTAGTTCTTATAACATTATCCGTAAGGGCGGAGCTGAAAAAGACTCATCGTTGATTAGCGTTTTCATGGCTTCCTACAATTAAACCGAAAATTATCTCAAGGATCAAGAGGGCGAGAATGAAGGGACACGACTCATTTTGTAGAAACCTAAACAAAATGCGGTATGTGGGTGATAGTGGATATCATCTGCTTTGGACTGGAATTTCCTTTTAAGATGATTCCTCCAAATAAAAATTACATGACAATTTTTTTAAACTTTTCTTATATGTTCCCTACCAATGTATGTTTCGAAATATATGATAAACTCCTATTTCGCTACGTGTCACGTAAACTGGGTTAATCTCTAAAGACTTACTCATATTTGTTATCTTTTTCTCCTAACTGGCCAGGGATCGATTTCAGTATCTAAGCACTTGCGAACCTACCCCTCCCCTAACCCAACATTAACCTTTACTTATTATCTGTTGACTGATGTTGGGTTAGGGGAGGGGTAGGAGTGCAGTTTCCCAGATACTGACATTGATGATTGGCCAGTCTAGCAAAGGGAGAAAATTTGATACAAATAATTTTGCTCTTATTACTCGTAGTTCTCACAGTGGAGTGTGCACCGCATGGGTCAAAGATTAACTGACGTTGATATACACGACGGGGCAGTGTGGTGCGATTCAGACAAATCCTCTCAGAGCAAGTACAAATACATGAGTTCACCATCATCTTATGGCAAGATGTTTGTTTTTGATTCTGAAGGACAGTATCTTCTTTCCTGTGGACCGGAGTGTGGAGTAGTATATAAAGTAAGTTGTGTATTGCTAAATACAGTACGTACCGTCTAAAACATCGCAAACGAGGTCACTCAGTGAGTATAGTTTTTTGGATTTCTTCTTTGCGTAAAAGTGTGGATTGTCCTCTTATCCATCTGTCCTTTCTTCCTTCTTCCCGTTCACCTTCTTCTCGCCAACCTCCCTTTGTTTGTTTCTCTTCTCTTCTCTTCATTCAATATTTCGAGCCTCCATTCATTCCTCTCTCCTCATTTCCCCCTTTTCTCGGTTTTTTTTTTTCAAATTGACTTCATTTTCTAACCTTGCAGGTCCAGAAGAATCAGGGTTTGAGTCAAGTGTTAACTTTACCAGCTGAGCACAAGTCACCAGTTGTAAGCGTCGATTGGAGCTCCTCTATGAGCTGTTCCACATGCCTCACTGGCTTTGCGGATGGATCGATACAAGTAACATCTTTGCTAAAAAATTGAGGATTACTTTCAGCTTTAAGATCAACGAAAGGGTTTGTTACCTCGTAGAACACAATAGTCGACCCTTTGATATCACATCCGTTCAAATGCAAGATGGCGTCAGAGTTACAAGGACAAAAGTTTCTGGAAATACTCAAGATTACATGTTTTTAGCTTTCGTGTACCCGCACAATCCCTTCCTAGACTCGTGATATGAACTATTAAAATTAGAAGTGTTTGGGAAGTACTAGAAAAATCCTTATACGAGTCTTGTGAGCCTAAGTTTGTTATGTGCTGCAAGACCACACATTTATTTTTACCCTTTGAGTGATGTGTCCATGTCCGTTGTAGTAGAGCTTAATTCTCGTAAGATGATCGTCATCGTTATTCGTGTTTGGGTTTGTCCTTGACCGTGCTCAGTGTCCTCAACGGGAAGTTTTTATAGGTTTTAATTCTCGAAGTTTGGTCGTGTTTCAAGTACTTTGTTATTCGTTTCAAATGTCTTGTGAAATTGTTTTTTTAGTGTTCTAAAAATATGTGTACTCTGTCAAGGTCAGTTGTCCCGTAAGCCCAAACATGCCTACCGATAGGGTATTTAACTCTTCAATCCCTAAGAGTGACCAGCATCTAACTTCTCTTAACAATGTCACCACTGAATCACACATTAATGTTATGAGAGTAAAGGAATGATCCCCAACTAAAGAAATTCTTGGTTATTAGACAAATTCTCCTTGTCAGCACCTTAGTAAATGTACAGAGAACAGTATGGGGAATGTGAATACTGAATTTTAGAGAGAGAAAAGAGAGAGCCTCAGAGAGCGAAATAAACTGAACTGATCAGACTTCTGGTACCTTCCGTTCGCGTTTGGTGTTCAAGCTAGTCTATCCTAATAGTCCCAATACTCGAGAAAACGTCCGAGAGAGAGTTGTTGCGGTTTCATACAGGCCACAAGGCTGGTCCTTCTGTTTACCACAGTCAGCCCAAGATAAATGACCTACTGTGTCAGGAAGAAACTTAATTTTGTATTCAAATTGTTTTTCTATTTGTTTTATAAATGGCAACTGAAAATATCTTTATTTTTTTTGCCCAACGAAAGGGAAATAGTCATTTTATTATTTAATGTTATAACTTTTGTTTGAAGAATGTTCTTTGTTAAAACTGTCGATAGCGTTATCAAAGATCGTATCAGGATGAGTAATATATGCAATTGAGATGAGTTATGTGCTGTATGACAGTTGAAAATATATTTTTTTTTATTTTGAAAAATTGTAATAGAAATGATTTACAAAAACGGACATGAGCGGGATAGAAAGTGAAAGGCAAATGTTTGTAACAAATAGTTTGAATAAAAACATGTAGGTCATTTTCTTCATAACGGATATTACTTATTTATTTTCTTTTCCTGCATGTCATTGATGGACCCTCAAACCTTTCCACTACTTCCATTTGGTATGTTTTGTTTCAATTTGGAGAATTAATTTTCTTGTTTGTTGAAATAGTTCTCAGAGGCAAACAAGAAGATAAGAAAGCGAAAGAGTTTGTAGCAAATAGATTATAGACTAGTAGAAATGTTACTTCTATACTAAGATACGAGTAAAGTTCAATATACTTTCTTTAGTGAGGGTTTTTTTATTTTTCTCATTTTCCCCTTACTTTGATTTGATTGTAATCAGCTACCTGCAAACCTTTTCTCTATTTCACATTTGGTATATTAATTTCATTTAAATTGCCTTAGGTCATGATAAAGTATTTTCCCGTCTACCCCTCCCACTAAAAACGGATTTTCACACAGCCTCACATACAGCTCACTGAAGCTGTATGCTTCTGGTAGCAACCAATAGCAAGGAAATTTGTACCTGATTTTAAGAGATCCCTTAGCGTTTTTTCAGATATTGTAATTATTGCCCTCGCGTAAAATAGATGTTCTTTAAGTTTACTCCAGGCTCGGCCATTGTTTTGGGACACAATGACATGTTGCGTAGACTCCTTTGCAATTGTTGTTTGCTATCGTTACATCACTCGTTCTCCCTCAAGCCTGTCCAAGGCGTTCAGCCAGTAAACGGGGCGCTCACAGCAACTAATGTTGCCTCGTCTTTCAAATAAACGCCTGGAAAAGGCAAAGAGTAGGTTGTATGACTAGATCAAATGATACCAGTTGCGAAGGAGACTGCATTTTTCACAACGCGCTGCGCTTTCGGCTCTCATTTCAAGTAATAGGTTTTCCATGGTGTACATGGCGTGACCTGCGTTGATCATCGCCACTCAAAATCGCTTCTCTCACCAGGAATAACCTCACATCTCATCTCCCCTCCCAGTTGAAGGTTAGAGCGAGTGCCTTTTGTCGTGGGTGTATCCTGACGAGCTATTAAAATTACCTCGATATAGTAGGCGAACAATGAAAGACTCGTGAAAGATTGCATCAGTCAGGCGTCTCACCAACTGACCTGAAAATACACTTATTGTCGACGCGAACTTGAGCTGTCACTTGTGATGTACGAAACTTCCTCAATACTCTAAAAAAAGTTTTCCTTATTCAAACTTCGGGAAGAATTCACGCACTTGGCTGCGCCTTCAAGGTTGCAGTGATGATAGGGTAGCTTTGATGTAGACCCTCGACATAGCCAGCTATATCCGAGGCGACGATGACATTTTCGGCCCCCCCAAAAATGAATTGAAAAAATAAGAACTTCCATCGCAATATTTTTTAAATTTCTAGCCCATGATAATTTATTGACAGTAAGTCTTTGGTAAGGTTAGTAAGGGCTCTGGTGAATTTTTGTTGCAACACTTTCACATTAAAATCACAAGGCAACACGTTAATTGACACGTGTCTTGCATTGCTAAAGCGAAGTCTTCCGCGGGTAATCCCCTGCAACCTTTCAGGGAACAATTCGAGATGATGACAACAGAGATTCTCTCAGTGGTGAGTTGCCTGTTTCTTCGAGTCCCTTTGGAGCCTCTTAAGAAGGACTTCGTGTATAGTTAGTCAGTTAGTTATTCATGTCTGACTGTTACAATTAAATAGAAATGTTAACATTTGAGATTGGCGAAATTACCGTCATTGACATTCGACTGGGTGTGCTGTGCCCTTGCGATCACAAATGATAAAATTGTGTTGGGGTGGAGAGGTATACCAAGATTTTTTTAAAACTGCATTTTTCCATATTGTCGCTTCAACGTAGTTATTTCTAATTGTCAGCTACTTCGGATCAGGATTCTTTGCATAAGGTTGCATCACGAAAGTAGGGTGGTGAGTAAAGATTGGAGAAAAAAAATCAATGTCGAGGGTAGATAAACAAGATTATGACCTCTTACTCGTTAGCCAATAGAATTCTTGTTTAGTGACCTTAATATATTGATTGGTCGCCAGGCCTTCCCCGGGAGTACGAGCGAGAAACCTCAATAAGGAAGGTGGAGGAGACGACTGTTTACCAACATGGCATAAATTTGGGAACTTATCCAAACCTAAATGGTTGACGCTTGTGCTTGGACGTCAGAAAGAGGGCTAGTTCCTCGAGACCAGGTCGAAGTGCTGTTGTCGCTGCTTCTGAAGGCCGAGAAGCGGACATGGATCGCAAATATTTCCCCCGTCAACTCGTCAGAACATGACGACCGTGAACCCGCTCCAGGGGAAGGCCAAAGTCGGGATTGTTACTCTGTTGATACTGGATCGCTGCTACTTAGGTAAGCTATACTATTCGGAGAATTGAAAATGATTTCTTTTCAACCGCCAGGGCCATATTTGCGTCCATTTTAACTGCTTGAAAGTGAAGGTCATTTAATTAATTCGTATGCTTAATTCCAACTCAAGCGTGGTTCACACCGTTACTGCTTATTTATAGACTGTCATTTGCTTTTAACGGTGAATGCGAAAGTGTTATCTTTAAACGGTGGTTCTTTTCTGTAACTGTGATGTCATAGACTGCCAGGATTTTGTTAAAAGTGGTCATTTTCGCTTGCCTTCTCGACCGTAAACGTGTTAACCGGAAGTACTCTGACTTGCGTAGCTTACATTTTACACAAACCAACCTACCTTGTTCTTACTTCATCAAGCGGTCTCAAATTGAGTGCAGCTTGGTACTAAGTGTGTAAAGCTTTGGCACGAGTAATCAGCTAAGGACTGGTAAAACTAAATGAATCACATGTTCCTTGTTAAACATCTTTCTTGTGTTTGTCATGTTGGTTTTCCTCTCCCTCTTGTTCTACATGAACAGACCAGCTTTGTAGATAACGATTGTGGGATTGCATGTCAAGCTGCCATATTTATTTTCCTTGTGAACATTTGTAAAGCTCACATTATGTGTGCATCCAGATCTTGTGCAGTTGAAAGCCCCATAAAGGAAGAGGTTTTTTTTCTATAAGAATTGGTGATTTGGCTTCTTGTCAGTGTTTTCTGTTTGTTTATAAAAGTGATAAATTTTACTTAGTGAATATTTGTCTTCATTATGGTATTAGTTTTGTTTCTATGCTCAAGTTGAGAGCATTTACACCTTCCTCTTTGTTACATAATGGTTGCAAATTTTGAATTTGTGAACTTTCAAAATGTCTTTCTTTAAGAAGATGTAGAAGAAAAACAAAGCCACATTTGGAAAATCTGGGAAAGAACATATCTAATGTTTTTGCAGAGCTCAGATCATACTATTTCTTTTGCTATCATAGCAAGTTATTTACTTAGAGGCAAAAATATATAGTTATCATCTATAACTATCAAGCTTTCAGAAAATGAATACTGTAGGTTGATTTGATTATCCTTTTTTAGCACTTGCCTAATAGTCCTCCTTTAAAAGCTGTTAATCCACTAATATGTTACCTCTAATGTTAATTTTTTACACTGTTTGAAATGTTTTGCCAAGGTTAGAGATAATTTACAAGTAATAATCATGGATTAGTAAAGTGTGTTTGACCAAAAAAAGACATGGCTGTTTTGCCTCAGCCTACCAAAATCAATACTGAACATCTCTTGTTCTTTTCTTGTGAAGACCTCTGAACATTCCTAAAGAAATTCTTTCCACATGACCTCTTCTGAACACCACCCAAGAATTTCAAGGATGTTCTGATAACTTTGGCAGCTTGCTGCATGTATATTTACATGTAGCAATGCAAAGCACCAAATCATTGACATATGTGTTAAAGAGAAATTAAGCACTTGACTATACAGTATGTTATGGCATATCAGATATACATAGATTCTGCTTGTATTAGAACTTTTTTTTCCCATTAACAGGCATGGATGTTCCATCAGGGGAATTCATAGGGAATTCTATGCTCTTGAGTGAGTGCTTTTGTTACATTTTATGACAGTGACAATATAATTCAGTTACATCTAGCTGTAGTCATACATGTATTGAAATATGAAGTTGAAACATGAAATCTTTTTTTTTTTTAGTCCAAGGCACTACTGTGTTAAAGTCACAGCTGAGATTACAAATCCAGACTGTTCGTCCTCTCAGATGCAAGTGGTAAGCAGTTAATTAATTGATATATAATTATTTTAAGACTGAAACTACATGTACTATATTTATTCACTTATAAGACACACTCGGTTACAAGACGCACCCTAAACTTTCAAAGACAATTGTGACAAGTAAGCAAAATTAAAATTTCACATAAATACCCTGTTAGAAGGGGCACCTGGAATTACAGGAAATTTTGTTGACCACATTCTCTGTACTTACGACAATTTGCTTCCAAAGTTACTAATTACAGTGCTCTCATTCTCAAAACAAAAGCAAAAAAGTCACACATTACAAACAATAGCAAAATCACACATGGAAAATAGCATAAAAGTCACACTTTTTAATTCACTCAATTCATCCTTCTCAGGAGACAGTGTTTTAAGTTAAGAATACTAATTGATCCATTTTTACATTTATAAACAATACTCATCTGACAGATCTTTCATTCATCAGTTGCAAAACTCATCTTAATCTTTGAGCATTAGTTCAGCATACCATAAATTTTCAGTAATTATGCCAAGCACTCGTCGTCATTCCTATGATCTAAACTTTAAGTTGAAGATTGTAGTAGAAGTGGAAGCCATTGACAACAATCATCAGTTTGAGACAGACAGCAAAGCCAAAGACGACAAGTAGCTGAGCTCAGGCGAGCTTTCAAACAAACGATTCTTTTCAGAGCCATCCAGTTCTTTTTAGAACCAACAAATCAGATAAAGTCAATGATCAACATTGTTTGTCTTTTGTTTATTCATTTACCAGTATTTATTTACATACTCATTTCAGTTTATTAGGGAAATTTGGAAAAGTTATATTTTGTTGCGTGAAAATACTCTGTTATAAGATGCACCCCAAGTTTTGAGCAGACTTTGATCAAACAAGCAGATTTTCTTGTAAAAACTGGTGCGCGTTAATGGTAATTGGATTGGATGTAGCTCAACTCCTCACTGGCCTTTGGTTACATTTGTAAATATTCAGTTTTTATTCAGCGCTTTAAGCTGTGACTGTTTGGGTTGCCATGGCAAGTACAGCTCATGTTTGGCCTACAAATTTGTAGCAAACATTTCTAATTTAGCACTTGTGGTTTCGAGTTGTGTAGAAAGCTAGAATTTTTTTATTTCTAAATGTTAGGTAGTCCTAAAGTTCTGTATTGTTGCACAAGATGTCCTCTTCCAAGTATTGGTTGTTGTTTTTTTTTTGTTTTTAAGAGAGAAAGAACTTACATGTAGCAAGAGTGTTGTTTTGTTGGGGAAAACTGTGGTAGCTGTGTCAATACATATATACAACTGTAGTTGGCATTTTATTGTCAGTTCCATGAGTTTTTAACCTGGAGAAAAATCTTGGGGACCTATTTATGATTTTGGTTTATCAAACAGGTACTAAGGGTTATACACTTAGAACCACTGTTATTTTTTTTGTTGTTATTATTTTGTTTGATGAAACATCAATAATTATAAATAGTTATTAATAATAATTATTTATTAATTTTTAAAAGTATATATTTTATAGGTTTCAGGTGATGGTGTAAACAGGTCTGGGCAAGGAATAAGTTCAAGTAATGTTCTGTTAATAAATAAATATATCATATTACAGTATATCTCTTAGTTAATACATGCACTTTGATTGGTTAATTTAGCCAGCGGAATTTCATTGTACAGGTGGCTAAATTCAATATTTTCTTTGAAACCCAGAGATATAATGGTAATACTACTCCATTTTCTCAGTCCAAGCATAAAAACCTGTCCCATAACTTACACTACAGACCTCAAACTGAATAAGAGGCATTTACTTTAGTTATATAGATGAGTAGGTATGTATCCTTTCCTCAGGGGCTATATGGATGGGTAAAAGGGATGAATGACTGTCACTGGACTTAGCAAGTCAGATTGAATACTTGTGTAACTTAAGTCCTGTTCTGTGACCTGTTTGTTTTCTTTTTTTTTTTGGACCATAAACAGAGTAGCAGTTCATGGCTGTGTAGGATATGAGGTGTTTAGGTGTTACTAATGTGAATGGGCAAGAGTTCAAAAAGCAACAAGTGTGCTAGTCTAGTTACATGCATGGTCATCCACAAAAGGCAAATGCATGTATGAAGTGTTTTAGTCAAAAGTAGAAACATGAAATCACATCTAATGATCTTTACCAATCTGTGTTTACTTCTATAGGTCTTTCAAGTACTTCTTCTCAAGATTCAACCATTGTACGCTTGACTATAAGGGTAAAATACATTTTAGGTTTTCATTTTCTTCAACAAGAATGTTCGTGTACATGTACATGGACCTCTTGCATAAAAGTAGGTGTCATTATTTCCTCACAGTGCCTCTTACTTGTGGTCGACTACTAACAGAAGCACCCCTTTGAGAGGGAGTGCACAGTGTTTCTTTTCAGTAAGCAATTTCTTAGCCCTTAACACCCTAACATCAGCATTCATATTCTCGATACTGTTCTCTGTACATTAATACTAACTGGTGCTGACAAGGACTGGAGAATTTTTCTAACAATAAAGAGTTTCTTTAGTTGAGGATCAGTTCCTTTATTCTCATGACATTAATGGGTATTTTCTCTTCTTTCAAACAGACTCCCCAGTTTGAATTGTATAAAAATGCTGTCCTGTGTGCTCAATATCCGGTCCTTGGTGCCTCCCAAGCAGCTGCTTCTCCGTATTCACCAGCATCATCACCATTTGAACCTCCATTGGGAAGCAAAAGGTAAAAATCATTTTAACAACCTGTTCCTTTAAGGAAGAATCAATCATGTTTGTCCACTGAAGATAATTTTCTACTGAAAGTGTGAAACTAAACAAATAAGTGTCTTAATTACCCCTAAAATCAACTGATTGCGAATAGGAACTTTTTAAATGTAATTTCTTGAGTTGTTCATAGTGATGAATAATCATGTACTTTACATGAATGCCCTGGCTGTTGAAGGGTGGATAACGCTATCCACTGGATGAATCTCTATGCGGTGGATAGCACAGTATGTTTTGTTAACACTTATCTGCTGGATAGCAATTTATCCGTAAGATAGAGTTATCCGCCCTTTATGCAACTGGACCCTGCACATGTGGATCTGAAGTAGAAGTGGAGGGCAGTCAACTGTAACACCAATTGAAAGCAATTATAATAAAAGTGTTTTGGATCAGAGATATTAGAATTGAAAGGGAAGAGGATGCATATTGGTAATCATCTACTCTTGACATAATTTGTACTGTAGATGTATGAGTGGGTAATAAATGCAAATAGTCACCATTATCATGTTCTTATCTGCTACATGTTACCTTATCTTGGCCAGGGTAAGTGCTCTACACTCAACTCATGCACATACAGACATCAACTAATAATAAAAATTTTTAACTGATGTTTTCATACTGACTTGCCTTGACTTATAGACGTGGTGAGTCATCAGTATCTGACAATGGGCATGTCTCACCTGAAGTTTGCATCTCAACCTTATCAGAGGAATTGCAGGAGTTAGTTCAGAATGTCTTTGGACTTGGAAAGCGTCAGCACAAATTTTACTGTGAGACTGAGATACCAAAGCAAGTTCCTCGTTCCAAGGAGGGTCCAAAGGTATGGTCATTGAAGACATTTATTTTTAAAACTTTTATTGAAGAAAATGGGTTTATGGGTACTGGTAAACTGTGAGGTAAATGGGGTAACATACATGTAGGTGTACAGCATCCCATTTAGGAGGGTGGGGGGGGGGACAGGGAGTGGCAATACTCTAAGCAAGCTTCATGCAATGAAAACAGCATGAGCTCAGGGACTAGATGTCAGCTATTCAAATTGATTACTGAATTAATTTTAACTTACTTTTACCTTATTTGGGAGATGGATCCAACAACCCTACCCCCTTCAGCTGCTAGTTCCTCTATCCTCATCTCCTTGTTGATGCATGGATGATATATCAGAAGTTAAAGATTAATCCCGTATGAGTCAGTGTAAAGGATTAAGTAGGGTGACTCTTTCTTCACAGATTTAATTTACTGATGTACAATGTACATCTTATTTCCACTTCTTCTCTTACAGCATTTCATGGTAAGCATGCAGTACTTGCATGGCCAGCACAAAAAATACTGTTATTTAATACGAGATTTTTTTTCCTACTTATGTTTAAGAAAATGCTATTTATGAGGTTTGGATCCCTTTTAACATGTATATCCACTGTAAGCACTATTTCAGTTAAAATTTTGCAGTATTGCTTAGTGATGAAGAATTAATTGTCAACTTTTCTTTGTACATGTAGTTTCTTGTAGAGGAGTTGCTGAGTCAGCAGCTTGTTTTAGAGCATAACCACCACCCATTTTACAGAGTTCAGGCTTTCATGGACAGCAATGTTTATGATGATTGGTTGATAGATGTCAAAAGAAGGATAGATAGCTTAATCAAGGGCATCTGGCAGTACTCGCTTCCTCCTGTACCTGAGTTGCCCTTGGAAACTCCAAAATACCATGAACAGTATGTGGAGCTGATGAAGAGACTTATCAGGTTGGGACAAATTTTTCCTTTGACGTTAATGGACATCTCTAATGGCAGAAGAATAACCAAAGTAATTTTGATAACCCATCAGAACAAAGGAAAATCAAAAGGAAGCCTGAAAAATTAAAGTAAAAATTAGGAAACTGTTTGGAGAAAAAAATTGGAGCAATCATGTCAGGATTTGTTCTATCTTTGAATCTTTTTGTGAGGTTCTAAACCAATTACAGAGCAAAGAAATAAAAACAATGTAATTATGATTATTACTTTTGATGCTCAATTGCAAACTATCCCTGTGTCGTCATATAAAGGTAGAGTACTCCAGATAGAAATTATTTTTTCTTGTACAGGACACTAGAACTAAACTGAATTTAACACAAATTACTAATAAGTAAACTGTAAATGGCTCTCAACAAATTGTTTCTATGACGGATTACCAACATTTGTTTTTTGGTTTTTAGGTATGAAAGTAAGCAAAAGGAGCTACATCCAGTTTATCATGAAGCAGTTCCGATTGAACCTTTATCCTCCCCATCTTGCCAACTGTTGAAAGAATTTTCCCTGAGATATGGAGTAGGAATTCTTTTCTGCAAGCTATCATATCTGGAATACATTGTAAAGTAAGTCTTCGTAATGAGGGTACATGTAAAGTAGATCAAAGGGAGCTGTTCTTCCCAACTGACCATTTTTAAATAATCTCTATTGAGAGTTTTAGAAGCATTTTGAAAAACTCAGTTCTGTTGATGCTAGGTTTTTTTTCTTCTTTTTTTTTCTCCAGTTTTCAGATTAAAACATAATTGTACTGTACAGTGCATGTCTATAGAGGTTTTGATAACTTTTTCCATGAACATTTGCCGATGGTGCAACAGCTGGTTGTGGCTGGAAGAACAGCTGTTTATGAAGACCCCTTTTACACAAGGGGTTCTAATAGCATGTCTGATACACAAATGTACATGTGGGCATTGGTAACAGGCTTTGATTGAAATCCTTTCATATGGCTAATGCAATTTAGGTTAAGGGTTAGCTGAAATTTTTCAAAATGACAAGGCAAACCAGCTCATTGTTATTTAATTCTGTAATGCTTTGTTATTTACTTGTTTAGGTGTTTTGAAAACAACATCTGGTATATTGAGCACACTAAAACATCTCTACGAGATGCAATGAATCTTATTTCTAGCGGCTGTCAGGAAATTTTTGTTGAGGAAGAGGTAAGTCTGGGGCAATGTGATTCTGTTGTACACTGTATGTGCAGGTGACTCTGATCAAACTTGAAAGGTCAACAAGTAGTTTCTCCCCAGAAAATTGTTACACTATAAAGCAGATGGGTGCTAAGAATGAAAAGAAAATAATGATTAGGGCATTTTGTTAGAACTAGAATTATGAGATATGTATAACAGACAGTAAGTAGAAAATAATATTGATATCTTGCCACAGATATTTCCATGGTTTAAATGTTTGATGCCATTGTTTATTCAGAAGTCTAACATACATCCTTGTCAGTCTACGATTCAATGATCACCTGCTTTCAAATAGTGAAAATATTGGAGATTTTGTTTCAACTACAACACTTTTATGAGAAAAAGAAAGTGGAATTTTATGGTTTCAATTGCTATACACATCTATCTGTTTTGTAGTTTTTAAGGTTATAATTTTATAACTTTCTATGGGAATTGGTCATTATTGGAGGATATTGGTTGTGTCCAGAGAAAATTTGCATGATTTTTCCCTTAAAGTTCAGTACTATTCTTGTGAACAAATAATGACTATTCCTCAAGAATTTTTCCATGAACGTTTACAAGGCCCAGTTGGCACATTCAAATTGCTGAACAAAATGTAAAGTGAAATAAGTGTTTCTAACTTTCAAAGCGTGTGAATCATCTTCGCTGTTTCGTTCAATAAATGCAATGTCTCTATCTTATTTTTCAGTTCAAAATGCTACTGAATATTTTGTCCATTCTGCTAAAAAAGACCAAGTATTTCTTGAGTAAACTAAGGAGGATTTTTCCAGCTGACAACAATCCTAACGAAGGTGTTACAGCATTGGTCACTCTGTTTGAACTGACCCTGGAATCTGCAAGAGAACTAGAATCTGAATTTCCATCAGTTTTTAAAAGACTTCCACAGGCTCGACAATTCTCCAGCAACTTGTCGAAAGCTCCAGTTTGCGATCTTCTGGCTTCCTTTGTCGAGGTATATATGAACCCTTTACTCTCTAACATTAATATGCATCTTCTCCATACCTACTCCATACATTTCTTAAGGTTCTGAAAAGGAGAATTTGTCCAACAATCAAGAGCTTCTTTAGTTGGTGATCGTTTCATTTATTCTCATGACCTTAATGTTTGATTCAGAGATGATATAGTAAGGAGAAATTAGATGCCAGTCACTCTTAGGGATTTAAGGGTTAATTGGTGTGAAAGAGTAACCCCACGGTTCCTTTCTTTTCGATCGCCCCGGCCAGTTTTTCGAGACCAGTGAAACGTTCATGGTTATTTGGCTTAACCCTTTAACTCCCGTGAGTGACTAAGACAGAATTTCTCCTTACTATATCTAGACAATATCAAACAGAAAAGTGATGAGAATGAAGAAAAATATCAATTATGGGATTACTAATTGATCCGATACCAAATTCTCCAAACTAACATTATGAGAGTCGTTTGGCAAACAGGAAGGAGAATTACTAATGAGATCTTGGGAGTTAAAGGGTTAACTTTAATTAAATGGTCCGATCGCATGGGTGTTATTAGGGATGATCGAAGCGCCCCGGACAATATGGAAGCCTTTAGCTTTAGTTCGTCACTCAAAACAATTTGACGTGCTATACAGTGAGTTTTACAAACTGAATGCGAAATGCAATGTATGATAAAAATCCCCTCCACTTGCTGTGTCAGCATTATGGTACCATGTACTTCTGGAAGAGACCGCTGTATTTAAAATGTGCATCTCAAAGAGGGAGAGGAAATGATTCTGTATTACGTTGGTTTTGCTTTACTTCGCTGTTTCTTTGCCCCCGAAAACTCGTTCCCCTCTGAACCAATCAGATGCGAAACTACAACCAATCGCGGCCTAGTCGTTAGTGACGTTTTCCCGCTCTTGAGGTAGTATGCTTGGGTTTAGTTTCACTTCTTTTTGGCCCATTTAAGTTGCTTTATTCTTGGTGTCGCAAAACTCAATCGGAAAGAGTTCTAGATAGTATTCTGATTATTTTCCTTTGGGTAGACGTTTACGATATCATGACACGTCTCCTTTAAACGCTCAACCGAAAAAATTGCGAAAAGCGTCAACCTAACACTTAATGGACCAATTTCAGTATCTGGGCAACTGCGCACCTACCCCTCCCCTAACGCAACATTAACCCAAACTTATTATCAGTTGACTATTGTTGGGTCAGGGGAGGGGTAGGTGCGCAGTTGCTCAGATACTGACATTGATCCGACCGGCGTTATCCCTCCCGTTGAAAGATGACAGCTGCCATTCTATCGTGACGTTAATAGCAATATTTATCACTGATGTTTCCTTTCATTCTATTTGTTTTCCTAAGAATGAGATCGAGGGTCGATATGAAGGTCTCAAAGTAAAAGCCACCACAGCTTTGGGTCAGAACTTCTCAATGTCAAAGCTTTTGCTTAAATCTATCCTGGAAATTCATCATGAAGTCAGTTATTACAACTCACAATACAAACAGGCTTTCTCCAGGTTAGTCATTTTTATTTCATACTAGTTTACAGCCTTGTTTTTAGCCATGTCTGTTCTTGTTTCGTTTTACTCAATTCTCAACCTCGTTCCCAGGGTTCTTTCTCTTCCATCCTCAAGGACCCACCCGCCCTACGGCGTGTTTTTGTTCTTCACAAGCACGTGACCAGCCGCAACCAGGGTACTTTCTCAAGGAAGGAAGAGGGAGGACCCTGGGAACGAGGTTGCTCAATTTGTGTCTCTCTCACTTCCTTATACCTAGTTCTAAGTGACTTGTATGATTTTTGTCACAGGTATTTTGATATCATGAAACTTTCTGCTTGTAAGTTTTATTCCCTACTGATGTCAGATGTGGAAGAACTGTGTCAAAATCAACCTCGAAACCAACGACCTGATAATGTGGATTGTTTCATGTTGTGTTTGGCATTCCGCTTATCCAAACTCGATAGAGAATGGGCTGAGTACATTCCTCACCGGTTAGTTCTCATTTTTTTTATTTAATTGTAAATGGGAATCATATCATTGTTATGTTACAAGATTAACGTATCAATGCCTCAAAACGAGCAAGAACGATGTTAACTTTTTTGAAATACGTGTTTGCAAGGAAGAATCTAGTTTTTTGCTTAAAGGAAATTGTGACGATAATGAATTGTGAGTGCAATTTTCATTCACTCCAATTTCTGAAGGGTATCATCAGGTACTCACTGTTTTAGTTGTGGGACTTTGTTCCACAACCCTAAATTTGACGACAGACAAGACAAAGAGAGCACATTTTTTTAGTCTTCTTGGCGATTGGTTTGGTATTTCAGTTGAGGGTATTCAAGTAATTTCTGATTTGTATTTTCAATAGACCACATTTGAAGTTGACAAACAATAGTTTAAGCAGCTTCTATGAAGAAAAATATATATACCGTGTTAAACAAAACAGCTTTAAAACTTGTGTAGGTTTTGGTGTTAATGGGGTTTAAGGCTCTTTAAATGTTGGCTAAGTAGTTTCTTTGACTTAGATTTAAAGTAAGCTGATTAAAGAAATAAACATCTCTTTATTACATTCTAGGAGTCAAAGATGGCGTCAGCCTTTTCTGGGATTTGCACTACAATGGCTGGATGCTACCGGTCATTTGCTCCAAGCGCTTGTTCCTCAGCTTATTAACCATGACTTATGGGAGCCAGTGGCAGTAATCATCCATCGATCACACGAACAGAAGCGCAATGTAAAGACACATCCTACTTCTCGCCTACGGTCTGGTTCTGTTCCGTCCTTGACACCGTCTAGTCCTTCTGCTTTCAAAACTGTGGCACCTTCAGCTGGATCTCCTGCTAAGGTGCAACATGTATAACTTATAATTTTGTGAACTTTATCTGTAAATAAAGGTTAACGAAAAATTCAACTTAGTGATATTGTTAAAGGAAGGCAAACCATGTTCTGAGTTGACTCATTAAGAAAGACCACACGCTCACTAACCTAGGAATTACGTCTTACGTCTGCAAGAGGATTGTTGATTAGACTTTGTATAAGAAAAATTTCTCATTACCAACTAATTACCATAACTATCATGCCAGCTGAACTGATAACTTTGTGAATCTTTTTCTTATTTTCATCTTAGTCTTCTGCCGCGAAAGGAAAAGCCAAGAGTGCTAAAGGGAAAGAGCCTCTTCCGTCAGGAGAGAAGAATCGAAAACGCACCCTGCGTGTGGAATATGGCAGCAGCTCTGAAGAAGATGGAAAGACAGTGGAGGTACAAGCCCAAGTGAATTTCCCGCAGACAAAAGTTGCTTCCAGTGTGGAGAAGAAAATATTAGAACCCCAAAGTAGTCAAGCAGAGGCTACCAGCAGAGAGATACCACCGGCAATGAATGATCCAGCGACACAGCCGCTATCAGGTCCGGAGGAAACCAAGAGGTCTGGAGAAGGAAATGAACAGCCAAGTAGTACGCAGGATGAGGATCGACCAGCACAGTCCTTTGAAAAAGAAGAAAGTTCTGTGCCAATCAATACTCAAGAACACCAAGAAAACACCATTGAAGTACACAGTCCAAAGAATGGAACAGAACCTATGGGTCTACAATCGAGTGGCTCCTCAGCTGATCAGTCAGATTTGACGGACAGTCACACCAACCTCTCGAGGAACCAAGGCACTCCCTTTGAGAATGACTCTACCAATGAATCAGATAGCGAAAACTCAATTCACACGTCTGATTCGTTTGACTTCATTGAGGATAGAGGGAAGGCAAAGGTTCCCAAAAAGAGTCAAACAAAAACTGTTCAGCCGATTGAAGACGCTATTAAAAGTGGGACAGGACGAAGGGGCTCTAGTTCGATTAAAGATTGCCAAACCTGCCCTGCGAGACACAGCTGTTTTGGTTCAGAAAACGATGAGAGAAGTTTAGGTGTACGCAAATCTGATCCAGACAAAAATAAGCGAAGTGCACATATTCCAATGCCACGAAACAAACTCATTGATAAGCTACGTCCATTAGGTGCTTCCTATCACTCGGAATGTGGTAGTTTTCAAAGTGCCTTTGGGTCAGTCTTCTCCGAGAGTACTGAAGGCAGCTATCGCACTCCTCGTTCCAGTCCCACCCCTTCACAGCAAGGCCAGTCAGCAACCCAAAATGAAGGCGATCATCACTCAGACAGGATTACTTCTCGAGACGACACACCCAGGTGGTTGGCAATTTCGAGCTCGTTTGTGGATGTGATTGGCGCCGTAAACCGTTTGGCCGCATTTGCATGTCACCTTTGCGATATCCTTTGCCCAGACGAGGGTCCTCGGAGAAGTGAGCAAGCCGCTGCAACAGCTGCTGCGTGTTCCACGGCAGAAGATGAGGATTTGGGGCACGAATCATTGGAGATTAAAAGGAGCCTCTACCACAGACTAGTCCAGGTACAGTCTACATATACGGTATGATAATTCTTTAGAGCCAGCATACTCGTGAGACACTTCGAAAATGTCGGGTTTTTTCCGATTCAGGGTGGGTCTAGTTTAGGAAATGAATTACGAGAATCTGTCGTATGAATTTTGGCTACTTGATTATCAATTTGTTATCGGTGGAACCTTTTATCGGAACTTTTATTTTTGTGGACAGCGTCAAGAAGGCCGAAAGCTAACAATAGAAGTGACGTTGATTCGATTAAATCAAACCTCTTATGGAGAAGACTTGAGGCCCATTGCTTGCGTAAAACCGCGGTTTGTGTTAGACCTCGTTTAAATAACCGGCCTATAGGGTTTAAAGTTATTTTCATGTAATCAACCAACCCTAACCGCAACCCAAAGCTGATGTATGTATTTCTCAAGCCGTTATATTAATTGACTGAAGAAATAAAAACGCCTCTTGCATTTTATCGTGAACAAATCAAACTAACAACAGAGTTTTGTCAGAAAAATGTGTCCGGGCCATAGTATATGTTTTGACTTCATACAGTGTCATTTGTACGCTGCCTGCGCTGCTCCATGTACTGTATATCTGTTGTTCTAACAGCTACATTGTATATGATTTATCCTTTAAAAGGTGATGTTGTCGTTTGTAAAGCTGTACTCGGACAATGTCCTCGCTATGGACACGTGTGGCTTAACAGATGAAATTCTGACTGACTTATTGGGAGAACGAGTCCATAGGCTTCTCAGAACACAGAGGGATGAAGGGAAATTACATGGATGCCGTCACAATCCTTTAGCCAGCCAAAGCTGTAACACAACAGATTTGCAGGGTAGGTCTTCGGTATAAAGTGTGCAGTGATAATTTGAGAAGTTTTTAATCGAGTGTGGAAAGAAACGCAGGATTGCATGGGGTTTGCTTTATAATGCTCTCTGATTGGTCCAGATAACCTGCGCCATTTTCTCAACCATTCAGATTCAAAATAAAAACCAATCACGTTTTTTTTTTTTTTTTTTTTTTTGGATTATTTTTCATTGGATCCTTGTGATATTTTCTCTGGTTTGATTGGCCGATTTGATTATTTCAGATTTCACCACAATCGTGGGGCATATTTCAGTTTGAAAAGGTACAAGTTATTGCTTGGTGATTAATTGGTTAAATTCATCGACTAAATCTTTTCGTATCTTTTACATGGTATAGGTGCGCGCATACCACCATGCGAGGGAATGTCCAGGATGGAGGTGAATCTTGGTGGCTTTGAACCACTCACAAGACAGGTCTGTTGATAAGAATTTATTACAGAGGACCCTTCTTTCATGGGGCATGCCTGGGACAAGAGAAAGTGTCCCTTCTTTGAGGTGTTCCTTGATTGAAGCTATCTGATGCATTTGTTATAGGAGCATTTTTCTGTGTTTTTCACTTGGAACCAAAGTTAAGTTTCCTCGATTATTCAGTGACGTTTCCTGAATAGAGGGGTCCTAAAAGCTGCTGAGCTTTCACTGTAGTTTAAAAATCAAAACAATACCTTCATCACTCTGCGCCTTCTGCATTTTTTATCGACGCAAATTTTGTATTTATTTCTGGAAAAAATGTTTTTATTTCATCAGTCTCTATTCTCTTATCGAGCGAAAGTGGTTTATCAATTGCTCGATATTTGAAAATTTACTGACAGCCAATTCAGAGAAACGCTGAGTAAGATCCGTTTCCGCAGCTCCTACTACAACAACAACAAAAATAGTAGCAACACACACATTACGACCAGGCTCCACCATTCACTGCATGTCATTATTTGTCACCAGATGGGCATCAGACTGACCAATATGGCGATCTTGAGAAGCACTCTGCCATGGTTGTTAGAGCACGTAACTTCCGCTATCGCCAATCCCGATTTGATGGAGTATGACTCGTGTCTTTCCTATTGTGAGACTGGGCCCAGCCTGGATGGAATTTCCATAAGCAGTACAGGTAATGTGAAGAGTTTTAAGAACAGTATGAATAGGCTGGTACATTTTTACGCACACATTTACTTAAGATGAACACATGCAGCTGGTTTTGACAGTGTTTACTTAAAATGAAGATGATGGCTTAGGCGTTACACCCCTTGCACTGTAACCCTTACGCAAATATTATAAAGTTAGGCGGGTCGACTCGTAAGGCACGTATATTTAGACACTGTCAATACTGATCGCCGGTTGGTGACATGAATTGCCCATGTCTGGTTTTAGTAGCGTTTATCACGCTAGAAAGATAACCTTCTCGCCGCAATTTTAGTTTCACAAAAATAACTCCTTGTCAAATGTATTTTATATACAGCTGAAGGAAGAATTGATGCTCCACGAGCAACGATAGATGCACTCTATCACCCAGGGGTACTGACGAATTCTGTTGAGCACTTTTGCAGGCTCGAGATTTCTCAAGTGAAGCTTATTTCTTACAGGGTAAGTCTACCTTGGTAATTTTGGCCGATATCAGCTGTTGTGCAAGCTGCAAAGGCTGTAGAATATATAATGGTCTTACATAGAACACGGTCGATACATCTAGACTCGAACCAATTCAGGTCTGCTGTTGATAGTTGTGTGTGAATTATTGTCAAAGGAATGTTACCAAGATGTTACCGTACATAATATCGTTAGTATTATTTACGATTTTCCTAACGGCTTGATCATAGTTGGTAGAGGCGGCTGGTCATGAAGGAGAAGAAAACAAGGGAGCAGAAGTTTATTTTAGGAATTCTCTGACCACTAGTTTCGATATTTTGGTTTTTTGATCAAACCTTGTTACGGAATAAACAATATGAGCAGCTAGTCATATTGACTGGAATGCTCTGGAACGTTTTGTACAGTCACGTCCACAACACCTGGCAAGAACTTATGTCAAAGAAATATTTGGGTTTCTTTCTTAATCAACTACTACTAAATATGGTACTTATTACAAGTAATTATTCTTAGATCAACACTTCGTAAGAACAACCTCTTATTTGGTGTTTCCGATTATTTCCTTCTGCAGATCAACATACTCTTCAAACAGCTTCTAAGAACTGTACTTGATCTTCATCTTCCAAGATACGACACGAAAAAACGTCTGATACCAGCTATGAAATATCTGTCCCGTGAATTGCAGAAATTTCACGATGTGCTGTACCCGGAAGACTTTAACAAAATCCTCTTAAACCTATGGGATCACGTAGTGCGGGTAAGTATTAAATAGACGATAAAGGGGTGGTTCAGCCTTTAACTCTCACGGGTGACCAAGACAGAATTTCCCCTAACAATATCGGTACCATATCAAGTAGACGAGTGATGAGAATGAAGAAAAATATCAATTAGGGGATTATTAGTTGATCCAATACCAAATTCTCCAAACTAACATTAGAGGAATTGTATGGCAGACAGTAAGGAGAATTACTGATTAGATCTTGGGTGTGAAAGGGTTGAAAGCGTCAAGAAAGCAACTTAAGAGACTGGTACTACTCACATTGCAATTGCGAAGGGATGAAAAATTTAACCTGTTGTCTTATTCTTCATAAGAATATTAGCAAGACGGTGTTAGTCTTATCGCGAGTCTGGGACAAAGATAAGTTCCACTGAAAGGTATCGAATCCCTGATCCTCGGATTTTGCGGTCTGATGCTCAACCACTGAGCCACGGAGACTGCAGTGAATTAGGTCATGATTAGGTTCATATGTGACAAGTTTCCTACGTACTGTGAGCATCAAAAATGAAAAAGAAGTATCGTGTGAGTAAATTGGATAAAGAAGATGGTAAAGTTTACATTTAAGCTCGGTTGTCAATTAAGAGAAAGTTGTTATTCGGTCATATTCTCTAAGAAATCGTGAATTGTCGAGCTTTACGTGCATGAAAATGGGCAAAAATGAATTCTAATTGTTGCCCACTATTCCCATGATCCTTGTATCAACCCTGTAGTAAAGGAGAAAATGTCTATAATTCACAATAAATACACATATTTTGCTCGCGTCCAATAAATATTTTTGCTCAAGCGCACAAACGGCTGAAAACAGGTGGCATCAATTTTGGAGTTTTTTTCATTTCTCTTTTGCTGTGCTCAGCCCTTCTTCTATCTGAGGAATAAACGGAACTTCAGTCAAGCGATAACAAAAAGGATTGGGGGGTTCGGGAATGGTACCATTATATCAGTTGGTTTGAATTGAGTGATCGAACGCTTTAGTTGATATTTCCCTTTTGTTTTGCATTAGAATTTCGAAGAAGAATGTCGTCGTTTGGTGAGAAGAAAGTCTTATGCATCAAAACAAAGCCATCTTTTGCAGCAGGCTGTGTCGGTAGGGATTTTACGTTCTTGTTAATAGTGAACTTCCTTTTTTCATACTTCTTTCCCTAACAAACTGAGCAGATTCCATTTTTTAAATTTAATGCAGAAAATTATTTTGGTTTTCATTGACTTTTCTTCTTTGTGCTCCATAATTGGTCGAGAAAACTCGCGCCCTTTTCTTAACCAATCAGATGCGGAACGCCCATAACCGTTTTAGTCACACTCGCTTTCCCGCGCTTGATGAAGTGTGGATATGGTAACGTTGATGTCTTCTTTATCACAAATGAATTTTACCACTGCCTTTTTTTTTAGTATCTGATGCAGTTTTTCTATGATGGAGGGGATGGAATTGCGTTCGATGACTTTGCCACACCAATGGTAAGACAGTTGTTTAAAGCTCGACACTTGACTTCAAGAAGTACATTAGTAGTTTTTTTCTGAATCAACCAAGCCTTCATATGCCACTACACAGTATTCTGACGTTATTATAGTCAATCTATATGAGATAACATCACAGCAGCTTCCTATGATTTCTTATCCCGTTGCCGTCCTCACCACTCGTATATATATAACTCACCTCAATTAAAGGGTGTGCTTATTAGAAGTTTGTGTTTTCCTCTCGCTACGCGGTATTTAGGAATTTTAAGCGTATTAGCGGAAGAGAAAGTGGTGGAAAATTAACTCTTGTATTTTGGTATCTTGTTCTTATTCTGTCAAGTCTCCCCCCCCCCCTCCCTGCCTTCTCTTTAAAGATTTTTTGCTCTTTGAAACGTCATGGTATACAGAATTCATCATTTAGTTAAGCAAGGAAATAAAAATATATCGACTTTCGAGTGAGCGATCCTTTATGTTCAGAATAAAGACGAACGGGTGCAAGAGAAGGAAAGCTAAGGGTTGCGGGTTTCTTGGGGGAGGGGTGGCTCTGGGAGAAATGGAAAGATGGGGAAGGGTGAGTCAAACGATAGAGAATGAAATAACCATTGTGTCTCTTATTTTCAAGGATTCTGTCGTAAAGCACTTACAGTTGTACACCACCTCAACAGATAGACTCATTTCCATGTACCACTCCTTTAACAGACAGGTAAGATCTCTAAAGACGAAAGAAATGATAGAGCAATATTTAATTTCGGAGAGTTAGTAGTTATATTAGATTTTGGCAGGAAAAATTGTATTCCTGGTCAAGACATATTCCTCTCTTTTAAACACAACAACATGAGAGATACGAAAAGAAAGATTATTTTTATGGTGCTTTTATCAAGTGATAAATTACCTATAAGCGAAGACCGTTGAGCCATTGAAAGCACTGAAATTCCTAAATATACAACTTGACTTGCGTTAAGAATCTTACTTGAATTAGAAAATGTATGAAGGAAAACCATAATCACAGTTGGCTGGTCAGCCTGTGACACCAGCAGGGCTGGGAATGGCGACTGATTGAGTTACCAATCAAACCAAACTTCCTGGTTTAGAAGTCAGATTGGCGACTAGATTTTTTTAAGATTGTGTTTGAAGTAAAAAACAAAGCAACTTTAGGTCGCACTCTGTATTAAAGGAACAAACCTACGTACAGAGTCCCCTTACTGAGAGGTATGTCAGTAATTTACCGTAAATGGAAGGACTAGTGAAAGAATTTAGTTTATCATAATTTGCTTTCTGTTCTTTAGGTTCTAAACATGCGGCAACAAAATCGGAATGAAGAACTGACGTCGTCAATGAGCACTAGCTCACGTCTGGCTGATGCGAATGCTCCTGCGGATAGATTCATTCAAGCCATGCGCAAAGATCTGCACACTTCTCGCAAGTGCTTTTCGGGCGCAGTGTTAGTTGAATGGGTGGTTAACTATGTTGGTAACCATGGTTACGACGATCTGGGACTTTGCATTGGGGACACGGAGACTCAAACAGGACTTGAATTAGGTCAGCTTGTAATTAAAGAAGTTTTAATATGGTATCGAAATTAAAGAGGGATTGCATTGGTTTTTCCTCACTTCACTCTTTACACGAGATTGGTGTAGTAAATTCGCGCCAACTTCTAAAGTAATTAGACATAAAATGAAAACCAATTGCAACTGTAAGAAGTCGGATATAAAGTGATCACACAACCCTCTTTGTAATGACTTCGTTGATTATAGTGGTGCGTGCGCTTTTTCGGCTCAGACGTGTGTCGTATCTTGTTCAAGTCATGCACTCCCACGTTATGGGGAAGTAACACTATACCCCGTGTTTTTGAGGAATACTTGTTATGTAAGAAAAATAAATTGTCCTTGTTAGTATTGAGGTAATTATACTCAAACATTTAATCGCCTGGCACCTTATTTCGATATTTGGCAGATAATTGTTAACCTGGTTTAGCGAGTTAGCATTCAACCACTCAAGCACATCTCCTGGAATCTTCTTTGCTCCCCTCCCTCCAACACCTTAAATAAGTTACTTGCTTTCTTTATTTGGTTTCATGTTGTACAGGCCAGTACCTTCTTAGGCACAGGGTTATGATCTGTGTTTGTCCGCCACCCCATCCCAATCGACAGCCGTCAACTGAGAGAACAAGAGAACAAGAAAACTTCGAGGAGAACGCACCGTCCGAGCGTGGAAAAGTGTTATTGGACGATAATTACCTTCCAGATATTAGGGTCAATGACATTTCAACCCGGAGCAACAGAGGTGTGTTTTTTCAGTCATAAGTTGCACTTTCTAATTTGCCTACTCCAATGTTTCTCTTTCTGAAAAGAAATGCTTTTAAGTTTCGCTGTAAAGAGAAGATATATAATTGAAGCAATCTTCTATCATTTCGAAAGTTCGATACTTCTTTATCATTAGTCTAAACTTGCTTTTGTTTCCTGACCTTTAATGGACTGGATTACTAGTTAAACTAAAAGTTTGCTTTATCTGCGCTAGATCGAGATACTTAAGATAACAAACAATGAGGTTAATGAAATTAACTGACGTGAAATCTTGATAAAGTTGATATAAAATAAGAAATATAAGAAAGTTGATATAATTTGGGAGCACAATTTACCACCAGAAGAGGCGCTAAAATAATTTGGAAAAAGTCTGTAAAATTGTCTTTATTTCGTTAAAATATTTAAATATTTCTTTTATAAGGTGATATGAATTAAGAATCATTATAAGTTTTCTGGTATTTCCATGTTTCGAAGTGTCTTCATCTATTTCAGAATATAATATTTATTTATTTATGGCACAGAAATGTGATGTCCAATATTCACAGCATACTTTGCTACCCGACGCAGATTTACCCGATAAATAACCGAAAAGCAAATCCTATTTTCCCGCAGAAAAGGTACATGACGTAAACAAATAATAATAATAATAATAATAATAATAATAATAATAATAGTAATAGTAATAATAATAAAACTGACTTTATTATAGTATTTTCACTGAAAGGTGGCTAACATGTAACAAACTAATCTAACAAACCCATGCATGTAAATCAGCAATTAGTACGGTTATCAATGATACGAGCATCGGTAGAAATTGGCCCTTCGAACAAGGTTAACGCGCACTAATGTAGGTCTTCCTTGCAGACCGTTATTTACTCCCCTTTCGTGGATTACCATATTCTTTCTTACCCTCCCCTCCCTCCTTGTCTTCGAGCCTAATCCACTCGCCCTGACTGCCTTTATATCACTTTTCATTTCAAGCTATTTCGTTTGGGTTTTGTAGGTTCTCCAACATCGCTGTCCTCCTCTCGATCGAGGACGAGATCCTCTGAGGAAGGCGCTGATGATGGATACGAGAATGACGATGAAGATTCTGTGGGCTCTGCAAGGGATATCATGGTTCGCTCTTACAGCGCGCAGTCTGAAAACGACTCTCCGAAATTTCATAATCACCCTAAAGCGCTGTACAAATTTATTTCCGAAGAGGACAGCTCTAGAACGGAGGTGAAGTTTACTCTGGGGTTTACAGATCGCTTGAAACTGCCCAATGAATTGAAACACATCCTTCGCGTTTTGTACACTAGGAAAAATTCGGATAGAACAGCGCGATCGTTTTTGAGAGAGCTTCCCTCAGGATATATGGAGGAAGCGTTGGGATCTGATCTTCTGGTTTTCTGGTCTTCTGGTAGCCCCATGTCCGCGTTTTGTTAAACTTCGTGGTCAAACGTGATAAATAATGCAAGTGAAGTGGAGGCCACTGTAAGAAGGAACAGACAGAAAGAGAACTTTCTGATGGCTGAAGCTTTTAGCTTGCGGAGATTTGCAGAATTGCCATTTGATTCTTGTAAAAGATATTTTCTTGATTACGTTTCTTTCCGGTTTCTCAATTCTTTGGTTGAAAGAGGAATTTGTTCTTTAGTTGAACTTTGATAATTATCGGTTTTTACTTGTTTCCAAGCAAAATTTTACCTCAATTTTAATTTTAGTTTAGCTTGCATTTTTCATCATTTGATTGTGGAACGGAAAGCGAGATTACTGACAAGTATCATATCATTGTACATACTCTTTACTCCTCTTTGTAAATAATTTAAATCGTAAAAACGATAATTTGATTTTATTAAATAAATGGCGTGAACAGCCCATTGTGGAAAAAGCAACTACCACAACAAAAATCTTTTATTTGTATTTAGCCTTGTGTTTCGGGTGAAATCGCTTAGGTGGTGTTTCTCCATCAAATCGTGGTAAATTTCGTCAGCTTTATCAGGTGCTTCCCCACTTTAACTGAAGGGGAGAGGAAGATCCCAAGGAAGGTAGGAAATGAATAGGAAATAGGTTAAGTTGTCAATGAGTGTCAGAATGAAAGCATGCATGAAAAGACAGCATGCTCCATTAAGACCATGTTACATTGGTCTTAATGGGGTGTTATTAACCAGGAAAGTTTATTAGCGAAGAAGGTTAACCCTGTAACACCCATGAGTAACCAAGACAGAATTTCTCCTTACAATATCAATACAATATCAATCACATAAGTGATGAGAATAAAGAAAAATATCAATTTGGGGATCATTGGTTGATCCAATATTAAATTCTCTGAACTAACATCATAAGAATTGTATGGTTGACAGTAAGGAGAATTACAAATTTGATCTGGGAGTTGAAGGGTTGAGACCTTTTTGGCAAAAGGAGTCCAGGGTTTGATATCACAATATATTATGCGCCAGACTTTCTACTCTGGGGTTGCACAGGACCTCACTTCACCTACCATGTTTTGATTCTGAGCTAACTCCCTCTAAAATGTTAAAAAACATCCGACTACTCATTTTTCTTGTGAATCATTGGTCAAGTAGTGTGAAGTCAACAAATTTGCACCGAAATACATACGGTGCAATAGGTTACATAGGGTTTGAAGGAGCCTCTCTCTCTCTCTGAACCGGAAGCCTCGAACAAGGTGAACTGGGCGGTGCGTGGTCTGTTTGTGCGTCATCGACAATTGTTTCAAAAATTGGAATATCTCGGATCTGACCTTCTGGGGTAGATATGCTACAGTTTGTACAAATTCTTTTTTAATCAGGGAAGTAAATGAAAGGATTTTTTTTCTGTTAAACATGGCTAGGGTTTCAAAGCTTTGGCGGCACGCCCCAAGCCAAACTCGTGGAAGAGCCATACGAAAACAACCAATTTTGTTTTTCCTGCTCATAGTGTCAGACAGGAGACGCCCTCCGTGAACTGCTGTTTTCCGCCTCTCCTCTTTAGTAAGACTTTATTTATGCAGCATCGAGTTGGTGTTTTCCCCCCTGATATAAGCAAAGTGTTTCACTTTGGTATGATCGCGTGTTTTATACTCGTCTGAAGCGCAAAGTAATGGCTATTTTCGAAGCGTTTATATTTCTTGTATTACGTAGTTATTGCAATTTTTCAATTCAATTGCAAAACATCTGTCGAACACATTTCAAGCACACCTGTTTTGTTTGGTTAGGCAAGTTTTTTGTTTAATTCTAGATTCAATAATTCCCATAGAATAGGAATTAAACCGTCCTTTAGAAGGCCACCATAAGCGTTTGTAAAACAGCTTATGAATCAATTAAAGGAGTAAACAATTTCTTAATTGTCAAATCCTTCCGGTTGGGTATTTGTCACTTTCATTAGTCCATCATATGGGGTCCTTCAAAGCGAAACGGTATCTAATGAAGCAGTTACAGGGGTAGTCGAATTTCGTGATATTTTGTGCTGTTTTCAAATGAACCTTTGTCCGATTTCCGGTGAGAAGTCGAGAAAGTCCGCGCCCGATATTGCTTTCATTATGGATATAACGGGGGTTTTGGGTGTGATTTTATTTATCTTCAGTGATGTTATCGCGTAATTTTACTCAGTTATCATCAGTGATGTACCGAAGGGTTGTATTGGAAGACGGATGGGGAGAACGAAAGTTTCAGAGGCTTGTAACTAATGAGTATCATTTATGTTCTTCCTTTTAATGTTTGCTAAATTGTCAGTATGAAGGGAGGCAGTGTACCAAAAATCTTTATTAGCTTAGACATCTCATTTGCACAGTTGTGGTTGAAAATACTGACCTCCTTCTTAACATCGGAGATGACATCATGTTGTCATCACTGAGGGTTTCTGGTAATCATTTGTAAATTGTCTGATCGTCCCGGTTGGAAATTTGTAGCGTTCAAGAGTCCATGACATGTCCAGAGTCCACGAAAATTGAAATGGGATCTTATACAGTAACTACGGGGGTCAATTGAATTGATTTTCGTGGTAATGGTATCTTTTTAATAAACCTGAGCTCTGATTTTTCCATAGTAACGTCGAGAAAATCTACCGTATACAGGTATAGCTATAATAATGAATTGAACGGTTTTCTCTGTGATGTTAATCATAGAGAAAGAACTTTGTGATGATAATCACAAAGAAAGAACTCTGTGATTAAGTATAAGTTCTAAATTTTTTCACGCGAAAAGTTATCATTTGTGAAACACCGTTCGGTCGCAATGGAGACGGCTCTGTCCCGCGAGTGCATTTCACGAAAGAGGAAGTCTCCTTCCTTCCTTTGGTGAGTATTCGTGAAAGTTTTGGACGCTTGTTTCAAGTATCAGTTACGTTCTTCCTTTGAGTGTTTGTCAATATCTCGGTATAAAAAGAGGCATACGTCTCATTCGCACGGTTGCGGTTGAAAATACTGACCTCTTTCTGAGCATCGGAGATGCAGATAATTTGGTTATTACGGAGTTCTTGTGGTTTAATTTTAATCCTGTAAGTAATGTCACTTGAAGAATCGATTTGAGAATCAAAACGAGCATGCTATGCACGAGTCATCGCAACTGCTTCTCAACGATGTTACTGGTCGTTTTGATTTTTTCATTTTTCAGGTTTCCATTAACATCTTTAAGTGTCAGTCCTGATGCACGTGCGTTGTCTACCAGTGCGCATTCTAAACCTTGTCCTAAAGGCATGCACAAACATAGGAAGGTAAAATACGCTGAAAGTTGCTTGTGTTATGTGTCAATCTGACGGGATTTAACGGGTCTAACACTTCTTTCATTTTGGTTCTAGTTCGGGAGACATCGATGTTTCCCAATTCCAAATAAACAACCGAACGTCACGAATTACATGTTTGTTCAAATCTATTCAAGAGCTTCGGGGAAATACATTCAAGTTAAGAGGAACGGAGTTGATGCTGGCGGCGTGAATGGCTCACAATATGGTAAGGATGCCGATTTGTGTATGTGTGTTTTTAATATTAAAACGTGTAGAGACAGGATACTGTAATACAATTAAGCTTTCTGTTGCTTTGTCTTCATTAATCTCGTTTTTTTGTCCTGTTTTAAATTAAACGGACTGGTTGGGATCCCGAAAGAGGCCTTCAAGCCCGTATGCTCGATCTCTCGTAACGAATGAGGATTTTTTGCCTGGGGTTGTGAGAAAAAAGGACTGGAAATCAAAATTTTTTCGTTTCGTTGCCTTAGTTAATATAGACGAATATGATGGAAAGAAAAATTCACAAAGGATAAGAAGCAACTTAAGAGAAATGTCAAAGAAGAACGATGAAGACAAGAACACGATCTCGATTAAGCAGATATTTGAGATGATTTTCCGTAAGCAAGAAAAAAGATATTTCTGGGTTAATTATTGTGAAATTTGAAAGAAAAACAAAGCTTTTTAATGAGAAACTGTTCACTGATTCTCACGCCCAAGGGCTTTTTAATTTAAACGAGCAGGGCGTCTTGTAACAAACTTAATGGAAAAAAACACTCCACAATGATATCAAGATGTTCGGGGAATGGAAATTGTTATTTTCTTTCCTTTTTTTAAGACAACATTTGGATTGATCCTTGTTCTGGGGGTTGACGATCTTTAAAAAATCATTAGAGGATTCAAACCATTCCTTAATAGATGTCCAAGATAGGGTCATCTGTATAAAAAGTAAACAACCTTAAACCCTCAGGCGAATACTCCCCCGGCTGTGGTTTGGGTAGGGCCCGGACCGTCGAACCTTTCATCAATGAGGTCATCCCATTCACTTTTGGCGTAAAAAGTGTTAAATCAGACTCCTACAGTTAGCTACGAACCGTTTCTCGAACTCCTGGGAAAAGCTGTTTTTCTCTACGTGTTTAACGAGTTAAGATCGAGATAGTAATAGAATTAACGGTGTTATTGTGCGTGCGAGAAAGTTTTTGTCGGCGTAGGTAACGTCTAACAATCTTTCAAATGCTTTTTTTCAGCCGTCATATCCATGCGCACCAGATTTGCTAGTGCACGAATAATGCTGTCAAGTAACCAGGCTAATTTCGCACCTGTAACGATAAAATTTTTTACGATAAATGTACGACTCTCTGAAATTTAGATCGCTACTTATAAGATTAGTTCCAGATTGGCAAACCGGGATTGTGTATAAGATCAGATCTACGATATGCGACCGACGGAAGTGCACATGTTAGAAAGGAAATTCTCGGGCCTTAGTGCAATACCCTAACTTCGCCTACATTCAATCTGTAGCGTTACTGAAGCTGGAGACGGGCGACTTGGCGAGTCTTGTTACCATCCAAGGGGTGAAAACAAACCGTTACCTCTGCCTAAATAGGATAGGACACATCGTTACAAGGGTGAGAAAATCTTCTCTTAACGCGTTTTATTACTAAGCACAGCTGACAATAAATCGCATTGACCATGCTTTGGCTATGACCTTCGTACAGCAACAACTTGCCTCTGATCGTGGCCGTATTTATTTTGACAGACGTTAAAACCATCCCACACGTGTTATACATCTCAGACGTACAATTTATCGGGGAACTGGCCAAGTGAAAAGCCAGAATGCATCACAAAATCAAACAAGAATGTATGTTAAGTCGTAAAAAAGTGAGGGCTCGTTCCCAGGCGCTCATCCTGTTTCGCCGCTCTCCGCTGACCGCGACTCATCTATTTTCTGGAGTCTTCTCGATTTTCATGCGACTTGAATAATGCATTATGACTAACTTTCATAAAGTCTTAAATTATCGCCAGTGGGGGGGGAAGGTGGGAGGACTTGAGGGGATTATAAGAATATCGCAGAGCCCTATAGGGGGATCAGTTTAATTTTATCTTTGCACATCCAAAATCTTCCAACTTCCCACCGCGCGCCACAATATACCATAATGGTTATTTCCTTCTTCTGACCATTTTTATTTATTTTAGAAGAAAAAGCAAGAATTTTCAACGATGAAGAGGTGCGAGTTTTACCAAGAAGATGTTAAGGGCTATGACCAATACAGATCAGCCAAGTATCCACAATGGATCTTGGGTTTCTCCAGACGGGGTCGCATTTTGAGCGGAATCAAGAGTGCCAATTGCAAAAGTAAATGCAGTTATTTCTTGCGATACCAGCAGCCAAACGCTCAGACAAGAAAACATCGCAGGAACCTGAGGCAGATGCTTGGAAAGTTTATGAGACGTTAAAATCCCTAACTGATAACATTAACTTATTGAAAATTGTCACTAGGGCCAACATATAGAGTTTTTTTTTTGCCAAGAGCTCAAGAGACTTGTATAAAGGGAGGCGTTCGGGCCTTAAAACATGCCAAACCACTCAAATTATTTATGGACAGTGTCTTGAACGGAAGTCTCTCCTCTCAGACGTTCGCCTGAAGGCAGATCTCGATCTGGTTTTCGGAGTGAAAGAGCTCTAATGGCTCTAAGTAAGGAGTTAAGTTTAATTTTCAAGCAGTAACAGACAAGTGCGAACTTAACTTTCAGTTGTGCCATAATTAATTTGAATAACACTAATTAATTTGAATAATAGTAAAGTGCACAAAGTTGAGCTAATTGACAAACATTTTTGCATGTGTGCATTTTATTAGCGCGTGTGGCATAAGTACTCCTATTCCTTTGCTTTGATAGATAACTGTCTTCACAGACGCAATATGCTATGGTGATGTGAAATATGAACATAAATTATACACAGGCAATGAGCTTGCTCACTTACGCCGTTTCCTAGCGCGCTCCGTTACTGAACGCTTGGAACACATTGTGTCGTGTGCATGCTGAGTGACATGTGGTTCTGGTGCGCAGCAGAGAGGTGAAATCAACAGTACAAAGTTACTTCAAAAACCGGCAGCTCTACGAGTAAAGATCATGTCAAGCAGATCTGCGTAATATCCAATTCCATCCAAGGTTATTCATTGTTGAATTGTGCAACTTCTCAATAAACCTGACAAAATGGTTGTAAAAAGATCTATTGTAGTAACGGTTCAGAGCAACTTAAACAATTATCACATTAAAATTGGTCATAACGTTATAGGAAATAATTTGGCATTTCATGATGCTCTCCAAGAAAGAACGTAAAACGTGTCAAAGCTGTAATCCCCCAAAGTATTGGTGTTTAAAAATGACACAACCATTTGGTGCGCTCCCCTTTTTACTCCGTTGCTTTTCACGGCTTAACCCCGGCTGAATCATGCGCCCCGGCTGAATTTCTGCACCTCGGCTGAGTTGATTCGCCCCAGCTGAGTCATGCGCCCCGGCTGAGTCATGCGCCCCCCATGAGTTTTTAAGTCCATCGTTAATTGCTTATTTTTAAAAAACATGATTCATTCCATTTGGTCTCGTTGTAGAACTTGAATGGAAATTGAACTAAGCAATGTACGCGCGAATCCACGCAAATTCCTAGAACGTGGAAGATACTGGAAACTAAACGAAAATGTTGATATGGCGTACAAGTGTCGTTTGGGACGTTGTATTTTTTGTTTAACACCAAAGCGAGGAGAATGCGATATTATTTGGTTGACTTCATTGCCTTTTACAAAAAACCTTAGCCCAGTTCGAGAAAACTGAAGAGAAAGTATCTGTTACAAGGGGTTTAAAAAGCTAAATAGACCTCACTTACGGTGGTGTCTCTGTGGCTCAGTGGTTAGAGCATCGGAGCGCGGAATCCGAAGGTCTGAGGTTCGATTCCTCGTGGGGATTCAATATTTTTTTTTGTCCTATGCTCGTGACAAGACGAAAAAATGATCTTTCTCTAAAAAATTAAATGATTTACTGAGGCATTTCTTGAAGCCGGTAAGTTCTAAATATTTAATTTTCTTGTATAATTCTTTTTACGAAGGACTGCAATTTGAACCGAATTTCTTAAGTATTTTCCCGGCCTTCATTTCTTTGTGTCTTCATTCGTTTGTCCTCTTTTTTTCATGCTTGATTATAATTCATGAAACACTTCAATCAGAGCGATAATCTGGACACGGTATTCAAAGGAATGTTCTCCCTCCCCCGAGGGATGTGGAGGGCATATATTTATTCGTTCCAAAAAGGTAATTGCCACCAAATAAGGGTTTGCTTCTCAGGGTCTTGCATCTTAAACAGTTGGGGTGTGCGATTTTGGTATTTATCATCTCGTGCAAGCTGAGTTACTGGACCAGAAACAATTCTGATAGTCACAATTCTTTTAAAAACCTCAATCAAAATTTAGGCTCAATGTGATGGACGCTCCTCCCTGAAGTCGATGAGCCTCATCTAAATTTTTAGTTTTGGAGCTTTACAGGCCAGTAGGGAAAATGAGAGACGAGTGTGAGGAAAACGCAAGTGGCAAGACACAAGCAGCTGGATGCTTTTTACGCGCTTCTCCCTTCAAGCGTGTCCAGTCCTTCACCTGCGCACTTTTTTGCGCTTGACTCGCGCTTTCCTCCACCCACCTGAAAAGTGCAAAAAAATAAAATCTGTTCCACAAGCTAAGATGCCCCTATGAAGAGAACGTTTTTTAGCGCTTTGAAAGAGACAGGTAAATGAATGGATTTCTCTCAGGGTGACTTTAAACCTCAAATAAACTTTCAGATTGATTCCCATTTTTGTTCTTTTCACCTACAATGAAATAATGAAACCTGTTCCACAAGCTAATATGTCCCTATGAATAGAACGTTTTTCAACGTTTTGAAGGAAGCAGGTAATTTAGAACCGCAGCATTTTGATGCGCGGCACGGCTAGTCACTCAAATGATGATAACTAACCCAATTGCTGAAGTGGCTTTCTTCCTGTGTTGTTAAATTGATAGCACTTTAGACTCATTATGCGTATTTCCAATCTTGCTCTTCCTGCACAAGAGGGTAAATTGGCGTGTATGTACTCCTGTCTTTTCCTTCACAGGAAAATAATAGAATGTCGTCATCATTTTTGAACCCCATCAGCAGAGAATTACGAATTTTTCTTAATTTGTCACTGAAATATAAGATAATTAATTGAATCAATCGTTTAAAACCAATTTCAACCGTTTGAGTCACACGGTTCTTGCGGGCGAATTTTATTAATCCTTTTTCGATGTCTGAGTATTTTCCTACACACAAAATATTCTCTAAAATGCAACTACTATACTGTTCATTTTTTCTCTGTCACATGCAAATTCGGCAATCACAATGTCCTTTATTCGGCTTGATTCTTGAATAGTTGACTAAGCGTGCGAATAAAACTCTGCGAAAAATCTGTGACGTATCAGCCGACAATTGGCTGCAGTTGTTAATCCATATTCAACAGAAATTGTAGAATTTTCAGTAAACCGCACTGTCCGTCGAACAGTGAAGAGGTGCCGTCCGAAGGGCTGAAAGTAAAGTTGCTCTCTGGAAGGAAGAAAGCGCTTGACCTAGAAAGAGGAACAACTAAAACCAATGTTTTGTGACTATAACAGCAAGTAAGCTTTCCTTTTTGACAATATTGACCTAAACTAGTTTAGAGAGCCAAAGGATTCGTATCATAACACTCGAACGAGCTAGTCAGGCGAGTCGGTTCCTTGGTTAAAGGAGCTCTCGTACTCGAAGTTTAATGAATTAGGCTGTTGGCTTCGAGGAAAGCAAAACCTGTGATTATGAAAAATATTTTCAGAGAAACGCTCTAATCAAGAATTTTTGGCGTCTAAAATCAGTAGGGAACTTCTTTCTGTATTCAATTTCGGCCACGTGGATGTGTGACGACTCTTCTACTAATTGTATCAAGCATTTAAAATCAGTTGGCGGCCTTTCCTTGATTACAAATAACATTTCGAAAAGTTTCGCGCTTTCCCTTTTTCTATGATGGTATTAAAGAGCGATTAAATTATATAGGTTTTTATTTTTAAGTTCCCAAAATTGTTCATCTTTGTAGAAATTGAGCTTCCCTGATCAGATTCATAATTTCTACTTTCAGGAGGAGCAATGCTGTCAAATGGATGGAAGATCAAAGAGTCTGGTCAAGAGAAGACACTGGAATCATCAAATGTTTAGTGGATACTGCAAAGATAAGAACTTTGAAATTATTGAGTGAAGGTAGCAAAAATGGTGGCTCTTAAAATTTCTCATTATTTTACGAGGTCTCCATATTTTTACCAATTGTCATGAATGGATGAAACTGATTAACTGGTAAGTCAATAGTTTTCAATCAGCCATCATTTTTGCAAAGATTTTGTCGTGGTACGGATTGTTATGCAGACCTTGTGCGATCGTTTGATTAATTTGAACTTCTCGTTATAATTTAATGCAATTTCTCTCAGACAATTTTGTTGCATCGAACTGATTAACCAAGGTACAATAAAAAATTAACGTCAAGTAAACCTAACCGCAGAAAAGGAGAAACCAAGATTGCTACTTTCGAAGCACTGATCGCTCATATTTTGTTTGCTTAACAGTTAGTATCACAGATATATTCTCGTTGATGTCACACAAAGGTGATATTTATTAAGGTGGCATTTCGATAAAGGAGCTCCGACAAAGACCAAATAAAATTCAAATTTTGCATCTTTGTTAAAGAAGCTATTTCATTTATTCCAAAAATCACATTGCTGAACACCATCGACTCATAAACCACACAACTGACTGCTGCGCTGCTCAATATCTTTCAGACCTATATTGTACAAACTATCTTCAGCCACTGACTGTGAAATTCTAGTTTGTCACCGAGACTCGTCTCAACAGTTGACAACAACAGAACGAACTATTTTCACTGACCGATCAAAACTGACTAATCAACGGACGAGCACCATTTTAATCTAATAGCAACCTACTTCACTCCAAACTGATCAATCGGCTTTCGAACCCCAGTCATAACCTTCGACTAACAAACCTCACAATTGACTGCTGCGCTGCTCGATATCAATTCCATATTGTACATACCATCTTCAATGACTTGCTTTAAAATCTAGTTTGTAACCAAGAAAAGACTTGTCTCAAAAGTTGACAACAACAAACCGAGCTAACCTCACCGGCCGAATAAAACTGACTAATCAACGGACGAACACCATTTTAGTCTCAGACAGCAACCACCTCACTCCAAACTGATCAATCAGCTCTTCGAACCACAGTTATAACCTTCGACATACAAACCGCTCTTTACTTGACTCTGACGATGACTTCTGCTTAGACCAATCACTAATTTCGACAACACTGAGACCGTCTTTTCAGGACTACTCTAACCCGGACAGCACATTACACGATTGACTACAAAAT